AATAAGGACAAGACAAGAATAAGGACAAGACAAGAATAAGGACAAGACAAGAATAAGGACAAGACAAGAATAAGGACAAGACAAGAATAAGGACATGACAATGATAAGGACAAGAACACTTCCACTTTTTACCCCACGTTGAGGACATCGGTATAGAGCAGCAGGTAGGTAGCAGGTCCAACCAACGACCAAGAACAGCACAGCACGGGTCTTGGTTTCTCTGTCCACAGTCCTGTCCATACTTGTCGCAGGTACAACAAAAGACCAAGAACCAGGTTTTGGAGTACACTTACATGTCTTGTGATCCAGAATGGCCTGCAGACCCCATCCTGCCGGGACCTGCAGCACGACCGAGATGAACGACAACAGACACCTCGTGCGGAGGTTGTTATGGAAAGCGTTGACGGAACCGCCGTAGACGAGGAAACATTCGGCGGGGAGGAAGGCTGGGATCTGTTGGTTGAGGGTTGTCAGTCTCGCTCTTGATCCGGCCATACATATAGAAGGCACAAGGCACAGTCTCGCTCTTGGACCGGCGGCACAGTCTCGCTCTTGGACCGGCGGCACACTCTCGCTCTTGCTCTTGGACCCACCATATAGAGGGAGGGTAACTCACCATAATCAACAACTTCCAATCCTTAAAGATCTCCAAGTTCGACTTGAGCTCCTGGCCGAAACTGCGGGCCTGCACCACGCTGACGGGCGTGCCGTCGTCGCGGGTGATTTTGGACGGGGGCATGAGGGCAAATGCGCCGATCATGCCCACGACCATCAGGACGATGAAGACGATGTAGACGGCCGGAGGGACGCCAGCGGCTTCGGTCTGTGATTGGTATGTCAGTGACTGTAGTGATTTCCATTTCCATTTTCAACTCCATTTCCATTTCTAGTTCCATCTCCTTCTCCCTCTATCTCCCTCTCCATCGTAATTATGGATCTGGATCTGGACCTTCATCTCAATCTAAACGTGTAGACTTACCGCATTTTTATTGATCAGCAGAGGGATGATGCCGCCAATAATGGACCCCATGGCCTGCAGGTTGACAGACATGGTGATGTATTTCCCACGATCTTGCTCCTCGGAATAAGACATGGCGATGTAGCCCATGGTGACGAAGATTAGACCGGCGGAGATCTGGGGCAGGTGAGAATGTCAGCAACGCCAGAGAGAAGAAGTGTTAGAAACGTCAGGGAGAAGAAGTGTCGTGTCAAGAACGGCAGGGAGAAGAAGTGTCGTGTCAAGAACGGCAGGGAGAAGAAGTGTCAAGGACTGCTGGGCCAGGGAGAAGGAGAAAAACATACGCCAATGGCGACACCCGCAAAGATAGGAAACCCCTCTTTGCCAGTCTGGTCGAAATACCACAGCGACCCGACATAGATGGCATAACCCATGACTCCCAAGGAAGCGGTGATGGCCGGGCCGATCTTGTTCAACACGGAGCCGCCAAACGAGGCGGAAAAGAACCAGACGGCACAGAGCGTGGCGTTGACCGTTTGCACGGTTTGGGCCGAGTTGGGCCGACCTCCTCCTGCGCCGAGAAGGTTGAGGGCGACGTAGAGACCGGCCGAGACACCGACGAGCATGCCCATGATGACACTGAAACCGAAGTGTTAGCAGGGTGTATGTTAGATATATCTAGGGGCTGAGGATTGAGGATTGAGACTTGAGGATTGAGACCGAGACTGAGACTGCGACTGCGACTTTAGCCACAGGCGGCAACGGCAGGCTGTGAACTCCAGCGTAGACTTAGACAGTCTCAGTCCTCATGGCGCGCAACATTGCACTCACTTCTGCCAGTAGGGCGAATGCAGCCTCACGGGAGGCAGGCCAGGGATTTTGACCGCCATGCCTTCTGTCGATTTGGTTTCAGTCGAGGACAGTCAAGTGTGTGAAGAAAGCCAACCGAGGTTTTTGGTTCGACGGGCACTTGTCGAGTAGGGAGATGTCACTGACGAGATTCTTATATCTCTCCTTCTTCTCCTGTGGAAAGGGAAAGGCCCGAGGCTATTATGTACCTATATGTACCAAGTCCAAGTATCAGACACTGACGGGCAAGGCAGTCAAGTCATGGTCGCGCCCATCATCACTGTACTAGTGCTAGTGACTAGTAGTAGTAGTCCTGGCAGTATCAGTATCTGAGCCAGCACAAGGGGCAGGTGTATATCAACCAAGATTCGACCGCATTATCACAGGGCCCACAGGGGAAGGCAGACCTTTCTGCGATTTGTTGTGTGCGGCCACCATGTCCATCCTCTGCAGATTGAGACGACACTGTCGGCGCTGGGCGACGGATCAGGGCGCAGGACCACAGCGACGGACAAGCGCGTGCAGTGTCCAGTCTGTGTATATGGCAGTACTGTCCCGTGTAGTATGTGGTATGTCGATAGCGGTCGACCACTCATCTTCACCTCCCCGTTGAATCTGACTCCGCTCTGGGCCGGCAGGTGGCCGGTGTGGTCCAATGACATTGGTAGGAATTAGCTGTATGGATACGGATAGGACAGGCAGGCACAGATAGGTACCTAGGTAGGTAGGTGGTTAGTAGTGACCATACTGATACGAATACTCTGGAAAGTGGAAACAAGTTCCCGCAATTGGAATGCTTATCTCGGTTTCCCGAGAGGGGCCTTCCCTGGTTTGTGGGTTGTGGGTTGTGAGTTGTGGTTTCTGTAGCTGCCTTCCCCTTTGCCACTTTCCGACCAGCAACGCACAGCACAACATATAGCCAACACCATCACAGATCATCCTCTTGTAATGGTCGCGCTGGATCGCACCCTTCTACGGCACAGTAGTGAGTCCCGCGAGACGGTACCTGGTACGCTAGTTCCTAGTCACACGTGTGGTGGTGGACAGGATCCGTACAGTACACAATATACCCACCGCGAACGAACGTGGAGTGGGGGACTATCTTGCGGGCTTGCGGGCTTGCGGGCTTGCGGGCTTGCGGGCTTGCGGGCTTGCGGGCACGCTCCTGTGTGGTGTGGTGTGGTGTGGTGTGGTGTGGTGTGGTGTGTGTCTGTGTGTGTCTGTCTGCGCGTCACTGTCAGGGAAGGAGGAGAGGGTCTCTAGGGACCAGACGGCATGGCATGTGCGGTCTATTAGACATTCTGGAGATATGCATATCTATAATATCTACTGTACTACGACGACTACTCCTACTACTCCCTCTCCCTCTCCTCTTACTCCTCCTACTCCTATCAGCCGCGGAACGCCCGCTGTCTCACCTCCAAGGTCAAAGTCGGCTATCTCACTTGCGAAAGTCAAGGTCGGCTGTCTCACTCCAAGGTCAAGGTCAGCTTATTTGACATCGATCTGGCTTATCAAGGTTCAAGGTTCAAGGTTCAAAGTTCAGCAGACGGGTCTGTCTCGGCACGCTTGGGTCTGGACTTGGGCCTGGATCACGGCCATGGCCACGGCCAAACAACACGTCAAGGTAATGAGAATCATCATCTCATCTTCGGTATCACGAGAGGACAGGAGAGGGGACTAGACGCTGACAGACAGTGTTCTCCTCTCCACGGGACACGGGGTCGTATCAGGTATCAATCAGGTATTCTGGGCTGTATCTAAGTTGGATGTGTAGGTACCAGTAGCAGTATTTGTATCTATACCCATGCCCATACCTGGGCCCAGAGGGATGGGATTAGGTGAGTAGTGTACGTGCATATACACTGGTAGGTAACCGGGTACGATCACTATTACTGTACTGTACCATACTAGTATTTTAAGTCCCATTGGCGTTGGAGTGGAAATCGCTTGATATTGATATGGCCATCCCCAGTTCAGTTGCTTTTCTAGATTTCCGGCCGTCAGTGTTAATCGTACAGTACAACCATTGATAATCATGAACCTATTATTGCTATCATACAGTGCCTGGTAGATAGATGAGACGAACCCTCTCCTCTGCAAAACATCCAAGTGGAATTGCAAGTGCGAGTGCGAGTGCGCGCTCCTGTTTGTCTCTATCTCTATCTTGACCTCCTGGACCACCACCACCACCACCACCACCACCACCATCACCATGGGCAGCATCGACATCAACCAGAATCACCCGGCCGTCCAAGTCGACATCCCCATCATCGACATCTCTGGTTATCTGGCCGGGGATCCAGACGCCAAACGAAAAGCAGCAGCCGAGTTCCGCCAGGCCTGTGAGAACCAGGGCTTCCTCCAAGTCGTGGGCCACTCGGTGCCCGAGGCAATCCAACAGCGCTTTCTAGCCGGCATCGCCAGCTTCTTTGCCCTCCCGCTGTCGCAGAAGGAGAAGGTATCGCAGACCAAGTCGAAGTGTCATCGAGGCTACGAGCGCGTCGGTGGCCAGAAGCTCGACGAGCTCGACGACTCCGCCACCCCGGACCAGAAGGAGGGCTTCTCCGTGCGGCGCGACAGACCGCTCGGTCGATTCCTGCAGGGTCCCAACCAGTGGCCAGAGCCAGAGCCGGAGTCTAAGCCTGAGACGGAGACAGAAGAAACGAAAGCGGAAGCGGAACTCTCCAAGATTCCCACAGCAACAAAAGTTTTCGACCATGTTCAATTCCAGGAGAGCTACATGGCCTACTTTGACGCCGTGCATGACCTGTCCAAGGCAGTCTTTCGGCTCTTGGCCCTGTCTCTGGATCTATCTGAGGATCATTTCGATGCCTTTGCCGCCGACCCGGATGGTGAGTCTACCGTGTGTATTCACAGTCTGCATTTTCATCATCTCCTCTGGACGAGGGGGAAAGAAAGAAGATGCCCAATGTGATGGATGGAATGGCCTTGTTGGGTTAGGAAAGAAGAAGGAAGACAAACCCAACCCAGCCATATCCTCGTACACATACACATGTTTCTGATACATAGCAACCCCCATGATACAAAGCAACCCCCATGATATATAGCAACCCCACTGACAAGCTTGTCACTCTTCAGGACTCTGCTTGTGCCGCGCTCACCACTATCCCCCGACGCCGGTCGACGCTGCAGGCAGGACACGAGGCGTCGGCGCCCACACGGACTTTGGAGCCTTGACGCTGCTACTGCAGGATGAGGGTATGTTGACATGTACGAAGTACATGACTTGCTTTGCTGTCTTGTCTTTGGTCTCTCGTCTTTTGTTTGTTACATCTATTTCTCTATCTCTCTCATCTCCCATCGTTTCGTCTATTCCTCCGGCCCTGCCCTATATATACACCTTTTCTTTTCCCCTGCCCCTCCCACCTTTTATTTGCTCCCCCCACCCTTCTCAGCCACTATAACTAACGTCCTACCAGTCGGCGGCCTGGAAGTCCTCCACAAACCCACCGGCACATGGCACAACGTGCCGCCGATCAAGGGAGCCTATGTCTGCAACATCGGCGATCTGATGCAGATCTGGACCAACAATCGATACAAGTCAACCATGCACCGCGTCATCTCCCCGCTCAGCGGCAAGGACCGCTACAGCTGTGCGTTTTTCAACGACGGCGCCTTGGACACCGTCGTCGAGTGCCTGCCTACGTGCCGAGTGCCGGGCCAGAGGCCGGTCTACGAGCCGTTGAAGGTCGAAGCACATCTCGTGCAGAGATATCTGCAGAGCTACGGGGCGGCCGGGACGGTGTTGGTGTCGTAGGCAGTGACTATACTGTAGAAGGGTGGTCACTTATATACGCGTACAGGTACACATACACATACACACATACATATCAAACTTAGGCACTAACCTAGACATTTCCAGCCTTGTTCTTTAATCAGAAGGCTGGTATGGGCATACTATATAGTCTATGCTCCTATACTCCTTTAATGGCGAATATAGAACATTTCAACTTTTGACAATACACGCGCACACACACACACACACACACACACACACACACACACACACACACACTCTCTCTCTCTCTCTCTCTCTCTCTCTCTCTCGCTCTCGCAATCCAAGCCTTTTAGCGAATGAACAATCGATACGCTTGTCCTAAATTACACTCTACGTTACCAGTATACAAATCTAGACACAAGACATAGATACATGTACATGTATTCCCTCTATAGATAGAAATATAGACTATATCCCTCCACTTACTTCGGCGCCCGCCAACCTTCCCTCCTTGAACTCCTTGACCATGGTTTCCATCGTACACCACTCGACACCCTCGTGCTGATTGATCCACTCGATGATGCGCTCATGCATCAGAATGACCTGCGGCTTCCCGCTGACCTGCGGATGGATGCTCATGGGAAAGACAAAGGTGTCGTACTCGCGGTACAGGAAGGAGAACTGATCCTTCCACAGCCGCTCGATCACATAGGGGTCGATGTAGCCGTGGGTGGAGGCCTGCTTCAGCGACAGTTGGAACGGCGGCCAGTCGTCCAGGTGCCAGTTGGCCGGCACCTCGACCACCTTGGACGGCGTGATGGCCGTCATCGGCTTCATCCACTCGGCCGCCGACTTAGCCACGTCGGTCTCGGTCCATTCCTCGCGCCCGTCCGGCACGTAGTACAGCTGCGAGTCGTGGTGCATGAACGAGTGGTCGTACTCGATCCCGAACTCTTCCAGCAGCCGCACCGTCTCGCGCGACGTCGTCCACGCCGGCGCCGTCCACCCTTTGGGGTGTTTGCCTGTGAACGCGCTCACTACTTGGATCGACTTGGCCAGCACATCGCGTTGCTGTTGTTCGCTGAGCGTCGATACGAATTCGTGTGTGTAGCCGTGGAGGCCGCTGTGAGTGGAATTTCAGTCAATATCTCTCTCTCAGATCTTCCTGATGCAACGGTTAGGGTTTAGGTTTAGGGTTAAGACTTAAGACTTAGGGCTTAGGGCTATGTAGTAGGGTGTAGTGTAGGGTTATGTAGGGTGTAGGGTGTAGTGTAGGGTTATGTAGGGTGTAGGGTGTAGGGTAGGGTAGGACTAGGGCAGGACTCGTTCTCGTTCTGGTTTATTCCAACCCATTGGCAATCACCTCGCCTCTCAACTTACATCTCATGCCCCGCGTCTCGCACTTTGGCCAATTGTTGCGGAAAGCTCTCGATCGAATGTGCAGGCACAAACCATGTGGCCTTGATGCCGTATTTGTCCCACAGCTTCAGCAGCCGGTCGATGCCAATGGTGGCGCCAAATACCCCGCGAGACACGTCGGTGGGATTCGCCGGCGAGCCGTCTCGTGTGTTGAGCCTGTCAGTCAGTCAGTCAGTCAGTCAGTCAGTTTGTAAGGCTTGAATCATATTTTCTCTTGATTCTTTGGTCTAGCCGAGGCATGACTTGACGTGGTATACTTATTCTCGCTGGCTCTGACTTACCATCCACTGACCGCATCGACATCGATGCCATATCCAACCAGCACGCGCTTGACCATTTTTGTTGGTCTTATTTTGGGGGCTGAGTAGAGTTGAGTTGGGTTGAGTTAGACTGATTTTTTATCGTAGATCCAAATTCTTCCTTGTTGACCGGATCCCGAATATCAATCAGGTCCCTAGTCCCTGGGTCCTTAGGTACTTATGATATGTCACACGCTGGTAATGATAGTGTCACGTATGGTAATATTGATCCCATTCCCTTTGGCTTCCTTAGCCTCGACTTGGCCGGCCTGGATCCGTCGTGGCGGGGCGCGGAAATGGGCGCAGATACACGGAGGAGAGCGACCATGCAGCAGCCCAAGTCCGCCTCCTTAGCCTTAAGCCGCCAGCCGTGCGATAACGAGCCTCCTAGTGCGTGCCAGTAATAGTAGTAGTGTCCCGTTCAGAATGCCATGGGGGAGGGGGTGGCGGGTGGCGGGCAGTAAGCGCACTGTCTACGTAGCGAAGTTTGTCGACTGTTGACTGCAACGCCCCATGAAAGACAATTGATACGGACTGACGCCTCACTTCCTCCATACAAGAACCGCTTGCTGGACCAAGACATTACTCTATACCAGGACCGCCGGACGAAAGATAAAGACAATACTCCATACTACTACTGTACAAACTAGTGCCGCCTGTTCAAAGACAACATTCCATACTACTGTACATACTTGACCTCCTGTTCAAAGACAACACTCCATCCTACTGTACATATTAGAACCGCTTGACCAAAGAGACAAGACACGATAACCAGGCACAAAGACCCAGATCCAAACTCAAGATGCTTATCGTCGAGTGCAACGGATCCCCGTTCGAGGTACGGATATGGCAGTGCCGCCTTGAAACGGGCAGGCCCAGACGAGATCGTAAAGTCAAAGTCTCCTAACAGTGAGCAGATAGGAGTGCAGCATGGCACCGCGGCCAAAATCCACATTGAACGATGCATTGCCTTCTACGCCTCACTGTTCCAGAAGGCGAGCAAGCTGGACTGGCCAGCAGTGCAGGACGTGGCACGGCGATTCGAGCCACACATCCAGCAGAAATGGCCAAACTACTACGAAGAAATGCAAGGTGGGCAAGAAACCCTTTCTTTCTTTCCTTCTTTCTTTCTTTCTTTCTTTCTTTCTTTCTTTCTTTCTTTCTTTCTTTCTTTCCTTTTTGCTTGATGCCGCCGCCGCTGCATTGCCCTCAGACTGATCTCGACGCAGGCGTGGCCCAAGGCTCCGGACGATCGATTTCCGACATCATCGCCCTGAATGTGCGAACGGAGATTGCCTTCGGGAGCTTCAGTGACGGCTGCACGTCGCTGGCCTGGCAAACGGAGAAACGAGCATACCTGGGGCAAAACTGGGATGTAAGTGAACAGTAAACTGCTGGTCCGTCTTCAGATGGCGGCAAGATGCCCCCCAGTACCCTCACCCTGCTCCGAGACCGGCCACATGACACGGCATCCGGTGTGATATGGCTTTCTTTCATTGCTAACCATGACCTGAACAGTGGAAACAAGCGCAGCAGGAGAATCTGATCGTGCTCAAGATCCAACAGGCCGGCAAGCCGGCGATCCAGATGATCAGCGAGGCCGGTATCATCGGCAAGATCGGGCTCAACTCGGCCGGGGTCGGGGTGTGTCTGAACGCGATCCGCGCCCAAGGCATGGACCCGACCCGGCTGCCGGTGCACCTGGGCTTGCGCATGGTGCTGGAGAGCGCGACGGCGAAGCAGGCGGTGGCTGCGCTGGAGAGCTATGGCCTCGCCGCAGCAGCACACATGCTGATCGCCGACCCCGGCGACGCCGTCGGGCTCGAGGTGTCGGCGTTGACCACGGCCCAACTGCTCCCGGACGCGCTGGGCCGCGTCGTGCATTCCAACCACTTTGTTCTCCCCCACCCGGGCGTTGTCGACACCGTCTGGATCCAGGATTCGCTGTTCCGCATCGCCCGCCTGACCGACACGAGCGCTGCCCTCGCGGCGGCGTCAAGTGCCAGTGCCAACCCGAACCCGTCGTGGGCCGAGGTGTCGCGCCTGTTTGAGGACGAGGAGAACGCGCCCACGGCCATCTGCCGCTCCGAAACTGGGCCCAGCGATTCCGCTACCTTGTTCAACATCCTCATGGACTTGAGGCAGAAGAAGGCCGTCATTCGCATGGGCAAGCCGTGTCATGTCGACGAAACCGTGACTTTGGAGTTTTGATTTTGGAATTGCTATGTACGGAGTATTGGCGAGGTGAGATTCGCTTCGGTAGTTGGAGCTTGGATTTGCCCCTGTGGTACCAAACTCAGGGAGAAGTGGCTGAAGCGTTTCCTGTTCTCAGCTGTCTTGTTCTTTAGCTTAAGCCATCAAACAGGCCGGCCTGAGGCGAGAGTCATGACAGACCTTTGCGCATATTGCCTACTAGGCCCAGGCCAAGTAAAAGAAAGAACAAGGCTGGGAATAATATGCTTTCCTTTGTTTGACCCGTTTCCGTTAGGAGTCTGTCTGATTACAATCACGGGTACTGTGCAGATGATTTGGCTTATACACACACCCACCTATACTTACTTGCACACTGCAGATATATACATTTGTGCACGCAAACATATAAAAAATCCATGTGTATAGGTATATATCCAAGCCTCGTGTAAAAAGATATACTCCCGAGGTCTGCAATATCCAAAAATGGCAAAACAATCAACAGTCAGGATTCCCACATGGTCACCTACTTCTATAATCGTAGATGAGCAGACTATACTTATGTGAAGAAGCCATAATGATAGGATCCGTGTTTAGACGTCAAGCGTGTAACACGTTGGGTGAGCTGTTTGATGCCAGTGAGCCTGGGTGATCCCAAGTAAAAGCAGCAACCTCGAGGACCCGATTCCAGCGACGATGGTAGGAACGAGTGCCCAAACGGCCACCCAGTTATAGTACTAGATGGGTGGCCATCTGGGCAAAAGGGCAAAAACAATCAACAGTCAGGATTCCCAAATGGTCACCCACTTCAGTACTAACTGACCGGCATGTGGCTTAAGTACGGCTGAGCGAACGGGAAGCCCTGTATTCCACATCCTATGGTCGATTGCGGAAGGAATTGTGGTCCTATATTATATATCCACAGCTAACTGGCCAACTGTCTAGGTATTGCCCCTAACCCGATTCCTAGGGTGAGCCGTGCGCCGCCTACCTCAGCGCAGTCATCTCTGCTCAGCCTCCTCCAAGCCAAGGGCTCTTAGCTAGTCGTCACACGGCCGTCACGCTATTGCATCAACTCCCGCCGGGTTCAGTGGCTGAGAATGAACGAGTGTGGTTGCGAGATCTCAGACAAGGGGCGCGTGCGGCAGTGGCCTGGTGAAAGGAAAGCCACGTAGAACAACACAAGTATCCGTACTCCGCACTGGATACTTAGCCAGTTAGCGTAGGCATCTTCAGGAGTAGCGAACACGCTTCAAGGGTGGCGTTGCCGCCGGACTTCGATTTCGTGCACTTCAAGTTTTGGAGGCTCAAGGGTACCTAAGAGGGACATACCTCATGTCAGTATCCGTACTTACTGTAACACGGATTTGACAATTTTCATATACTGCATCCATTTCCCTGTCAACTTTGCGGTACCAGCCCCTCGCTCCAGTTAGAAGCGGAGTACGCTTCGGCCATCTTATCGAATGAGTCCTCCCTTGCAGTGCTTTAATCTCGGCGAATATGCACGATTTTCCGAATGCGAAGAAGACCTTCACCAGTGCATCGCTCCTACCGCCCGTCGGAAGCGTTGCAAGTGTCAGATCAGCGACGAAGATGTCAACGAGGCAGCAAGCCTAAGACAGCAAGTCGAGAAGCTCGCAAACAGCCCCGAGAGGAACGCTCTTGTGTGCAGATTTGTGTTGCTCCGCTGTTGCGAGAAGTATCATCGAGATAAACTTCGAAGCGGATGAGACTGGTTGCTTGGCAGTGATTGTGAGAAGGTATGGGGACGAGATTCCGAGTGCAACAATCGGGTGCAGAAAACAGGAGTGCTCGGCGCGAACATTACAAACTCAAATCGAATTGGCACAAACATCTGATCCAAAGGAAGAATATCATCAACAGGAATTGTCCTCCCGAGTCGCAGTCCGATATGGACTGAGATCGAAGAAACAAGATCCTCCTAGGGCGCGGGAAACTTATACCGACCATGTGAACGCCGATCCCTTTGTCCGCTACAAGTCGGACCCAAAGGACTCTATCCGTGATGACCTCCTAGCTAGCATACCCGGGCGTTGGGCAACACATGGCCAGGTTTACATATTTTCTTGGCCCTCACAGCCTGGATACGTCAAAATTGGCTTTTCTAGCCGATCGGCAGACAAACGGGTGGCTACCTGGCAGACCTGTAATCCTGGCGCTACGTTACAGAAGTCAATCTCTGTGGATTATCCGGAAAGGATGGAAAGATTGATTCATCTGGAAATGGCTCAGCATCGTTGCAAGATCATAATATGCACAGCGTGCAAACGCAGTCATCAAGAATGGTTCAAGATATCGACCGACCAAGCTGCTCTAGTATTGAGTAATTGGTCAGACTTGACGAAAAGAGAATCGCTATATGACTCGAACAGGACACTGACAGTGCGGTGGCGCCAGAGGATTGAGAGCTTCGACGGCGACATCACCGCAAGAGCGCTACTCGATGTACTTGACGCCGAGGCAGTATCAAAACAAGAGGAAGAGACTGTCGCTACCGTGCAGATGAACCTGAATCAGGGTGACTCCGAATGTGTCACTGCCCCGATCGCCCTTGACCTCGCTCAACAAGACAAGATGTTGACATTTTTTCATGATTTCATGAGTTTACTGGCAATCAATGAGGATGTGGATGCTGTTCCATCTCATCTGGAAGCACCAAATCGAGAGGTTCTTCCATCACCATCGACCGCAGTAGACCTTGAAATTCCAGCTATCATCGCTACTGTCGGCTACTACGCCAAGTGGTCGAACCTGGTGCTGTAATGTGAAGTGCTAGTGGAAGAGGCGGAGAAATGGGAGACAAGAACAACTACCTAATGCATCAGGAGAGTGGCAGCTCTTGCGTCCATCAAAGAGATGGGCTTTGAAGAAGATGCCTCCATATGGCTGCAGAGTCACAAGAATCGAAAGAAAAAGAGTCAGGCCAGTCAACAGAGTCAAACAACCCATATATGTCCGCAGCACCCGGTTTTCCCGGTGAAAACTCCCACGCTCGAGGCAGCCCAAGGATCATGTCAAATGAAAGTTGGAAGGTTTTATGTTCTCTATCAAAGGGGTATAGGGGGAGCGCAGGCTATATAGTGTATAGTATGCCTAAACCAACCTTTTGGTTAAAATGATAAGGCTGGGAATGCCTACGGTAAGTTTGACAGATCGAAGTCCTTGAACCGATTCCCCGTCACCACCTCGTACATGACCCCCTAACCCTAACCCTAACCCTGACCCTTGTCGGGCTGTAGCAATGGTAGTAATGGAGTACGGAGTATATATATGGTCGGAAGCGGAAGAAGTTAGCACGGGCTCAGTGACGTCGGATCCTAGATATCCTGGTCCAGGGGGAATGCTACGGATGTGCCGAATGCTACGGATGTGCCATAACGTGGGAAAACTGCATGCGGCTCACCCCGAGCTCACCCCGGCCGCGCGCGAGTCAGGGTGAGAATAGGGCATCCCACGACAGGGGGAAATTGTTATCCTCGTCCAGGGAGAATCGCCCTGATGTGCCATAACGTGGGAAAACTGCTTGCGGCTCACCCTCCACCCTGAACTCACCCCGGCCGCGCGCGAGTCAGGGTGACAGGGGTGAATTCATCGCAAGTTTATCTACCACTACCGTTAGAGTACTCGTAGGATGTCAAACCGGTCACGATGAGAAATCCTAATTTTAGGTCCTAGGTAGGATTTTCACGTCATCTGTGTTACCACACTCGAACGCCACGAACGCCACAAAACGCCTTCTAGGTGCCTTGCAGCAGTTGCCTGATGAGCTTACGCAATCGAACATGTGGGAAATCAGACGACCAAGAAAGGCCAATCGAACCGTCAGTATGGGTATAAATGTAGGGAACACTCGCAAGACTCTCTGATGTACTCTGTACCACTACGCTACTAGTACTCCGTATAGAGTTCAAACTGTCGCATTCCCAGCCTTGCCCTTTAACCAGAAGGCTGCTTTAGGCATACTATACTACATAGCATGCGCTCCCCTTCTCCCTGCGACCCTTTGATAGAGAACATGGGACATTTCAACCTTTGACACAGAACATGAAACATTTCAACCTTTGACACAAACATGCAGACATCCATGCCACCCAGCGCTACCAAGCGGCTCCTGCATACCAAGACATATCGGCTTCATTTCGACGACGATCCGGAGTACAAGAAAGATCCCAGATACGCGATTCTCTCGCACCGATGGCTCAGTAAAGAGATTACCTTTGATAAAATCGAGCATGCACGTCTCGAAGACAACGATGTCGAAAGCCCGGTCAAGCTCAAAGTCAAGGGCGCATGCGCGAAAGCTCAGGAGCACAAGATCCAATGGCTGTGGATCGACTCGATCTGCATCAACAAGGCCAATTCGGTAGAAGACCAAAAGGCCATCACTTCCATGTTCACCTGGTACCGCCGGGCTTCAGTCTGTTATACCTATCTTTCTGATGTGGTCGTGCCTGCCACGAAAGCTAAGGCTGTATACGACGTCGGTCGGGGTCCCTGTCCCTGTCCATTTTGGAGAGCAGAAGATCCGTCGAAACCTTCGGAATGGTTTGAACGAGGCTGGTGTCTTCAAGAACTTCTAGCGCCGAATCAAATGGAGTTCTATGACAGAAACTGGACGAAAATGGGCACCAGGGCAGAACTGGCAGAGGCCATCGCGGCCATTACACGTATCAAGCCCGAATATCTCACAGGCGAAGAAGACTTTCGGAAAGCTAGCATAGCTGCGAAAATGAGCTGGATGGCCGGCAGGAAAACCAGTGTGCACGAGGACATGGCGTACAGTATGGTTGGAATCTTCGACATTACGAGTATGGCCACAGGCGTCTCGGACGGCATGAAAGCATTCTTTCGACTGCAGAAGGAAATCATCAACACTTCTGTTCTGGCCGATGAAACCATATTCGCCTGGAAGGCCCCTGCTTCCGGGCTCCCTCACACGAGTCACCCCGCTGGCGATTGGGCCCAAGACGAATGGGGCCTGTTGGCGCCATCTCCAGATTGCTTCCGGGATTGCGGAGATATCATCCCCGATGGCGAGGCCCGTCCCAGGCGTCTGGATGGTTATAAAGTCGAACGGGAAGGCCTGAAGTTTCCATTCCCCTACACCGACTTTGTGCCCCGAAGAGAGCAAGTTTTGCAGCTCTGCTTGATGCCATTGCCATGGTTGAACATCATCGGGTTCGAATTCTGGAAACTAGCGGATTCCAAGAGGAAGGAGTTCGCTGTCAGGTTGAATTGTGTCAGGAAAGATCCAAATGGCAAGTGGCGGCCGGTTCAAGTCAACTTACGCAGGTCATCCACCGGATGGAAGATGGAAACTCTTGTCTTCAGGCGATACAACTGTCATCAATTGGATCTCGCGCAAAAGAGACTGAAGGAATTGTATTCTGGTTGGACCATCGTGGGGAAGCACAGAAACAGGATGCGCAAGAAAATGATGACAATCCTCCAACCTGAACCAGACTCAGAAGAAGCGCGGTGATGGAAATGTTCATGTCTTCTTTTTGGGCGGAGTCTACAGTAGCACTCCTGTCCGCCGCCGTACTCTCGCTTCCTGTGACGCGAGCGTGGCTTGCGAAGAACCATTCGCCAACGGTGCACAGAGTGTCGGCGGTCGGCTTGTTCTTCTTCTTCTTCTTATCAATCTTTGCTTCACTCGTCGCGGCATAGAATCGTAGAAAGTCTTTCGCTGTCGCCAGGTCGGGAGCCGCGACGCCCTGACCTGAAAAATAATTACGGGCGGCGATCTCGTTCGGGGGAGGCTGTCCTTCTCTTTGACGATCGTCTCGTAGTTGTCTTATTTGCCTTGCCATCTTCCCTATCTTGCCTTGGACGAGCGGTTGAGGGAGAATCTGAGGAAGTAGGAAGTCCGAGTTTCTCACCGAAGATGATATTCTAGAGTACGATTGTAGTGTTCTTCTGTCTTGGGGATATACTTGTCGACATTGCGCACCTGATCTTCCTCGGCGTGGGCTCAAGGCACCTCTATTGTACCCATTGGCTTCAGCTCGAGCCCATCGTTCGTCGTCCGTCTGCTTTCGCCCGCCCATGGCTTTTCTGATTTTTTGGTCATCCAGAGTTTATACACGAGGGTTAGACTTTGAAAGACTACGGAGGAGTAGCGGGAGGATATGACTAGCGACCGGCGAGAGGAAAGAGAAGGGAGGATAAACAAGAGGGGATTTCGGGGCCAGGAGGCCAGGAACGCCTTATTTTGTACTTGAGGCGAGGGAGGGTCGAGCGTAGGAACACGAGAGGGAGCATGCGCCGGCAGAAACTGGATCCCCAGTTCCAGGTCGAGGGAGAGGAGGCTTGAGGCACGGCAGCCCGAATCGGGACATCATCCAACGTTTCCTCGACCAGCATGGGAAAGCCACTTCGAACAATTTCGCCTTGATGGCATTAGTCCAGGTTTGATTATCTAGATGGAAGACAGTCAGCCTGTACCAGTGGTAGTGGCAGTGGCAGTGGTAGTGGTCGTGGTACTGGTATGGTACTGGCAGTGGTACTGGTAGTGGTCGTGGTCGTGGCAGTTGCAGTGGTAGCGGCCGTGGCAGTGACAATAGCAGTGGTGGTCGTGGTAGTAGCAATATCATCTATTATTCCAGCCTGTCCGGCATCAGAGACCCTCCATTTCCACCTCCATCTCCGTCTACGACTCCATCTACGTCGTTGAGCAAGGCGGCCAAGATCTCATCCGAATCGGAGCCAGTGAAGGAAAAATCCCAGCCCAGCGCGTCCACATCCACGTCTATGTCAGCGTCCAAGTCCAAGTCCAAGTTCAAGGCCACGCCGTCGAAGGTGGAGGTGTATAGAGACGGATTGGAGAAGGCCAAAGCCGAGTCGGAGAGACCCGGTCCCAAGGAGGAGTGAAAGTCGAGCCAGCCTGAGCCTGAGCCTGAACCTGAGCCCAAACCGAATCCAGCCCCGGACCCTGACCCTGACCCTAACCCGGCCTCAGCCTCGATCGTAGACATGGACATGGGTATGGGCATGGATACTTGATGAAAGCCGGCAACAGCAGTAGCAGGGTCGAGGGCGAGTAGGCGATTGGGATCTGAGACTGAGACTGAGACTGCGACTGGTTCTACACCTGATGTTCCATCGAGGGCGGTAGGGTGTGAACGTGAACCCAAGCCTGCCGTCGTAGTCGTCGTCGTAGTGGTGCCGGTGCCGGTGCCGGTCCTGGTCCTGGTCCTGATGTCAATGGCCATGTTCATGTCCACATCCATGTCCATGTCGACGTTTTGTGTTTTCGGTTCGGTTGTTTTGTGTTGACTACTAGCTTCTCCTTCTCCTTCTCCTTCACCTTCTGCCCTCCAAGACGATGAGGACGACGACGACGACGACGACGTGAACGAAAACCGATCCAGCTCATCCTGCAACATGAAAAGGTCCGAGTCGCTGATCGCCTCGCCGTTCAGCCACAGCTTCAACTTCAATAAGACGGCGCTTGAAATGGCGTCTAGAGTCGCGGCGTGTGGTGTGATGTTCGGCCAGCGACGTGATATCTTCCACAGCAGAGGCGGGAAGATCTGGAGATATTTGGGCAAGAGGCCGACTTCGTCTCCGTCGAGATATGTGTTGCCGTTGCCGTTGCCGTTGCCGTTGCCGTTGCCGTTGCCGTTGCCAGTACCATTGCCATGGCCATGACCATGACCATTACCATTACCGGCGGCACTGCCAGTAACACCACTACCACTACCAGCACCGATGTTAGTAGTACCATCTGTGGCAGTGGCAGTGCCAGCTATAATACGAGTCCCAGTACCAGTACCAATAGCACTCTTGTGATTCTTGTCATTGTTTTTGCTGTGGCTATCGTTGTGGGTGCTATTGTTGCCAGTATTGGTGTTAGGATTGTGATTGAAATTGGGTTTCGGCGCATGCATACGCATCCTCATCAACACCGTGGTGAGCATATAGACGCCTGCATCGACGATATAGTGAGCGGCATGCCAGATATTAAACAGCTTGCCGACGCGATCGACGACGCTGAATTCCTTGATCAGGGCGATGGCGGCCAGCAGGGCGCGTTTGCGCATTTCCGCGCCCGGGTTCGGGCAGCGGATGGACGGCCGGTTGAGCCGCAAGATCTGGCACTGGAACAGCAGTTCGTGAAACTCGATCTTCTCGCCAAAGTTGATACTGGCCCGCGTCGTCTGGTGCCACTGGTTTAGTCGCTCCGAGATGTGTGCAAACCAGGCGCTGAAGCCCGCTGTCCACGGCACGGGTTCGGCCCGTGACCACGGGTAGTACATGTTCAGCGTGATTTCCGACTCCAGGTCGCGCAGCAGCCAGAATTGCCGACTGGTCGAGGTTTGTGGGTGGTCGTAGTCGGGAAACTAAGTGTGGACGAGATGAGTGTTAGCATTAGTTGTTCTCCTGTCCTCTCCTGCCCTCTTCTCTCCTCTCCGTCTGCATTACTCGTGCGTTGCATTGTATCTCGCTATAGAACATGGAATATCACACCACACCACACCGCAGAGACTGATAATTCCAGAGGGTTGGATGGAAAGTTACTTACCTTGGTCGTGAAGGTAGATCCGGGCCATAGAAACGGTCGACATTGTACGGTGTGAACTGCGCTGAACGGGAGTTAGATTCAGATTGCTGCCAATTGCTGCTGGCGATGTGGAAATAAAACAAACAAAAGGGCCATGTCAAAAAAGAGAAACCCAGGGGAATTCTGTTTGTGTTTCTTCCTTACCAATCAATATTGTATGAATTCCAAAACAGTCTTCTTCGATGGTTGAGCAGCTCTGGGTCCAAGGCTATCTGGGACGATCGCGATGTCGACGCTGATGACGGACCCGCCGGCGAATCTTGATGCAATCCCAGGTGTAAGCACAGTCGAGTGGCGGCCGCCGTGCATTTCTTGCAGTCGACATCTTTGGGGTTCATGAAGCCGTAGTGCGCAAGCAGCTGTAGGCTCTGCAGCCGCTCCCAGGGATTCGTTTCCGCCGAAGCCAGTTGGTCCAGAAGACCGGCGGCGGTGGTCCAAAACCCGTACGACGCCGTGGTGGCGCGCTTCTCGTCGCGATGCATTAGGGTTTGCATCTGGGTGCAGGTCAGGTCAGCCAAACGATCACTACCTCTAGTATGCAAAGCCGTGTAGGATGTAGGAAGGAGAGAGAAAGAGGGAGGGGACGGTAAAAGGATGGCAAAGGTGCGGCAGGAAGAGACTGGAGACTGGGTCACATACACTGATGGCCAATGTGATGTGAACACAGAAAATGTCAAAGGCAGACGGCTCGGCGTTGTTGTAGACGCGATCGCAGGCGTCGTAGAGATCTGACTGCTCAATGGCGGGATACAGTGGCCGGTAAATTTCACAGTAGTGTTTCAACATAGTGTCCACGACGTGGCGGGGGATGGAGGATAGTTTGCTCGTGCTTGTGGTGGTGGTCGTGCCGTGAGTGGTGCTATTGGGTGTAGTACCAGCACCAACACCAATATCAATGCCAGTCCCAGTCCCAGTACCGGCACTCGGCGAAGGCACCACTTCGACCGGTTCCAGCGTGCCAGGACGATGTGAATCCTGGCTGTGGCTGCGACTCTGGCCCTGGATCTGGGTCTGAGTCCGGCGGCTGAAATACGGCACGGGGGAACTGCCCAGGAAAAAGTTCGACTTGAACCACAGCAGACTTCTTTCTTGCCTCCGAGAGCAGTTAAGCGGTGCGAGCGAAGCGGCAGCCACACTCCGGGACAATCGTTCGATGGACACAGGGGCAGGGGCAAGGGCAGGGATGGAATCGGAAATGCCGTTCTTGTGGCTGTTGTTGCTGCTGCTGCCATTGCTGTTGTCGTCCTGGCCATGGCCATGGCTCTGGGTGTGGTCTTGGTCTTGGCCCTGGATATGACCCAACTCGCCCTCCAGACGAGCAATCTCTTGTTCAAGGTACGACACTAGACTCCGAGGCTTGTCGACTCGGTGGATCGAGTCGAAGCCCAAGCAGGCCACCCCAGCGGTCGAACAGGCGCCGCAAGTTGGGTACTGAAAGTCACACTGATAAAGACGGAGAGGAGAATTAGTCAGGTAACACTCTCAGCGGCCAAAAACACTAATGAGGAAAGTACATGTGAGACTGGTAGTAGATGGATGGGTGGACATGGTATGGTATGGGTATGGGTATGGTATGCTGTCAACTCATTGACTGCCCTGACTGACTAACCCGGATCTTGCGCCTGCGACACCGTGTACATGCTTTACTGTGGCGTCGTTTCTTGGAGGAGATCCGGACATCCGAACTCATGGTGCTGCGATTTTGCAGGCGGCTCAACCAGAACTGAAAGGAAAGCGATAATTGTAATTACTTGAACTCCTCCCAGTGGAAACAAGGGTTTATCTTTCGGGTTTGCTGTGGCTGCTGTATGTGAGAATTCAAATGATTATGATGGCTTGAGGTCTGGGACTGGCTTGGATTGGTATAGAGTACAGTCTGTGCAGAAATCATTAGCTCGAAGTTGGGTCTGGTCAGGAGTCAGGAGTCAGCAGGCTTCTGAAAATGTGTTCGTTCCGTACGTACCTAAGAGGTGTTGGGTACTCGTGCTCGGTACACTATAGAGTACGAGTAATACTCTGCACTGCGGCCTTCCTTGAGATGGCAGTCCACACGAATACGGAATACGCGGTACAGGAGTACTATCAGTCCATCAGACGCAGACGCGGCTTTTGACCGGCAACTCTGCAGACAAGCTAGGACTCTTGCGCACCCGCAGCCACCAATCAGAATGGTGCATTGTTCATGTATCTGCATCGTATCAGTATCCCGTACCGATATCCGTATCTCGTATTCGTCCAGATGTATCTTCGTCGATATGCATCTTCATCTTTTCCCAGGCTGGAGCTCCCACACTCCCACTCCCTCCCAATGCATTTTACAGCAGGCGTGAATACACTCACAGTCTCACGACTCAATGCCTACAGTCTGGAATCTAGAATCTAGAACGACCAGTGCACAATCGGCAGGTCATCACACGGCCTCCCGATGGTGACTTGGGCCGTCCCACCCGTCAGGTCCATAATACTGGTACTCAGCGTGACCAAGCGATCGGTGCCCGTGGCGCCGGGCGGGATGGCCCTACAAATGGCGGGCGGCGTGTTCTTCTGGTCGGATAGACGGGCTCTCAGCGACTCAAAGGACGGGCCCACGCCCTTCTGAGCATCCAGCTCGGTCAGCTCCTCCATACGGGCCAGGCGCGAGAACGAGTCGCGGGCCGGGTGGTCTTTCAGCGTGGCCGGGCGACCGGGGGCGTAGAAATGGTTGGCGTGGGCCACATAGTCGTAGCCTGGGCCGACCTGAAGCGGGATGGAGAAGATGCCGGCAGGCGAGCATTCCCAGTCGCCCACTTTGCCGCCCTTGTCGGCCATGACCAGGTTGATGGAGCTGGCCAGGCCGTACTTGTCGATGATGGCCAGGGCGTCGTCGACGCTGGTGGCGTACTGCAGCAGCCGGCGCACCAGCACGTGCACGGGCATGTGGCTGGGGTTGAGCGAGGCCGACCGTAGCGCATTCATGCATAGCCCGAAACCGGCGCTGTTCATGCCCATCTTGCCCACAATGCCGGCCTCGCCGATGAAGCGCAGCACCAGGTCCGAGTCGGCCGGCGCGATGTGCAGAAACACCATGCCCTGCGACAGCTCCGGGATCATATCCCAATTCTGCGCGAGGAAGACGCGCCCGTCCGCCGCCTTCTGGCCCACCGACGTGCAGCCGTCCGTGTAGTTGGTGAAAGCGATCTCGGTGCGCACGTTGAGCGTGACAATGTCGTCCAGCGTCAGCCCACCGCCCGCGCCCGCCGCGATGCCTCGCATTTCCTCCACAATCTCCGGCCATTGTCTCTGGATCGTGGGCAGGAACTTGGTGACGGCTCGCTCCCGCGCCTGCGCCCACGTCACTTTGGCCGTTTCGCCGAAGAAGTCGCTGTACATGCCGATGTTGTGGTGCACTTCCGTCGCCGCCGCGCTGCCGTGTGTGAAGCCGATCTCGTACGCACTCCCGGAGCAGTGCACCGTCTTGACCCTCGGGTCGTCCATGGTGACGGGGGACTTGGAAATCATGGTGATGCGCTCGATGGGAACGGTCGACACTGACTGAGCAAGGAGCGTTCGATTCAACTGAACAGAAGGGAATGTAATGCAATGCAACGGGGGGCACTGTAGGCAAGAAGCAAGCAAGATCCTCACTCACTGGAAGGAGGTATACCTGTGGATAGTGGACAACCGGCTGTATTACATACCTCTATATCTACCTAGGTACTGAGTACTGTGTAGTAGTTCGTATCGCCTTTCGCAGAGTGGATTCGTATCGACGGACAGGACCGACACCTCACGCGTCACCCTCGCATGGAGCCGCGCTGCGCTGCTCGCTCACGGCAAACCCTACGGCTCTTCGCCCTCGCCCCTACAGAGGACAGTACTTTGTAATTACCACATCGTGTGGGTGCGGTGGACTGGGCCTGTCTATCTGTAAGCAGATGAATGGGTCCCTCTGTTACCCTCCGTTCTGGTGTACTCGGTATCCTATTCCCTATGGTGAGTCCAGGTACTAGGAATCTCAACGACGACAGACTCGGACTCGGAGCACCTAGCCTTGGCACCCGTTTTGGACTGTGGCCCCGCCGCTTTACTCTGCCTGCGCAGTCCGCTTAGCGACACGCAGATGCTTAGACAGCGTAATTCATCCCTTGAATCCTCGACTGTTTTGTTTGGTACTATGACGACTCTTGTGCTGTGGCACTGTAAACCCTACTCTATACAACTATCACCATCGATCCCACACGTGGTCGTCGGCAATCATTCCTACGGCCTTCCCATGCTGCTTGTACACCGTGGCATCCTTCATGACAAAGTCGACGCGGCGTAAAGCCTTGTCATCCACTCGAGGGTCGGTGCGCAAGGCGATGAGATCGGCGCGCAGGCCCTTTTCAAACCAGCCAAAGCGCATGCCACAGAGGTCCTTCCCACAAGACTCCCAGCCGCCGACGGTGCAGGACTCGAGAGCGTCCTCCAAAGACATGCCGGCCTGGATCAAAAGCTCCAACTCCCGCACGCCCTGACCGTGGGGGTAGGTGCCCGTGTCTCCGCCGACGGCGAAGCGCACACCCAGCTTCATGGCCAGGGCGGACTGGGCCAAGATTTCGCCGAAGCGTTTGGCGTGCACGCGCTCGCAGACGGCGAGGGTGGGCACGAAGACACAGCCCTTCTCGGCCATCAGGCTGAACAGCTCCTCGTTGGCATAGTAGGCGTGTTCGAGGGTGGCCACGCCGGCCCGGACCGCCATCAGCGCGCCTTCGATGGTGCCGGCATGACACACCACGGGGGCCTTCGCCAGGGCGGCCTCCTTGACGATCATGTCCATCTCTTCCTGGGCAAACACCACAATGTCCGGGTTCGGATCTGCGGGCGGGTGCAGCGGACTCGGAATGTAGGGGTGTTGCTGGGCCGGCGGGTACCGCATGATGCGGCGTCGATAGTCGGCAAAGAACTTGATCAGGTCGGCCCCGGCCGCGATGCGCCTCCTCACCGCTGTGCGGATCTCGTCCACCCCGTCCACCGCCTCGCCGCCGCGAGGATAGCAGACCCCGTTGGCGTGGTTCTCGGTCCGGAGCTCGTACGACCCGGTACTGGATAGCGCTCGGGTTGCCACGAAGAGCCGCGGGCCGGGGATCAGGCCCCGGTTGATGCTGTCGCGGATCTGCGCGTCCATATCTCCCATCGACTCGGAGCTCAGGTCACTGTCCGACGACATTGGTCAGCGGCCGTTCCACACGGTGCAGATCACAGCATACAGAGTAATGACAGCAGGCACATGTCATGACCCGGGCCCACATTCTAAGGAACGAAACGAAACCGAAAGGGAAAGGGAAAGGGACAGCATACTGGGAGGAATGACAGCAGGCACATGTCATGACCCGGGCCCACATTCTAAGGAACGAAACGAAACCGAAAGGGAAAGGGAAAGGGACAGCATACTGGGAGGAATGACAGCAGGCACATGTCATGACCCGGGCCCACATTCTAAGGAACGAAACGAAACCGAAAGGGAAAGGGAAAGGGACAGCATACTGGGAGGAATGACAGCAGGCACATGTCATCATCCGTGCACACATCCCCATCCCAGGGAAGGAAACGAAACAGCAAGAAAGGCAAAGGAAAAGGGAAACAAATGTTTTGCCATACCGGTACGTCGTGAATCCCGACAGCAGTGCAGTGCGGCAATGCTGCGTGGCGCGGATGATCCTCTCGGGGATACTCTCATCGCGCTTTTGAGTCAGGGACGGGCGTTCACTGCCAGTGGTTAGAGTTGGCCGGCAAGAAAGAGCCTGATGAGACGTCCGACTCAGACTCACTCGTAGGAATGAAGAAAGATATGCGTATGGGCATCCACGAGCCCCGGCAACACCACCTTGCCACGGAGATCGATGTCGCCGGCCGGAACAGAGCTGCCCAAAGAATCGGGCTTCCGCTCAACCACATCGACAATCAGGCCGGTGTTGGGGTCGACCGTGATGGACACGTTAGACACAAAAGCCTTCTTCTTCGGATCGAATAGCGTCGAGGTGTGAACGGTGAAGGGGGGGTTGGTCATTGTGGTGGTGTCTGGCGTACAGTATAGTGTACTGTACTAGATAAGTGAATCCTGAGAATGAGGAGGGACAGTGATCAATCAATGAATTAATCTGAGAATGAGGAAGTACTGTAATCAATCAATGAGAATGAGGAGGTACTGTAATCAATATGTGGGAATGAGTACGTACTGTAATCAATCACTGAGTCCGTACTGTAATCAATGAATGAATGAAGGAATGAAGGAATGAGAGTGAGTAGGTAGGTAGGTACTGAAATCGTTCAATGGCAAGATAAAGCTGAGATGGGATTGGGATGAATCTTGTCTGTTGTCCGGGATTGGATGGATGGGTGATAGTGAGAACGTCCCCTGGTTTAAAAGCATCAGCCTGCCGCCCCGTCCCATTCTTTTTTTCCACTTACCTTGATTTCCATTCAGAGGAATGCAGGAACTGGAACTGGACCTGGGACGGGAATTGGATCTGGAATTGGGACTGGAACTGCCTTACTCAGATCATCTAGACCCTTAGCCCTGCTGTCCTGTCCTCCACTTCCACTCCCACTCTTATTCCCACCCCCACCCTCACCGGCAGATAGACGCCCCTAGCCGTCAGGCGGGAGCAGATTGACGCTCAACCCCGTCACAGTCACTCGTAGTAGTATACATAGCAGAACAGACGTGCGGCCCCAGCAGTCACAGTAGTTACATAACAGAACAGACATGCGGCCCCGGCCCCGGCCCCAGCTTACGCTTAATGTGGCGACGTACGGATAGCTCGCTCTCGTCCGTCGCATAACCCCGCGTTTCGTAGATACAGATACGATAGGTACATTATCATCGTATCCATCCGTACTGGACCCCATCATATTGTATCAAACCATATCATATTACGCTGGACGCAGGTGGATGCGGATGTGGATGTGGACGTGGACGTGTGTGGCAACATGCTGGACCGTCTGTTGTGATGTGATGTGATACTACTGGACTGCAGCACCACAGGACTATAGAGAGATGCTGCTAGGAATGGGATGGAATGTCGACTTGAACAAGCTAGTCCATGCGAGTTATGCTGATGTGTCTATCGTACCCGGTACTCCGACTGTCTCGCCATGCTATGTGGAAATAGAAATAGAGATAAATCTTGACAGTCATCATTAGGAATCCTTCCTGGCTCCTCGATTGCCTTCTCCTTCCCTTCCTCTTCCTCGGAATATACGGTGTCTCCTCCCCTTCCCCTTCCTCGGCGTATCCTGTCCTGTATTCGCACTGTCCTCCGCAACAAAGGCCAGGCATTCGAACAGACCCGAAACATCGAAATCAAAATCAACATCAACATCGAAATCGACATCGAAATGACCTTTTCACTCATCGCTACCGGGGATCTCGTCCTCCACGGCCCGTTGAAGAACCCCACCGGCCCTGGCACCTTCTACGACCACGTGCGCGCGGCCGACTCGGTGTTCGCCAACCTCGAGATGCCATTTTCCAGTGACGGATACGCGGTGGAAAAGCTGATTCCGCTGAGATGTGCGCCCGACCACGCCCCGATCCTCCGCGATCTCGGCATCGACGTCGTGACGGTGGCCAACAACCACGGCATGGACTATGGCATCGAGGGCTTGCGCTCGACGCTGGGGGCGCTCGACCGAGTCGGCGTTTCGCACGTGGGAGGGGGATTGAACGTGACGGAAAGCTTCGCGGCCACGGTCAAAGACCAAAATGGGACCAGAGTCGCATACATTGGCGTCACCACCACGTTGCCCAACGGCGCCGGCGCCGGGCCCAAACGGCCTGGGTTGGCCGGGGTGCGCGTCTTCACCAAGTTTGTCATTGACACGGTGACGCTGGACGAGTCGCCGGGCATGTCGCCGTTCGTCGAGACCAGCACGTACAAGCCGGATGAGGAGGTGCTTCTGCAGGCCATTAGGGACGCCAAAGCTCAGGCCGACATCGTGCTGGTCGCCATCCACTGGGGTGTTCCGCACGGCTGGGTGGCGTCCAGCCAGGACGAAATCGCCACCTACCAGCAGCCGTTGGCCCATACCATGATCGACGCGGGCGCCTCGGCCATCTTCGGCCATCATCCCCACGTGGTGCAGGGCGTCGAGTTTTACAGAGACGTGCCCATCTTTTACAGTCTGGGCAACTTCATCTTCAGTAACAACATTGTCACCCCCGACGCCAACTGGCGTACCTATCCCGAATATAGCTGGAACAGTCTGCAACGGTCGCTGTCGAATATCGGCGCCCTGGCCAAATTGTCCTGGTCCGCCGGAAAACTGTCCAGCTGTTCGCTCATTCCGCTCACCCTACCGGAAGACGGGGAGCCGGTCGAGGCCACGCCGGACGACGCACAGTTGCTCCTGTCACGCCTCAATGCGCTTTCGCACGCTCGTGGGGCCGCCGTTGAGCTGAAGAAACTGGATCGGGGATATGAGTTTATCGTCACCCAGACCCAGACGGTCGCGTGATTGGGAGGACACGGCTGGGCGGGCTGGTACAGCCTTGGATTACGTACTCTGTAAAGTTAAGCTGTCAGACTAGACTAGACTAGACTCCAGAGTAGCTCAACAACCGTCTCCCATGCCTGGACGTGTGCCGTGGCGCTGTTCCAGCGGGCGGAAAATGAGGCCAACAGGGCAGAAACCTTCAGGACTGGGCTCATGGCCACGCGCGTCCCTATGGAATCCGATGGCCGATATCCGGGTGTCGTGATGCGGTGGTACATCAAGTAGCTTGCCCAGACCAATCCAGCTTCAAGGACCCGATCCGCGGCCATCCATAGACTGATAATCTTCCTGCCTCCATCAAGCCGGGCAAAGTGATCGATGACTGCGGACGCAGAATGTGCGATCACGTGGAATAGCCGCATCGAAGAGTCGTTGAGAATTCCCTTCGAGGCTGCATCTGAATTGGTCATCAATGGATGCAGCGCAGTATACAGCGTCGCTGAGTGGATGCTGATCGGTGAATTGATCGATGTCAGCTGCATCGACACAGGAATGAGACGCTCGAAGGTGCTTTCTGGTGGACGAGGGGAAATCGTAAATTTTTCAGCCAGGTCAAGCAAATGGCTGGCAACTGTGAGCTCGTCGGGCAAATGGCCGGATGAAGAGGCTTCCTCCGAAATGGTCCTCAGCCGCATGGCACAGAACGGGGAAGGACGCCGGAAATGTAAGGCAGTAGCGCTACCCAGAGGTATCATATCAGCGGCAGCTTGGAGAATGACCTGAACAGCTGGGGCTTACCTCTCCATCTTGAGTAACGAACGCTCTAGTCGCCGGAAATCATCATCCATCTCCCTGTGGATGAGCTCGTACTCTTGCCGGAGGTCGTCCAGAGTCGACAAGGCCTTTCCAAGCAGATCCCACAATTGGCCAAAGAGTGGGTTGATCAATTCACAGAGAGCAAGCGCCCCTAGAGCAGTACAAGTCCATCTTGTCGACTCTATGGGGTCCCCCAGCGATTGAGTCCTTTGGGCCACCATCCGTACTTCTTCCAAACAGCGCGTTGATATGATGGACAAGTTCGAATCTACATCTCGAGTGACGAGGGTAGATGAAATAGCAAAGACAATGCTCATGGCGAACCCTCCGGGCTCATCTTTATTCGCGCTGTACCATCTCAGAGGGTTCTCATGTACCAGCAAAGGTGGTTCGAGTTCGGAAGGCAGGAAGGTGTACTCCGAAGACACCGTTTTGAAGTAGTGGTCTATCAAGGCTCGCTGAGTAGAAGCCGGCACTAGCGACTGGAGCTCCAGTTTCCGTGGATCGTGCGTAATGACAAAAGACTTTACCGTTGTAGAGTGCTCGGCCTGGATCGACCAGGACGACTGATCTGGGAGCAGTCGGTCCGGCATCGGGACGTTGTTTTCAAGGCACCAGTGGACCATGCGCTTCAGCACCCGCTCTAGGAGCCGCGCCATGCTTCCTGGGCCCAGATAGACGGTCCGGGAGGGAGATAAAAGCACATCCTGGTGCGTGATGTTCAGGTGATAGTCTTGCTCCAGTGCTTGCTGCGAATGAGCTCCAACTTCGAAATCGTCTGTGGGTGTATGACTGTTGTCAGTGGCATGTTGGATTTCGCGCTCTAGCCGCTGCTTCTCCTGCTGAAGAGAATAAAGATAACTGGAGGTTAGGTCAGAGCGAGACATGGGGGCCAAAGCATGGATCTAGCTTGCCTGCAGGATACTTCCCGTTGAAGAGAGTCGTCCCAGAAGCTACACTCGACGTCCGCGACTCGGCAGTTCTTGCAGGCCGGCAATTGAGGGTCGCACTGTTGGTGAAAAGTCAGCATGGATCTTAAGGTAACCCTTTCGCAGAGATCCGGGCAGTTGTGACTTTTATCTTTCTCTTACGACAACGAATGCAATTTTGCAGAGCCATCATATACGATCCTGGCGATGCATATCATATACTAGACGTGCTTTGGGTTGACATAATTAGATGAAGGAGGGAGGGTAGTGATGATAGATCTTCCCCTACTCCGTAATGGCGGCTGCCAAGCCAATATCCTGGGGCACTAGTACTATTATGAATGGATATAGATTGTAGTACCACAATTTCTTCCGCAATCGACCATAGGATGAGGAATACAGGGCTTCCCGTTCGCTCAGCCGTACTTAAGCCTCATGCCGGTCAGTTAGTACTGAAGTGGGTGACCATTTGGGAATCCTGACTGTTGATTGTTTTTGCCTTTTTGTTCCTTGTATTTTGTTTTTGAATTCTGAGGCTTATCCATTCGACACGAGGCTTTTTTTGGATCATGCCGAGAAACGAGAATTTGTGTGGGTGGTAGGGCCTAATCATGTAGGTGGATGCCCAAAACTTAACTCGCCGAATGAATCCAAAACATGTTTGCGAATGAGATATGTAGTTATACATTATTCCCAAAGTACAGTGGGACAAAGACAAAAGATCAAGGTGCGCTGTTGCTGTCGTTTTGGAACACTCTGACCACAGTACATTATCCAAGCCATTTGGGAATTGGGTTTCCTCGTAAATGTACGAAAGACTTGTAGGACTTCGTTCGCAAATACTATACTAATCCAGAAGTATTATGTTCGCCGAATTTAACAAACTTCTGCCACGTATTGGTCAATACCAAATACTTCACACTTGCCTCTGCCGCATCAAAGACATGCTCGTCAAAGCCCGGCCGTATGATTGCTCTGGCCCCACCCAGCGGCGACACGGCTGGATGTGGTTTGAAAAGTGTTTCGGCCATTGCCGACGGGTGTGTGAATGTGAATGGTCCTTCGATGGCAGCCGTGGCAGCCTCGTCAAACAAAGTGTCCTCTGAATTAGACCTGGCCGTGTGACGAGTACGAGTAGACGGTGGCATGTGCTGTTGAATGGGAGACAGCGGCTGAAAGTGAGACTGAGACTGAGACTCGGATGTAAAGCCTACTGCAATCTTCTCATTCTTCTCGACCAAGTGACCGGTCGGCACGGCAGGGCTGAAGATTGCATCCAGATCTCGTCGGATCTTGGCTTCGATGTTGATGGGACATTCGGTCGACTTGTGGTTCACTCGCGACGTGTATATTTCCACGGCAGAGCTGAAGAGCCGAGCTCGGGCGCTGGTTGTGAGCGCGTTCTCGTTCTCGATGCGTGGAGCAGCATCGCAGGCCTGGCGCCAACGGCGAACCTGGATGAGAAACAGGACATGCTCGGCGGAGAAATCCTTGGTCGCTGCAAAGTACAACAGCGGGTACGGGTTCACGGCCAACGCCTTTTCCAGTGAAGCCATGGAACATAGCTGGCGATGTCGACGTGAAGGCGCTTCAGTCGATGTCGATGGTGCCATAAGCGACGTGTCTCCACTGCTTATGATCGATGATGATGCCGCCAGATGATGCTGATCTATCGACTCGCAGCCTCGGCCTCCACCTCCACCTCCACCTCCTGCTCGTTGCTCTTCCCAGTGGTTGAGTATGGCCCGTGTGGTCCGCATCTGCGAGCTGCTCTTCCAGATCTCATACACTGGAAAGAAGACGGTGGTAAGTTGCATCACGATTATGCCGGGTGCTAGCCTGCATGGTGGTCGGTCAGTCACCCATTGGATATATCTACTCACAACCCATGACGAAAGCTGCACATACCACATTGGAGGAACCCACCAAATATTCACTGGTTTGAACGCCGTCGAAAACACGGCCGCGATCCACAGCGGCGCGCCGGGAAGCCTACGTGTGCATGGTCAGCATCGACGGAGTAGATTGGACTGAGCGTGGCAATATGTACGTACCCTGAGATCACGCTCAACATGACCTGCAACTTCCACGAATGCGTGTCGGTGATATTCCTGACGCCGAACAAGAGATACGGTCCATACACCCAAGCCCACACCAGCTGCCAGAAGGCCGACGGGATCCTGCTCGCAGTTCAGTTGATTAGGCCAAGCCCACATTTCCAGAAGAAGAAGAGCTGGGCTTCCTGACCATTGCTGAGACTTTCGACATAAAGCTTGTCCCTTTGCATGAGATATGTGTCCATAACTCGCCCAGTCACCCTGCAGCGTAGGCGTAGTAGCGTAGAGGATACCCGTGACAATCAACTGCGCAGCGGTCTTAGTCTCCGTCTCCTGCTGCTACGGTCCGTTCATTGAAAGTCAACGTACATACCTGCACTGTCATTCCCAGCGCGATCAAGATGTACGTTCTCTTCACGCCAGGTAGGTGAGTCCAACGGCTCCACCACCTTGAGGCAAACGAAGGATGCGCCACATCCACATCTTGGTTGCTGCCGCCTTCTTCTTCAAGCAAGAGGCCCTTTTGTTGCTCACTGATGCTCTTCAGTTGCATCAGATTGGCTTGGAAAAGAGCAATCCCACACGGTAGGTAGACGCTCATGATCCAAAACTCGGCGGCACACGGGAAATGGCCGTTCGTGGTGTATGCAAGGAAGATTTTGATCAGGTAGATATGAAGGGACGTGACAGAGGCAATGGCGAGTGGTAGGTTGCGAATCTTGATGAAGGCCAGATGTCGATTGTAAATCAGCCAGGTCACGCCCGCGTACAGAATGACGGTCCACGCGAGGATGAATCCAGCATAGAACTTGGCCAGGTCGTCCCAATTGACGAGGGTTCCCCAGTTGCGGCCTTTGGGATTGAGTCCCATATCTAGTTCAGGGGTCTCGAACCGGCCTTTCCAATCGTTCGGACGGCGTACGACCTGAGCGGTTCGTCGCTCATTACTGTGGTATCGAGTCGAGTCTGCACAACGTCTTCACGGTGCAGCTGCAATTGAATATATAGAGATCGAGATCTAGACCTAGATCTAGATCCAGGAGACAACCCCAGGGCAAGAAGGGCGACTGACATGGTGACGTCGTCAAGCTTTCAATGGCCACCCACCTACTCTGTAGTCATCCCGTCCCGTCCATTGCGTGCCTGGCATTCTTGAACTGACGCCTCAGACACAGCGGCGTGGATGGTAGATGGTGGATGAACACGATACGAGGGTTTTCAGAGCGGTCGGCCTCCGACACTTGTCCCTGAAGCTAACTGTACCTTGCCTGCCCTGCTCCTCCAATGGGATTCTGTAGGGGTAGTATAAGGTTGGTGCATGAGTACTGCACTCTGTATGTGCATCTTTGATTAGCAGACGTTGCGGCAGAAACTCTCAGACGAGGCTAATTGCCCCTGCTGAAACCCCTTAACAAATCACCGATGTGGCTGAAGCGGGACGGGATGAATCAAGTTCCACATTTAGTTCCCGTACTACGGAGGGCTGATTCAGCCCAGCCATGAGATTGAGATTGAGATGCCTGGTTGCCATCTCCTTCGCCAGTGCGTGGTGATCGTGGAAAAGCCGATTTGGCCATCTTTGTCATCAATCGATCCAACCCGCCTTCTCTGGGGTGTCCATCCTTTCTGCTTCGAGGATACCCTCGCTGTCTATGGGCTAATAATAAATAATGATACCCCTTGGGCGCGGTCGGCACCGTCCTGGTCCTGTCCTGGTTCCTGATAAAGGAAGACCGAGACTGCCTTCGGCCCGTCGCCCCCTCTAGTTTAAGGGCTGTCTTATACTAGGCCTGACGTCTAGGTCCAGATTTTCTAGATGCAAGACACAGTGACTGATAGTAGAGGTCGCCTCCAGAGTACAACCTACACTCTTCAGCCTACACCCTCCACCACCCTCCAGACCCGTGACCGCGATGGTGTTGATTGGGGCGGTTAAGCCAGCCGGGGTCATGTGACAAGACGGTAAGGCGTCTAGGATGACGGCAGGGACGTCGCTCTCACCTCTCACCTCTCACCTCTCACTTCTGACTTCTGACTTCTCGCTTCTCGCTTCTCCCCTCGCCGGCCAAGAGAGTCGATTGATTCGAGTGCCGCATCTCTGTGTGTCTGTTGGTGTGTGGTTTGTTTACCGTTCAGCCATGATCTATCAGGCAGAAGTCCTTCTCCCAGTCCCAGCGCCGTTGAAGAGCCTGAGCCCTAGCCTATCTGATCCGCCCTCCTCCTGTCAGCCTTCAGCCATGGCTCAGGCATCTGTACCGGTCCCAGACCAAGCTGCCAACCAATCCGACATGCTCCCAGGTTTCACCGCGGCAGGCCCGCCAAACTCGAACGACAGTTCCGGCTCCGGCTCTCGGCCCGAGAGACGCTCAGGCTTCCCTCAGGACCCCGTTCCACTGGTGGCCAACCTGAGCCCCCGCCCCCGCAGGCGGCAGACTAGAGCCTGTGACAGTTGCCGCGCCCGCAAAATCCGATGCACCGGGCTGCGAAACTGCCAGCAATGTGCGCACGCGGGTATCCCATGCGTCTACTCGAGCATCAGGCCGTCGAGCCAAAACACCACCCCCCGGGGCTCCGTCGTCTCCCCGTACCACAAGAGCGGACGATCGGCGAGCCAACCTACCATGGCAACAACCGACTGGGCACAGCTACAGCCACAGCCACAGCCAGAATCACAGCCAGAACCAGAGCCTGTTCCTGCGCCTGCGGCAGCATACTCTCATTCGTCCAAGTCAAGTGGAGGAGGCACAGGTGTCGGTGCTGGTGTCGGTACCGGTGTCGCCATCGACATGGCTGGGGTGCAGCGCGAGTCCGACTTCGTCCCACTTCCCCGACATTACCTGGCCGCGCTCTGCCAAGACTACGTCGACATCGTGTTCCCCATGTACCCGATCATGTCGCCGTCGGATGTCGAGGTCTCGATTGGCGCGGTCGACACGGATGCGGACCACCGGTCGTTCGTGTACGCGCTGGCGGCGGCGACCATGAGCATCACCAGCGCGCAGTCACGCCACGAGGCAACCGACGTGGTGCAGCGGATCATATCGCTCTGCCGCGAGTCGCTCACGGTGCGGCGGCCGCTGCTGTCGCGAGACACGGTGTCGGTGCGGCTTATCATGACGTCGGTCTTCATCCAGATCAGCCTCGCCGAGATCCAGGACGTGGCGACAGCGTGGTTCCATCTGCGCGAGGCCACGACCATGACCCAGATCCTGCGCGTCGACCACGTCGACGAGCTGGCCCAGCTGGATCTCCCGGCCCGCGCGCGCCTGCAAAGGCTGTACTGGATGCTATTCATCCATGAACGGTTTCTGGCCCTCTGGGACTACCGTCCCGTCTCGTTGGCCCCGCTCGCGACCCTGCCCGAGCGTGACTCGGCCGTGCCACATGCCATTCAGACCGGCTTCGACCGCATCATCAAACTCTTCCGACTGGTCGACTCGACCTTTCTCGACGCCCGATCGAATTCGACCTCGCCCTTGACCTCCAATCCGAAACCGAACCCCGTCCCGTCCCTGACCTATGACTGGGTCCGGCAGAAACAAGCGGCACTGGGACAAGACGATGATGCAGCCGATGTCTACGACTCCCACGATGCCCCCGGATCAAAATCCCTGTCCGAGATGCAGCACATCGACCTGATCATCACGCGTACCTGGCTACGGATCTTGCTGTGGCAGACGGCCATGGGGGCGGGACTATTAAGCAGGCTGTCATTGGATGCAGATGGCACCCCCGACCCCCATCCAGGGAATGCGTCCATGTCCCCGTTCTTCCCCGTCCGACTGGCTCCTGTACTACGATCGTCGCTGACCAACACGTCTCTGGCGGCACTCGAAAGCCACGGCTGTTGTCTGCTGCAGAAGCTGTTTGAGATTGTCAACACCATCGCCGACGTCCTGGTGCACGTGTCGGTGCCGGCGCCGGCATCTGTGACCGCTGCTCCGACTTCCCCCTCCAACCTGGCAGAAGGCGCCGAACACATGAGTCATCTTCTGTTTCTGGTTCGCTTCCTCCTGAATCTGTGCTGGAAGAGCCCTGTACGCAGTCAGATTCTCAATAGACGAATAGAGGGCCTGTGTCTCAAGTTTCTCGATCTGCAGAGAGTGATTACGGAGAATTCACCATTGCCATCATCCCTTGTAGTGACAGCTGCAAGTTGAAACAAAAACAAAAAATCCCAAAATTAAAGCCAAAACTCCAAGGAAAAAAAAGAAAAAAAAACCAACATCGGTTCGAACCTCCCAAGCTTTGGAGATGATCAGGAGCGGAGCAGGAGCGGGCTTACCTACTTCTACTCCCACACCATGGTGATGTATAGTTGTTTATGTATCTAGACATCAACAAGCCGGGAGAAGCAGTGTGAAGTGTGCAGAAGAAGAGGAAGAAGAGGAAGAAGAGGAATGAACTTGATGATTGATGATTAATGCTTGATGCTTGTAGGTTGGCAGTTATGTATGGCACTATCAGACGACATAAGGACTACACGATTTACAATATATATACTTCTCTGTCAAACTTAGGCACATTCCCAGCCTTGTTCTTTAACCAGAAGGCTGGTTTAGGCATACTATACACTATATAGCCTGGGCACCTAAGGCTCCTAAGGCTCCCCCCATACCCCTTTGATAGGGAACATGGAACATTTAAACCTTTGACATTCTCATCCCCCCACAACGTATATATAGACACCAACACTAAGTAACTGAATATCTAATTATTTCGCCATGGCTTCCACAACTTGTACTTGTAAGTACAGCCTGTTTTTATCTTGTCACGACTTGTCCTTGACTTGTATGCACAGCGACTTTTCTAACCCTAACCCTGCTACGGTCGGTTAGTGTCGCACCATCACCCTGCTATGATCGGTTCGGTCGGTCATTGACGCATGGTCATGCATGAGCGTTCTTCAAAGCCGCACAAGTGTCGTCGACATATAATTTCGTCTTGGCCAGTTCCGCCATGTGCTGGAAAATATGCGGAACTCCAGTATATCTTGAAGGGAGAGGGAGCGTAAGTGATGATTCGATTTTTATTTTCATTTCCATTTCAATTTCTACTCCAAGAAGGAAAGGAGGAGAGGAGGTGACATGAGTTTTGTATAAGGTAACATTAGGGATTCGTACTCACCGTCTAAACGTCACCTTACACCCCCCACCGACCAGTCTCATCCCATAGGCCTCCCCCTCGTCTCTCACGGGATCGGCGCCCGCAGTGGCGATGAAGCTGTCACAAATGCCGGTGAAGTCGGGGGCGTGCAAAGGCTCGTTCCAGAGGCTAGGCACGCGGGAGCGGTCGCCCACCACGTCTTTCAGAAAGGTGAGGCGCGTCCAGTTCAGGCATGGCGCCAGGGCGTTCTCGACGTACGAGGGGAAACCGGCGTCTTCGGGCCGTCGGAACGGCGTCCGGTCCTGCACCGTGGGTACGCAGAGCACGGCCAGTCGTAAGTCCAGGCCGGCGTCTCGCGCCATGTGTTGGTAGATGCAGGCCATGAAGCCGCCCGCCGATACGCCGCCGATGGAGATGGAGTCGGATCGAGTGTTGATTTGGGTGGAGTGGGTGTGGACCTACAGTACAAAGCACTTGATTAGTGGAGATGAGGGTAGAATAGGGCAGAGCAGAGCAGAATATAGCAGGGTAAAGCAGAGGAGGGTAGAGGAGGGTAGGGTAGAGTAGAGTAGGGCAGAGTAGAGCAGGGTACAGTAGAGCAGGGTACAGTACATCAGACGGAAAAGGAAGGCTGGGAATCAAGATAAAAGGCAGGATATCAAGATATCTAGCAAGTATGTAACTAGACGTAGGACTGGCTGGCTTCCTTTCTTACCCAGTTCAGTGCGGCCCAGCCGTCTTCGGTTCCTTTGCCGAATTTATGCTCTGGAGGGAGAGGTGGTTCAGTTCAATGGAATATAGTACAGGTCGGTTCAGTCCAGTGCAGTCCGTTCAGTCTAGCTCAGTGCAATGCAGTCCGTTCAGATTTGAATGAAGGAGAGGAGGAGGAGGAGAGGAGGAGGAGGAGAGGAGGAGGAAGCATCCAGTATGAATGGATGGAAGACCATAAATGTCTTTCTTTCTTCCTTTCGTACCTGGACAAAGTCGGTAATCAACATCCACGACTACGATTCCCACTCGCTCACAGACAGTCATGCAATATTCGGCGTCTTCGGTAAGGTCGCCGAAGCAGAAGCCGCCGCCTAGGAGATGGAATGGGGTCAATAGAGTACCAGTCGAGTAGAGTAGAGTACCAGCAGAATACTAGTAGAATACCAAAGAGTACCAAAGAGTACCAGTACCACTACTGGCGTCACTAGTAGCAAACAACTTACCATGATAGTTGACATGGACAGCATACGGCCCTGGCCCAAACACTTCGGGATCCGGACTGTAGACTCTGAGCTGGAAGATGAAGCCATCTCCCGACGCAATCTCGACCGTCTTCACCCGCGGTCGGTCGCTGTAGTCTCTACACCAGTGCGGGCGGAATTCTTCTGGGTGGGCCCGAATGTGCGCAAAGTCCACTGGTGCTTGGTGCGTGGCCGGCCGCGTGGCGAGTCGAGTGTTGTAATACTCGATGAAGTCGGGGTCGAGGTAGCCGTGGAAGTCGGGGTGGATGGGGTTCACCAGCTGACTCTGAGCAGAACTGGAAGAAGCAGTGGCAGTGGCAGTGGTAGTGGCCATGGTTAGGGGTAATTGAGTGGTTGGTTGCAAAGCAGACTGACTGCTCAATTCTAGGACCTGAGGGCGAGGCGAGGGCGGTACTCGAGACACGACACACGACATACGCCGTTATCTTTACTGATACCTAATACCATCAGTACATAATAGAGAGGATATTACCATCCCCAGTAAATAGAATGGATGGATAGCTAGGCCGAGGTCTGGTTGTGGTCGTGGTCGTGGTCGTGGTCTCGATCGGCCGACGCATCTATCCTTACAGCTTGGGTTAGGACTAGGGAGAGTATTCACAGTACAGAGACTCTATCCTATAGACGGTATTATTAGGATCAGGGAGAGATAGGGACAGGATTCACACGGCTGTATAATCATCAGATCGCTACACATAATATATACACATACTATGTACCTATACTCTACGGTCTCCTCGTCCAGGCTGGTAGTCTAGTCTATGCATCTACTATGAATCTACCATCCGGTTGGTCATAGCGGTAGGCCAGCCATCATCTGATGATTATTAGTATTTACAGTAATAAAGAGCAATAATACAGAGTACAGTAATTAGTCCTCTGTCTCCTCTCGTCCTCGCCTGGTGGGTGGGGAAGCCTGTTGGAGACGGGGACGGAGATATGCTAGCCACTCTCCCATTTCGACGCAAAAGTGCGCCGTTCCTATCATGCCTCCGATCAGTATCAGTCAGTATCAGTAACAGTATCACTATCACTGTCACTATCAATACCACTATACTGCAGTCTCCGCCTGGGCAGGATACATCCAGTACACATAACCTCGGAATGGATGGGAACCTGACTTTTGACTTCTGACTTAAAGAACCGGATTCCTGGCCCGGATCTGGTCCTGGTCCCTGGTTTCTGACAGGATTTGTCTGTTGATCTACATGCAAACACTGTCTCTCGCTTCACCATGAACGACAACGACACCAAGCCTGCCGAGGTCGACGTCGTCGTCCAGCCTCGAGCCACAGCCCCAGCCTCCCAATTGGGGAGTATCGACGTGATCGAACCGCTCACCGACCATGCGGACGAGGCACTACGCTTCGTCGAGAAGCATGAAGGATTCAGCTATACGGTCGAAGAGGACAAGGCGGTGCTCAAGAAAATCGACCGTCATTTGATGCCATTGGTGAGTTACTACACCAGATACTATCAATATCTATCACCAGAATCTATGGTCTCTACGGTCTGCCGGCAAAGAGCAAAGAGCAAAGAGCAAAGAGCAAAGAGCAAAGAGCAAAGAGCAAAGAGCAAGAGCAAAAAAAAAACAGACAGACAGACAGACCCGGGTCCATCTTAATTCGATCCGATCTAACCTTTGTCATCTATCTAGTTGTTCGTGTCGTATCTGTTCCAATATATGGACAAGAGCATCATGGCCCAAAGTCTGGTGTACGGGCTTCGAGAGGACCTGGGGCTCAAGGGGCAGGAATATTCGTGGTGCGGGTAAGAGAAACGATTTATTTCATTCCAGTCCGGCCCATTCCATGCCTATACCATTTACTGTACACTAGTATAGCCTATACCCTCGCCACTACCACACTATCCTATACCCTCCTCTCCCTCTCCTCTCCCTCGTCCTCTCCTTCTCCCTCTCCCTCTCCCTCTCCTTTTTTTTCCTGCCAGAATTATTGTGTAGTAGATCATCAATCCCAATTACTGACTCGTCACCAGATCCATCTTCTTCTTCGGCTACTTGGCAGTCCAACCCTTCAGCGGGCTAGTGATGCACCGACTCCCGCTCGGGCGATTCGTGACGGTGATCTCGCTAGCATGGGCGGTGGTGGTATTCTGCACGGCCGGAGCCAGCAACTTCTCCGGGCTGATGGCGGCGCGGTTCTTCCTAGGCGTGGCCGAGGGCTGCATCTCGCCGGCGTACGTGCTGGTGACGGGGATGTGGTACAAGAAAGACGAGATCCCGCGGCGCACGACCATCTGGTTCGCGGCCAACGGGCTAGCCATCATCCTGCAGGCCGTCATCTCCTACGGCATCGGCCACATCCGCCACACGGGCGTGGCCACGTGGAAATGGTTCTTCATCATCTTCGGCCTGGCCGGCCTGGTGCTGTCGGTCTTCCTGTTCGTCTTCATGCCCGACAGCCCGCTGACCGCCAAGTTCCTCGACGACCACGAGAAGATGGTCGCCATCGAACGCCTGCGAGATAACCGTACCGGCGTCGCCAACCGCGAGTTCAAACGCTACCAGTTCGTCGAGGCTCTCAAGGACCCGTTGGCTTACTATAATTTCTTCCATGTGATTTTAGTCGCTGTTCCGAACAGTGGAGTGACTTTTTTCGGCACGCTCATCATCAAGAATTTCGGCTACGACTCGTTCATCAGCTCTCTCCTCATGATGCCCTACGGAGCAGTCATGCTGATCGTGCTCCCGGCCGCGGGCTACATCACATCGAAATACCCCAACACGCGATGCATCAACCAATTCTGCACCTCGTTCCCCGCCATCATCGGCGCCGCGCTCGTCTACTATCTCGCATCCGACAACCAGGCGGGCCGACTGGCCGGGTTCTACATGACGGCGGCGTCGAACGCCGCGCTGCCGCTGCAGTTGTCGTTGTTGAACTCCAACACGGCCGGCCACACCAAGCGGTCCATCACCAATGCGATCCTGTTCCTGGGCTACGCTGTCGGCTTCATCATCGGCCCGCAGTTCTTCCTGACGTCGCAGGCGCCGAAATACCCCATGGGCTTCGAGACCATGTTGATCACCTTCGCCCTGCTGACTGTCTTCCCGGTCGGCTTGTACCTCTACTTGACTTGGCTGAATCGGAAGAAGGACGCCGCGCTGATTCGGGCGGGGGGGGAGGTCGTCTATACTCACAACGAGGAGTTTTTGGATCTGACGGATAGGGAGCAGTTGCATTTCCGGTATTCAAAGTGATGGTGGAAATAGGGGCAGGTGCGTTTTCGCTATTCAAAGTGATGGTGGAAACAGGAGCGGCAAAAGTAGTGGTCTGTATTCGGCTCAGTAAAGGCTGTCAATAGGAGCGGCAAAAGTCCTGCTTGGTATTCGGCAGTCAGTAACGCTGTTAACAGGAGCAGTTCCATTCGCTATTCAAAGTAACGGTAGACTTAGGTACTGACTTAGGTATCTTAGCCTTGCCCTTGAACCGGAAGGATGGTATAGGCACGCCAATATAGTTTAGCTCTCCTATATACCTTTAATAGCATATAGAATATTCCTATCTCTAACACCGGTATAGTAATAGGAACAGTAAAAGTGAGTTAGTCTTCGGTAGTTAGTAGTTAGTAGTTAGGCGGACTTAGGTACTGACTTAGGTATTCTTTACCTTGCCCTTGAACCAGAAGGCTAGTATTGATAAGCCTATATAGTCTAGACTCTCCCCGTGCCCCTTTAATAGAGAATATAGAACGTTACCTTTAAAACAGGCATAGTAATAGGAGCAGTAAAAGTCCTAGTCGGTATTCAGCTGTCAGGAGCAGCAAAAGTCCTAGTCAGTCGATACAATAGTGAGACGGCCAACCTCCCACTAAGCTAGTAAGGATGGGCGTGGGGACGATGAGGAGGAGAGAGAGAGACATCAATGATGGCAAGGAGTACGACAACGACGCTGATGAGGTGGTCATGGTCAAGGCGGGACGGAGACGGAATTAGTCTGTAGTCTGTAGTCTGTCGGCTCATGTCTCATGTCTCGAGGTCTGGTTGTAAAAGAAGCATGTCCACCTATGTACATGCTGTAAGAGTACTGTAAGAGCCCGTAGTCTTGGCCTTAGCCTCAGCGCCACCATACGGAACGGGTATAAATATATTGACACGGCGTATCTGAGATATACGAGAATGAAGCGGAAAAAACAGGGGCTAAGGCTGCAATCGCGCAAAGGGGTGTCGAGTGTCGACCCTGCCACCCTATTCCTGTTCGTCTGCTCCAAGTCGTCTGTTCCAAGTCGTCTGCTCTAAGCTGTGGGAAGACAACTACGTACACCTAGAGTGGCTGGAGCACTGGCCTGGGTTAAGGACGACACTTGTAGTGATATATCATTGATATATTAACTAGGTATACATATGGATCATCCGGCTGCCATGATACTGGTGAGGTACGGACACTCTTCCCGTTAAGTTGTACTGTACTATACTGTATCTATCTTTTCCCGGCAGGCTGTACTGTACTGTACTTTACTATACTGTTTATAACCCTCCCTGGCAAGCTGTACTCCGTACAGTACTTTATTGTATGTGGAGGTACTCTTCCTGGCAAGCTGTACTATACTCTCCCGTATCTATCTACAATGCATTCCTCCTCTGTAGTGTATCTATCTACAACGCAATACTCCTCTGTAGCTTTAGCCTGTCGACAACACCCTCCAGCTTCAGATTTCGATCCTCCAGACCAGCCATTTCCTTATGCAAGGCCTCCTTCTCCGATCGCAATTGTTGGATTCGTGTAGCCATCTTCTCGCGATGTCGGAGACTGTCTTCAAACATGGCCTGTATCCTCATCAAGATACCGGCGTCAGTACTAGTACCAGTAGTAGCAGTACCAGTACTAGTAGTACCAGCACCAGTACCAGTACTAGTACCAGGACCTGACTCTCGTTTTGTATCTGTGTTTGTTGACTGTGTGGATATGTCCTTATCCGTATTTCTATCCCTGTCGGCTTCTGTTGCTGCTGTTTCTGTCTGCATCTTCACTCTCGCCCGCAGCTCGTGGTTCGCAGCTTCGAGCTCCAAGATGCGATGTTCCATGGCTGCAGCTTTGGCCTCGCGCCACAGATGGTCTCCTTCCGTACGGGACTGGGGGCGAGCAGGCACGGATGCCGGCGCCGGCGCCGATGGCGAACCCCAAGTCGGATATTGATTCTGAGCAGACCGTGACCGTGACCGTGATTGTGACCAGGTCGCCTGTGCCAACTTTTCTCGGAGCATGAGAACATTGGCAAGATCTTCGTCTCGCAGTTGGCGGATGGCCGTGTGCTCGCGCCGCTCCTGGGCCAACAACTCCCGCACCCGCAGCAGGTTGGTGAGATCCTGGTCACGAACGTCGAAGTAGGCCTGATATTTCTCCGCCCAGCTGTGTTTTTCCGCCTCCAGTTTCTGCACCTGGCGCTGGAGTCGGGCATAGTCTTCGGCCATGATGGTGGGTCGGTTGCGTTCGATGTCGGCCACTTTCCGAAGAAGGGTTTGGACGAGATGTTCCATTGGTCCAGGGATAGTTGGGTCTGGGTCTGGCTTTGATATTAATCCTGGGTCTGATGATTCTGGGTCTGTCTCCGTCTCTGGGTTTGGGTCCAGGTCTGAAAGTGGCGGTGTCAATAACAATGGCAATGACGTCGTTGTCATGTCAAGCCCAGACCTTGCTTTTGCGCCGGCAGTGGCGGTGGCAGTGGCAGTGGTAGCTGGAGTGGCAATGGTACCGGCAGCTGCAGTGGTAGCTGCAATGGTAGTGGCAGTGGCAATGACAGTAGGTGTCTTCAAGTCCAACTCGTTCTCTAAAGCTAGACCATCGTTCCCGAGAGAAAGGATAGACACGACGGGTTCTGGTTCGTGTTCTGGATCCGCTTCTGGTTTTTTAGGTCGCCACAGGTCGTCGACGGCGAAGTGGTGATGGTGAAGAGGGTCTTGATCTTGGTCTCCGACGGCGAAGTGGTGATGGTTATGAGGGTCTTGATCTCGGTCTCCGACACTCTCGGCATAAGTCAAAGTCGACATGGACCCGTGGCTCTGGGTCGACGTGACTGACATGGCGAGGGATTGAGAAGATAATGAGCGACTGAGATGTTTGGGAGTCCACATTACTGTGGTGAGTAGGTAGGATGGGTAGGAGGAGGAGTACTGTATATGAGTGGTAGCAGCAGTGGTAGTAGTAGTCGGAGTAGGAGTGGCAGTAGCAGCAGTAATAGTAGTGGTAGTAGTAGTGGTGGTGGTGGTGCTGTTGGTAGTAGTGGTAGTAGTAGCAGCAGTGGTAGTAGTAGCAGCAGAGCAGGGTAGTAGTGGTAGTAGTGGTAGCAGTAGTAGTAGTAGCAAAGGCAAAAACAACGAAAAGATGAGACAGTGTCTTTCCAAAGGTAAAGCAACGTGGAATGAATCAGTCGAGACTGGCCGGGCAACAACAATAAATGAAGTGAGGGAGGTGTCGTGTCGTGTGGTCTAATATCTCCCTATCTACCTACCTACCTACCTATCTATCTATGCTGTACCACCTAAATAGGAGTGTTGGATGTGATGCAATGTGATGTGATGTGACACAAATGAAACGAAACATTCACGGCGCCAGTATCCGTACTAGTTCCCCCCTCCCCCTCCTCCCCCTGTCACAGAGCCTTGCCGCCGTGGCGGTGATCGAGACCGAGGTGAGACCACTAAGGTATCTAGTACGTTAGCCTTAGGCCTGTTAGATACTGTACTAGACTATATGCAGTACTGTACTTTCTTATCTCTAACCCCTACACGGAATCCCCTTCCTAGTAGGGTCTCACGAACCTCCCTCAATCTGACCTAACACAGTACGGAGTACAGAGTACTGCAGTGTACAGGCACAGTAGTAAGCAGCCTTAGCCCCTTACAATACCTTGGCCCCTGAGCCTCTCAGCCCCTTATTGCACATCCAGTATCACTCCCTACCTTGTAGTACCCGATCACTTCTGTAAGCTGTCACGGATCGAGAACCATCTAGGGTCTAAGGACAGGGTCCTCTCGCTACTCCGTACAGTATTATTCCACTAACTAATTCTGATTACTTTACTACACGAATCACCATCACCATCACGCTTCGATGTAATCACAGTATCCGTACTGTGACCACATGTATTCCGCATCCTATATCCTATCTCCTATATCACATATCTAATTCATGTCTTTGGGGATGGATGGGTTTCTCAATCTCAACCTCGATCTGACCTCAACCAGACTTAATTTCTACCTTGACCAACCTCAACCCACCTCAACCAGATATCTAATTCTCGATCGACCCAACCTCAGCTAAATATCCAATTCTCAACCCACCTCAACCTGATATCCAATTCTTTACCCACCTCACCCAGATATCCAATTCTCAATCCATCCCGCCACCCACTCCGGCCGGATCGGCTGCAACTCGACCAACCACTCGCTTTGTTGCAGGGTATAAGTCAGATCCAACTTGACCATGGGTTCAGACCTTAACAGACTCGTGTAAAAGTCAAGGAGCTTGACGGCCGGGTTCTTCGCCACCAGTTCCTCCTCGGTCGTGATCGCCGTCGACTGAAGACGATCAAGCCATTCCGGAAATGGGACAGTTTTGAAGGACTCGGCAGCCTGAGGATGAGGATGAGGATGAGGATCACTGTTAGGTCCATTTTCACTCCCACTCCCACTCCCACTCCCACTCCCACTCCCACTCCCACTCCCACTCCCACTCCCACTCCCACTCCCACTCCCCAGGCTCCGGCTCAGACTGGCTCGCACCGTCGGAAGAAGTTCGCGCCATGACACAACGTGTGGGTTGACGGCGTGAAATACACGCAAGGCCCAAGGACTGCTGCTGTTATCGTTGTCGTTGTCCAACTCTACCGCTGTGGCCGTCGCCTTCGCCGTCGCCGTCGCGCTACCAAGCTGGACAATGACTCGAGCCAACTCATCGATGGGAATCCAATCGATTTCATCCATGACACCACCTCCACCACCTTCATTCTTGATGTCGAGATCATTTGTACTTCCACTTGTACCCGAAATCCCACTTACACCTTCACTTACCTTGGAATCGATTCTCAACCCAAGCGATTCAGGCACCACACCCAGATAGCGTGAACTCAGAACCAGACTGGGAAACCACTGGTTCCGGTTCCAACCTCGAGGATTTCCGTTTTCACTTTTACTGGTGCCGGCGATCTGGCCCACCCGGACCGCACCGGCAGCGAGGTGAAGCCGGCGTGCCGCATGGTCGAGCATTCGTTCGGCAATGTACTTGCTTTCACCGTAGCCCATGGTGGAGGGGGCGGAGGGATCCCAAATGACCGTCTCGGGCACCGTCTCAGCCGCTCCAACTCGCCCGTGAGGGCTAGGCCTTTGGTAGTTGCCGACAGCGCTGATGGACGAAACGAACAAAAGAGCAGGTGCCCTGGTGGAGCGGGCGGCCAACGAGATCAAATTGAGCACGCCGTCCAGGCTGGGTCGGAACGAGGCCAGGCTTTTGTTGAAATCCACCGGCCAGGCATTGTGGATGATGGTCGTCACCGTCGTCCGCACCGAGTCCAGCATGGCCAGGTCGAGGCCCAAGTCCGGTGCCGACAGGTCGACCGTCACAAAGGTGACGCGGGATGGCGGGAATTGGACCGGAAGGCCCTCTTGCTCATGTCGGGTTTTCTGCCGGGACTGCGAGTCGACCGCTCGGTTGAAACAATATATGTGCGTCACGCTGTCGTCCTGGAGCAGCTCGTGAAGGATCCACGACCCCAACGAGCCGGTGGAGCCGGTGAGAACAATGACCTGTGGCTGTGGTTCCAACTGCGATGTTGATGTTGGCTGCTTTGAGACCCCGGCATCAATATCCATCTCGATTTGGTCGATTTTCCCCTGGTACACCTGTAGTAATTGGGATGTTTGATCGGCGTGAGATTGAGATTCCGATGCGGGCGGGCCATTGTCGTCAGGCGCCGCGGGTCCCTGTCCATGTCGACTCTGGGCGATTTTGATGATTTCCTGGCTGAGAAGATGCACGGAAGGGTGTGCATAGATGTCCCTCGTCGCAATGGACGACAGCCCGAGTTTGGCCTTGAGCTCTCTGCCCAACCGCAACACTTGCAACGAATCCATGCCCAAGGAAAAAAACTCATGGTCGGGCTCGAGTCGACTCCAGTTGGTGACCTTTTCTACCGTCTCGTGTACGGCGGTGGTGATGGCTTCGGGATCAGACCAGTCATAACGATGGCCCTGAGAGAAAGAATCAGACTCGGTCGGCTCGGCCTCGGCATAGAGCTGGTCCAGTTGATCCGCGTACAGAGCCATGGCCGCCTGCCGTTGAACCGTCCCCTTGCCGGCGCGTGGCAGGGGCTTCTGGGGGTCGACCAGTAGGATCTTGGATTTGTCGATGCGGGCATGAGCAGGACATTGAGCGTTGGCCCGTTCGACCGTGGGCCAAATGCTCTCAATCAAGTGCGCCTTCTCCGCGGCCGAGAGCGGCTGGTTGCTGACGGGTTCGACCAGCAGACAGGCTTCAAACCGTTGCTGTCCTCCGACCAGGGCGGCGCGGACGTGTGGGTGCGAGACGACCTCGTGTTCGAATGAGACCGGATTTGTCTTTTCTCCATTGAGGAAGACAATCACATCATCGATGCGACTTTTGTGTGTCCATAGCCCGGGTTTCGTCGGATGAGGAGCGAAGAGGTCTCTCGTCTCGTACTCGGCCAGATGGGGGAAATGCTGAAAGACGGGCGGGGGCTGTCTACCTGGAGCATTGGATGCATTGACCAGAACGAGTTCATGAAGATCATCGAACCGATGCCGAAACTCCGCCTGAGCCGCCGGATGGATTTGAACATAGTTCCAATCCGCGCACGTCGGGTCCTGGTCTGATCTGAGAAGAGGGAATGTCGCATTTTCACTCGACCCGAGCACCTGGTACACGCCCATTTTGGCAGTGACGGCATCTCCAGACGCTTGGGGGACACTGCCGCCGGTGTAGAAGACGTATTTGAGACGGGACGACACCGCGTCTAACAAAGCTGGGGTTTTGCCTAATTCGTCCACCATGACGGGGGGGAGAAAAGCCCAGTCGACATGGACGTTTTGCACCGCGTCCAGCAATGCGTCTGTGGTAGGAGGTGCAGTTGGTAGCGGATAGATGGGAATGCTACCGTGGAATGCGGGAACAATGAGGGAGAATCCGATGCCGGCGATCTGAAGAGAAGGAATCAGTGATTGTGTCATGGCAAAACCAAACGAACGTGACTTGATAGTGAGATTCCATGAAGGAAGAGCTTGTGTGCTGGTTGCTCTGCGTCACCGTCACTCTCACTCACATGGAACGACGGGAGGGTCATGAAGAAACTGCCCGTCCGAAAGAATTGATCGAGACTACGAAAGCCGGGAGGGGGTGGAAGTGCGGTGTTGGTGGCAATGGCGGTGACAAAACGATGGGTGTAGAACAAAGGCTTGGGAATACCTACACCTAGTCAGCATCCATCACGAATACGGCCGGCAATGCGGTCGTGTGCTGTAGGGTTTTGGTTAGGGTTATGATGTTACCCGTGGAGCCTGAAGTGTGCAAGATGAAGATGGGATCATCCGTTGCATCCGGGAACGTCTTGACGTAGGGGTAATGCGGCACATTCTCCGCGTCCAGGAGTTCCTGAAGTGAAGGGATATGGAGAATATCCAGAGGGATGTCTTCCACCAGCGTCGGGACCACCGGTGCCTCCGGGGTCGTAGCGACCAACCGGCGGCATTGCAGACGTGAAAGGAGAGAGATGAGGGCGGGTTTGCTGTTTCTGGGGGACGGCAAAAACGTCTAACAAACAGAATCGAGGTGAGCGATGATCCATGTTTCATGTTCTGTGTTCCATATTCCATGTTTCATATTCCATCTTCCATAACGCGGTGCTGGTGACTGGGGACGGGTGACTGGTCTGACCTGGTAGCCTGCTTTGATGGCTGCCACCACCACAATCGAGTAGCGGAGATCCGAAGGTCCCAAGTAGGTGATACAGGGGAAATCCTTGCCCGGCCCGAAGTGGGATTGTAGCTGCCATGCCACGAAGTTGATGGCATTCACCAGTTCGACGTTGGTGACGGAGCGAAATCCCGCCGCATAGGAGGTGGAAGTCGGCGACCAGGGCACTTTGGCGAAGATTCCGCCTGGATCTTCCGCCGCACGCCGGTCAAGAAGGGTCGGGAGGAGCTGTTCTGCACCGGTGGCAGGGGTGGGGGGTGTCATGGTGTGTTATTGTTGCTGTGCTACTGTACCAGGGTATCAGTTCAACTGGCACAATCTCAACCTCAACAACAATCACAGTCACAATCCCAATCACGTGCAAGACGAAGAAATGGAGGGGTTGACCAGCGCGAGACTTGGGCGAGGGAAGTATTCATTCAAGGAGGAGGAGGAGGAACAGAAGTGCCCGGGACAGCACCCGCCCATTAGCATTGGCAATTCCTGTCCTGTCGGGCACTCCGTCCCACCAGTCTGGGCCATCTCTCCGTCTGTGTACGTACTGCGTCGCAATTCGTAGTACGAGGAGATGAGGACGAGCGGATGAGAGGACGAGAGGATGAGACTTGAGGATTAATGCTCATACTCATGCTCAGCCCCAGCCCCAGCCCAAGCAGGAGCTCCACCGAGGGGCAAGCCATGTCGATCCTGATGCGAGATACGAGAAGCATCTGATCTGGTTAGGCTGGCCCAAAGACAAGACCCATATCACGTACAACAGATGGAGTACGCTATCAAACGTTGAGACACTCGTGTGAAAGGTGAAACGACTGCCCACATAGCTGCCGTATGTACTCCGTAAAGGGACGGCTGAGGCTGATCTCAACGCCACCACACCCGCTACCGGCCCATCCTTTGACAAGCTATGTATGTCAAATGAGCGCTTCCAGAATAGCGCCTTGTTAGCCAATTACCAAATCCGGCCTCGTCCTCGTCTTCCTTCTCGCTCGCTTCTCCTCGTGCTTCGGTCTAGTGTCGGCCATCCCAATCCCATCAAGCCAAGGAAGCCATCAACGTCAGCACTTCCAAGAGCTTAGCACACGTTTCCAATTCCCCATCGGTACGCGGCGGTTCGTGCCCCCCCTGGGAAATCACCACTTCTGCCTTTTCAGCACAACACAGCTCCACCAGGCCATGTGAATGCTCTGCAAATTGGTCGTGCTTGCCGATGACATGCAACGTCGGGATCGAGATGCGATGCGGGAAACTTGACGGACGAAAACCAAAGATGGTCGAGGTGGAGGTGGTGATCTGATCCGGTGTGGCACCTACACGTAGATGACCATGCGTGCCGGTCGCGGTCATTGATGAGATGGACACCGATGATGACGACGATGAGGTGGTGGTAGTGGGAGTCGACACCATGGACGAAGTGGTGGTAGCCGATCCCGACGAAGGAGGAAGTGAAGAACCCGATCCTGACAAACGAGGAAGTGAAGTAGGATCTGAATCTCCCTGCAAAAACCCCAAGTGTTTCCGCTCTTGCTGCCTAATCTCTTCACTGATGTCGTCGCCGATGTCGACGGACGGGGAAAACAGCATGACACTGTTAAGGAAGACGGCGACCTTGAATGGGGGGTTGGGCGCAGAACCGTGGCTTCTCGCATGCTTGGGATCAGAAGTAGAATCTTGGAGATGGAGCGATGGTTGGTTTCTGGCTCTCGCATGCTCGTGGCAAAGCAAGAAACTCGCCGCCAACGCCGCCCCCTGCGAAAAGCCAATCACCCCATCATACGGCCCATCCTCGTCGATGATGGTCTGCAGAAAGTGATGCGACTCTTGGATCGCGGCGGGGTCGTATGCCTTGTGCCAGGCCAGGTAGGGAGCGGGATAGAGAGCGGCAATGCCAGGAGCGGGCGGGGATTCGAACGGGGCATCGACAAAGTCGAAGGTGTAGTGTGGTGAGATGCGGGAGAAGAGAGCAGCTGGAGACATTAGCGGTGGGGGGAGCGAGCGGGCGAGCGAGCGAGTGAGTGAGTGAGTGAGTGAGAGTGAGAGGGTGAGTGAGTGAGTGAGTGAATGAGTGAGTGAGTGTGTGTATGTGTGTGTGTGTGTGTGAGAGAGAGAGAGAGAGAGAGAGAGAGAGAGAGAGAGAGTGAGAGAGAGCAGAGGGACACCGAACCCGACGCAAGTAGACGCCATCACGGTTGTTATTCTTACCCAGTTGACTCTCGAATATGTCCGAGTTCGTTCCTTTGCCATGAAGACAGAGAAACCGCATCGTGAAGCTGAGGCTGACGCTGACACTGACGCTGACGCTGACGCTGAAGGTGAAGGTGCAGGAAAGCGAAGCTTGTCACCAGATGGTTCGGGGACACCACAACCACAACCACAACCACAACCACGCGGGGGGATCAATGTCAGTGTTAGTGACACTCGACACTCGACACTCGACACTCTGGATCACCGATTCCGTCTTTGTCTTTGTCGTGAGATTGAGAGGCGCTCAGAGTTCGTCTCTTAGGTGTTCTGATGACCAGCACCATCAATGATGATCCAGTACTGATAACAATGGGGATTCGCTCCCTCCGAACCACTACCTAATACACGGTACACGCGTACACGGTACACAGTACACGGTACACAGTACACGGTACACAGTACACGGTACACTAGATAACAGTCGTCTATGGGATTCTATGTCGATTCCAACTCGAATGATAACGAACACAAGAACAGGACCGGTGGCATAGCCATGCTAGCATGGCCAGATCTCTGCACGCACCGCTGCCGATGCCGTCCAACATAAAATATCTATCTCTATGTCCAACCCATAGGATCTCCAGGATCCGTATCCGTACTTCCACTCTCTATAAGGACTCAAAGTGGAAGGGATTTTCCTGTGGAGGAGCCAAAAACCGTTGGCTCGAATCAGCCTCCTTTAGCCTTCAGCCCTAAGCCCAGCTGGGGTCGAATGTACGTACACACGGCTCAAGCCTTCGGAGCCCTATCTTACATGGCTATCTGATCCACGCACACCATCTACGTGCCATCTACGTACCTTGGTCGCAGTAGTCCCAGCTCTGTACGTACAGATTAACTTACAGTACCTACCTAGTGCTCAAAACGGCTACGGGGTCGCCGTACTCAGGGGCTTAGAGGCTTAGCTTAGCAAGCCCCCTTGCCCCAGCCGGCTTCACCGCTCTACAGTCCCAACCAGCTGGGCACGTACGGAGTTTGCGGCACCAGACAGGCGGACTAGATAGTTAGTTGACAGTCCTCCGTTAGTGGGGTGACTGGGTCAAGGCTGTGGCATGTGCATGTGCAGTCTCCGTGCTTGTGAGCGAGGATGGACGTACATACCCCGTCCGGATACGGACAAAGATATTCCAGAATCCACCCTGGACTTTTCTGGTTGTGTCTGCTTGTCAATACTCACGGGTCGTGGACATTGAACGTTGGGCCTTGGACAAACTTCAAAGACATGCATGACCCACCCATATCGCTCGCCCGGTGGACGCGGCTGAAGTTGACTCGTGCTGGCAGCCAAAGCACAAGCCAGACATGTTGCGACCCGAAGAATAAAAAGGTCCTAAGGCTGCGCGCCTACCTACCGACCTGCTCTAGCCCCGTCGTTCCTCAAGCCCAGATCGATTCTGAACTCGACCCCGAACCCCTGCCTCAACCCTTGCATTCGACTTCGACATCGACATGGGTTCCCTGGCGGAGGGCAACGGCAGCAACTCTTCCCCTTCGGGGGACGGGGATGGGGATATTGCCGTCATCGGGCTCTCATGTCGCTTTCCCGGCGGTGCTTCCAATTCAGCCAAATTCTGGCAACTTCTCCAACAAAGAAAATGTAGGGATGGATACACTTACTGCCACACTGACTCCCGTTCCAAGTCGAGCCTCGCCTGACTGACTGAACCTCAAAGCTGCATACAGCAAAGTGCCCGCCAGTCGATACAACGCCGAGGCCTTCCACCATGCCGGGGACAAATTGAACACCCTCAGCAACGTCGGAGGCCACTTTCTCGACCAAGATGTGTCGGGCTTCGACGCGCCCTTCTTCAACATCACGGCCAACGAGGCCAAAGCCATGGACCCGACCGCGCGCTTTCTGCTGGAAGTGACGTACGAGGCCCTGGAAAACGCCGGACTCGTGGTGGAAGATCTGGCCGGCAGCGACACCAGCTGCTATGTTGGCTGCTTCACCCGCGACTTCCACGAGATGCTGATGCGCGACACCGAGACCGCGCCCATGTACGCCGGCACCGGCACCGGCTTCTCGCTGCTATCGAACCGCGTCTCGTGGTTCTACGACTTCCGCGGCCCCAGTCTGACCCTGGACACGGCGTGTTCGTCCAGCCTCGTCGGTCTGCATCTGGCCTGCCAGGGCCTGCGCACGGGCGAGTCCAAGTTGGCCGTGGTCAGTGGCGCCAACCTGATCCTCAGCCCGGACCTGGCCATCTTCCTGTCGAATCTCCACATGCTCTCGAAGGAGGGCTTGTCCCGGTCGTTCGCCGACGGCACCAGCGGCTATGGGCGCGGCGAGGGGATTGCCACCGTGGTCCTGAAGCCGTTGGCCGATGCGCTGCGCGACGGCGATGCCATCCGCGCCGTCATTCGGGGCACTGGCGTCAACCAGGATGGCCACACCACCGGCATCACCGTGCCGAACAGTGACGCCCAGGCCGAGCTGATCCGGGCCACCTATCGCTCGTCCGGCCTGGACCCGTCTCACACCACCTATTTCGAAGCCCACGGCACCGGCACCGCGGTCGGCGATCCCTTGGAGCTGGCCGCCGTGGCCCGCACACTGGGTGCGGCGCGACGACCCGGACACGACCCGCTCCTCATCGGCTCGGTCAAGTCCAACATCGGCCACTTGGAAGGCGCGGCAGGGTTGGCCGGGGTCATCAAATGTATCCTGATGTTGGAACAGGGCGTCATTCTGCCCAACATCCACTTTGACCGGCCGAACAAGCGGATCCCCTTCGACACCTGGAACCTCCAAGTGCCCACGGCGTGTCGGCCCTGGCCGGCCAACTCCCTGCGCCGCGCCAGTGTCAACTCGTTTGGCTACGGTGGAACGAACGCACACGCCATCCTCGACGATGCCACCGAATATCTTGCCCTCCGAGGCCTGCGGGACGCGGCGTCCGTGTCACACGGGCAAGACAGCGAGATCGGCGACGGGAGTCGACCTCATGCGCATACGCGCGCCTTCGTCGTCAGTGCCCGTGATGAAGCGGCTCTGGAACGAATCAGGAAACAATACAGTGATTTCCTCGAGTCGTATCTGAGAGGGGAGAAAAGAGAGGGAGTGTCTGACCGGCAAAGCCAAAGACAACCCCAGGATGAAGAGTCAGAATCATCCTACCTGGACCGATTGGCCTTCACTCTGAGCGAACGGCGTTCCCAATTCGGCTGGAAGGCTCACGTAGTGGCATCTTCCATCCAAGAACTCCAAGAAAAGTTGTCGGCGTCGGCCCTGCAAGCGGTGCGCTCCTCCACCAAGTCACGCATTGCCTTTGTCTTCACCGGTCAAGGCGCGCAGTGGGCACGCATGGGCCTCGAGCTCCTCCGGTATCCGACTTTTCGAACCAGCGTGGTTGCGGCCGACCGGTACCTGCAGGAATCTTTGGGCTGTGAGTGGTCGGTGATGGAGGAGCTGGAAAAAGAGGGCGGCCAGTCCAACATTCAACTGGCCAGGATCAGCCAGCCGGTATGCACCGTCTTGCAGGTGGCCCTGGTGGACCTGCTCGAGTCGTGGAATATCCACGCGGCCGGCGTGGTCGGTCACTCCAGCGGCGAGATCGCAGCCGCCTACACCTATGGAGCCATCTCCCGCGAGGATGCCTGGTGCATTTCCTACTGGAGAGGCAAACTCTGCTCCGAGCTCGCGGTCGAAGCGCCCGAACTCAAGGGCTCGATGATGGCCGTCGGGTTGTCCCCGGAGGCGGCACAAGACTATATTGCCGGCCTGGCCCTGGACCGGGACGGGGGACCGGGAAGCGGGAATGGAAAGGTGGTGGTCGCCTGTGTCAACTCACCCTCGTCCGTCACCATCTCCGGCGACGAGGCAGCAATCGATCAACTCGATGAGAAATTGAAGGCCGACTCGGTGTTCTGTCGCAAGTTGAAGGTGGAAAATGCCTACCATTCTCATCACATGGCACGCATCGCGCATAAATACCTCGACAAGATTTCCCACCTCACTGCAAACGTGAAGTCGCAACCGCCGCTGCCGGTGACGATGGTGTCCAGCGTCACCGGCGACGTGATTACGCCCTCCGATCTGGGGCCCGCGTATTGGGTTCGGAATCTGGTCTCCCCCGTCCTGTTTTCCAATGCGGTCCAAGCCTTGTTCCGAACAGGCAGCGCGGCTCCGGGACAACGCAAACGCCGGGCCAGAGCGGCAGATAGCAACTTCGATGTCCTGCTCGAAGTCGGCCCACATGCGGCGTTGAAAGGCCCGCTCCGCCAGATCTTGCAGGACCAAGGAATCCCCAATGTCAGTTACAAGTCGGTGCTGATGCGGGGAGAAGATGCAGTGCAAACCGCCGTGGACTGTGCGGCCAGTCTCTACACGCACGGCGCATCGGTGTCCATCAGCGCTGTCAATGGACTCCCGAACCAGAGCCAGATCCAAGCCAAACCCAGCCCGAGGCCGAGGCTGAAGCCGATGACCGACCTGCCCCCGTACCCGTGGAACCACTCGCTGAAATACTGGTCGGAATCCCGCCTGAGTAAGAACTACCGGTTCCGCGAACACGGGCGGCATGATCTGCTGGGCGCTCTGGCGCTGGGATACAATGAACTCGAGCCCAAGTGGAGGAACTTTCTGCGAGTCTCGGAGAATCCGTGGATTCGAGACCATGTCGTGCACTCGACCATTCTGTACCCGGCGGCCGGAATCATCGCCATGCCTCTGGAAGCGATCAAGCAGATCGCCGACAAAGACAGAACCATGGAGCAGATCCAGATGAAAGACGTGCACATCACCAAGGCCATCGTCGTGCCGGACGACCAGGCCGGGGTCGAATGCTTCCTTCAACTGCGGCGGCAACGAGCGGGAGCGCATCGTTGGACCGACTGGTGGGAATTTGCTGTCTTCACCAGCCTCGAAGACCAGCAGACCGAGGAGAACGGGTTCGGGCTGGTGAGGATCCAGTACAGAGACGATCCAGCTGAGGGCTCGAACCAGAACCAGGACCAGCCATGGGCGCAGGCACTCCACCAGACCACCGCCGCCCTCCAACAACAATACGAGGAGTGCAAGACCAGGTGCACGCATCGAATCGACCCTAAGGACTTCTATGCGGCCACCAAGACGGCCGGCTTGAACTATGGCCCATCTTTCCAGGGTCTGACCGAGATTGTAACGGGCAGCAGCAGCAGCAGCAACAGCAACAGCAACTGCTGCTGCGTCGCAGTCGCCGTTCCCGACACCAAGGGAACCATGCCCGCCAACATTGAAAGTCCGCATACCATCCACCCGACGACGCTCGACATCATCTTCCATTCTCTGTTCTCCGCCCTGGCGGTTGACGGAGAGCTGGACTTTGACAACGCGGCGGTCCCTGTCTCCTTTGAAAGCCTGAGTTTTGCATTGGATCTCCCATGTGGAGCAGAGGCCAGATTCCACGGCTTCTGCACCGCCAGGAAGGACGGGCCCCGTGAGATCGTCGCCGATATCTGTATGTTCGACGACACTCGGCAGGAGCCGAAGGTGCAAGTCAAGGGCCTGCGCTGTCGGGAATTGCCTGGAGCCGGAGCCGGAGCCACCACATCGGCCTCTCTCAAAGCGCCATTCGGGACGCTTGTGTGGAAACCTGACATCAACCTGTGTTCCGAGCAGAGTCTGCAACGGTATTTGAGTGAGCCGCCGTCGAGTACACATACACATACATTGCAAGCCCAATTCCACAAGGTAAGTTTAACAACATTGACATTGCTTGGACTTGAACTTGAAATCGGCATGCCAGCGTGCTAGTTTTGATGTTGACTTTGATACTGACTTCGATACTGTAGGTGGTCGACTTGATTGCGCACAAGAATCCCGAGTTGTCAATCCTTCAGTTAGGGGGCAGCTTCTCAACCACCCAGGGAGTCCTGTCCGTCTTGGCCGACGGACCACTGGACACTGCCCGTTTCTCAAAGTTCCTCGTCGCAGTCGCAGGAGCGGACTCGGACTCGGAAGCAGCCACAGCTGACGAGTTTAAGGAGACTTTCGAAAGCTGGGGGTCAAAGCTCGCCTTGACCACATTGAACCAAGACCAAGACCGAGGCTTGCTAGTAGATGGTCAGCCAGTGGAGACTGGATCTTTTGACCTCATCATCGCAGCAGCCAACATCGGTGGCCAAGCCCAAAAGGCACAGCTCTTCCAGCACGCCCAAAAGCTCCTGCGAAATGGAGGGGTTCTGCTGACCCTCGACCCATCGATCGAAGTGTCGAGCTGGGAAACCACTGTGGTGGAGGCAGGTCTCTCTCCGGTCGGCGTGTTTCACGAAGCGAACTCGGAAACGAGTGTGTCTCAACCAACCGTGGGCCTGCGCCTGGCAACCAAAACATATGCCAAACAAACAGAGACAGACATAAACTCGGAGACCGTCTATGTCATTTGTCCTCCGCAGCAGCGGCAGACCGGCAAAACGTCCGACACTTGCGACGCTGTGATCAAGAGCCTTTCCAACTTGAATGGGCCCATGCCAGCCCAGGTGAGGGGTGTGGCGTGGCCTCCAAACACGCATGAATTGAAGGGAAAGCGTATCATCTCCCTTTTGGAGCTTCAAGCCTCTTTCTTGGCCAACATCTCAGCTCTGGATTATGAGCTGTTGAGACCCGTCATTCTGGGTAGTGCTTCGTTCCTCTGGGTGTCCATGGGGAACGACCCCAGCTTGGCAGCTCCCGTGGGTTATTTGAGAGTGTTGAAGAACGAGAACCCGACCCTTGAGCTTCGTTACTTACTGCTGGAAGACAAGACTGCCAGAGGGGTCGATGAGCTTGCACAGATCATCACCCACGTTGCACTGGATCCAAATCCAGACCGGGAGTTCACCGAGATGGATGGCCAGCTCTGCATCAGTCGATGGGCACCCAGTCAGAGTATGAGCCGGATGATCCAGGAACTGGAAGAGGACACCGACACCGTGATACCTGAAATCATGGCACTGGGTGCCACCAAGACAGCAGTCCGAATCGTCACACCAAGCCCCAGCCCCAGCCCCGGCACCGGCTCCGAACAGGCTGTTGTGTATTTCACCACCGATGACGACATGGAGCTGGCCGGAGAGATCCCTCTCCAAGGTGACGAAGTCGAAATTGTGACCCGAGCCGTGGCACTGATCACGCCAGGCGGGTTGTCCACAAAAGAGTTCAGTGGCATAGTGAAGTCGGTCGGTGCGGATTGTTCCCGAATCAAACCCGGAGACCGCGTCTATGCGTGCCAAAGCGGTCCGTATCGATCAGTGTATCGAGTCAAAGAAGGCCTCTGCCATGGCATTCCAGGCGGCCAAACGTTCGAAGAGGCAGCCACCTGGCCGGTCACTTTTGGAACAGCCTATCACAGCCTGGTGCGGGTGGCCCACATTCGACGTGGACAATCCATCCTGATCCAGGCGGCGTCCAGTGCGGTCGGTCAAGCAGCAATCCAGATCTCTCAAGCCCAAGGAGCGGTGGTCTTTGCCACCGTGCGGAATGAAGAGGAAAGCCAGTTGGTCGAGAAGAAGTACGGCATTCCAAAGCAACGGATCATCCACGACGCCGATCGCGACTTGAGTGCGACGGTCAGCAGGCTCTCGGGAGGGAGAGGGTTCGATGTCGTCCTCAACACCTCCACCTCCACCTCAAATGACAACCAAGGCCGCCTTCAAACACTCTGGCGTGGCGTGGCACCCTTTGGCCACCTCATAAGCACCGTGTCAAGCTCGGGCAATTCTTCAACTGGGCCTGGGTTGGGTTTGGATATGGCCCCCTTTCAAAAAGGATGTACTTTTTCCGTGGTCGACCTAGACCTTGTTCTGCGAGAGAGCCCGTCCTTGATGGCCGAGATATCCATGGAACTGGCGGGACAATTGATCATACAGCCGCCACAGCCCGTTCATCTTCTCCACGTCTTCTCCGGCGAACACGTCGGTGAAGCGTTCGAGTTCGTCCAGCGCTCAGGCCCCTCTTCCTCCTTGTCTTCCGGCCAGACCGTGCTCTCCTTGAACGAACAGGACCAGGTTCCCATCCATCCCGCCGCGAGAAACCCTCTCCGTTTGTACCAGGATGCCACCTATGTCGTGGTGGGTGGCACAGGCGGTCTTGGTCGAAGCTTGGCCCGGCTTCTGGTCGATCATGGGGCACGACACTTGGTGTTCATCTCCCGATCCGGACTCAAGTCGGCGAGTGCCCAGTCCTTGGTCAATGACATCCGCTCGCGGGGCGTCGAGGTCAAGGCATATGCCTGTGATGTCTCGGATGAGGCGGCCATGAGACAGGCGATCGACCAGGTCTCGCAGGAGATGCCGGCGGTGCGCGGGGTGATTCAAAGTGCAGCAGTGCTTAACGACGCCATCTACGACAACATGACCCACGAGCTCTGGGAAGGTGCCACACGGCCCAAGATCCAAGGCACCTGGCTGCTGCACCGATTGCTTCCCAAGAACATGGACTTTTTCGTCATGCTGAGTTCGATTGCCGGCGTGGTGGGCAATCGAAGCCAGGCCAACTATGCCGCGGGCAACACGTTCCAAGACGCCCTAGCCCGGTTCCGACGCGACCAGGGCCTCGCCGCCGTCGCCGTGGATTTGGGTCTCATGTTGGGCATAGGCCTCATTGCCGAACGAGGAGGATTCACCAACCTTCGCAAGTCGGAAGCGGTCGGTCTCAACGAACCCGAGTTTCATGCCATCATGACCGCCGCCATGGTGGGGGCTTATGGACAGACCCCAACCCCGGCACAGTTGGTGACGGGCTTGCCCACCGGGGGCATTCTTCATCGCCAGAGTCTCAACCCGCCCTTCTACTACGATGATCCTCGGTTCTCGTTCCTGAGACGGATGGATCTGGAGGCGGCCTTGCGAGAAGGTGGAGCGGATGGCCACGGGTCCCACGACGCAGGGGTTGGTGTCAGCCTCGCAGCGCAGCTCGCGGAATCCAAGTCTCTCCGTGAGGCGTCGAAGGTGATTGCCGATGCATTGTGTGCGTTGCTGGCCAAAGGATTGCAGACGGAGGCCGAGAATATTGACACCAACAAACCCTTGCATTCATACGGCGTCGACTCCCTAATGGCCGTGGAGATCCGGACCTGGATTCTACAACACATCAAGGCCGAAATCAAATTGTTTGATGTGCTGAGTGGAGGCAGTATTTCGGCGTTGGCGACCAAGATTGCGACAGTATCCAAATTGACCCCGACAGGATTGGAATAGGGTTGTAATATCTAGGATGATTAGATTACTGTAATGAGATTCAACAGGATAAAGGGTAGCCGAGGATGGGCCGAGAACATACAGTAAGTAGATGCTTGTCTCTTGGAGGCGCAGGATCGCCAGTCCATTGACAGGGTGTCGATGTGATGTACCCAGTTGTCGATACAATACCCCATACACAGCCCTGACTTAGGCAGATTGAACATGTCTGCAGCTGCCGAGAGTCACATGTTGTACGCGTTGCCAGTGTCCGAGCTTAGGAGGAGGTACACTGGTACAAAGTTAACAGCAAACCCACCTACCTGGAAACGCTTCCCCGCCGGCCGTCACTTGGTTAGTCACGAAGGGGAGACGGAGGACAGGGGTTTCGCGTGAGAATATGTCCTCCGTACTCCATCCCTAAATAGTAGTAGTATCTGTACTACTACTCCGTACCATGGTTCAAGAAAGCATCACGTCCCACCCACCTGGGGAAGTGGCACCCTAACAGACGCATCTTTCTCGAAGAGGGGTCGCTCGGTTCGGCTGGCGGACCTTTCGCTTCCCACTTCCCGCTTCCCAGTTCTTGATTCCGATCTCTTCAGACACGCTCAACAATCGCTGTGGCACACGTGAGTGAGAGAGCATCCAGGCCCACAGCCTCGTCGTTTCCAGCACTCAGCTTGAGTCGGGTCGACTGACCCATCCATTGGCCAAGCTGTCATATTCACTTTGCGGCGAAGCATGGATCAGGGATCAGCGCGCCACTGAGCCAATTCTGCAGCCAAAATCCTGCCCATGAAGATTTCTGACCCAACGCCCCTTGCGGCCCTCAGGGGAGGCCCCAGTCGGAACGAATGAGCGCTGGACACTTCGGATATTGATCATTCCGAATCTCCTGGAACCGGACCCCAGGGTCGCCAACACCCCCGGACTGGGGTATGCATTTGGTAAGGCGCATGCCACTAGGGGAAACTTCACGCCAAACCATTCAACATGATCTCTGCCTCAACCTTGACCTGGTCGACTGGGATGGGGCCATCCGCAGGTCGCGGGACGAACCAGAAGTCTAGGATTGGGGGCCAGTCAAGGTTCGCTGGCCGAACAGGCGTGTCGACGACGCCAGGTCGTGAAGAGGAGGAGGAGGAGAGGCAGGTCGACAAGCCGAACCCCCAGAGCTGGAGCAGATCGATTACCCCGTCTTTGCTGTCCGCTAACAATATGATGGCGGAGGCGGGGGGGTCAAGAGCCTTATGACAACGTGCCGCGAGCATCGACCGATGGTCGGATCCATATGGTACCGCGCCGTTGTTTCTGCTACCGGAAAGATCCCTTGCTGGTTTGGCTTTTCCACGGCCCTGGTCCTGGTCGACATATTTAATCATTGGGGTGGTGCCTGACGCCAGACTCTGAGGAGTCTCGAGGTACGGAGTAGAGTTCTGTCCCACCAGGGCAGTGTTCCCCTCGTCCGGCGAGTCTCTGGGCTGATTTATCCGACCACCTCTCCTTTTCCCTCGCCTCGTCCACGTGTGGCCATCCGCCGGCTGCTTTCACCGTCATCATGGCTCCCAAGAAGAAGGAGTCGCTGCTTGACGCCTGTGCGCGGGTCACCGCCATGGGAGACACGGTAGCGGCGCGCATGGTCGAGTACATGACTCTCAAGCATCAGCTGCAGGGGTTTCGGCCGCTGGCCACCGAGTTTCTCGACCTCAGTCACATCTTGTTTTCCATCGAGGCCGGTCTGACCGAGGCCGCGCACTCGCACAATCAATTTCCCGAGGACATGACGCAGGAGCTGGTCAAGAGATTCCACCAAACCCACGACGACTTCACCGCGCTGAATCAGATGCTGACCAAATTTCTCGAAAACGAGAAGAAAACCGGGCTGGGTAAGCTCCGCAAGGGATGGCACGCCGTTTTTACCGATGCGGACATTGACAAGGTCCGGGATTCCCTGGCCATGAGCCGCGAGACGTTGCGAGTGAGTGCTCTGGTCTTCCGCTGGTCGCTGGGCGACGCCAAATCCAACCCATCCATGGGCATCGGATACACTGGTCTGACCGCTGTCCTGGAGCGGCTGAACGCGAAGAAAGCACCCGTCGCTCTCCCGGTTGCGCCCTGTCCGACAGAGATGGGCATCGGATATGCAGGCCTGGCGGCTGTCGTGGAGCGTATCAGCGCGAGGAAAGCGAGCTCGACCCGTGCTCCGGCTGCGGCTCCTCGGCCTCCTTCCGAGCCTCCTTCAGAACCTCCTGCAGAACCTCCTGCAGAACCTTCTGCAGAACTCCCAACTCGACTTTATGCACCACCGGTTCCTAACACCCTACCTCCACTTCCGCCGGACAAGGGTCCCCATTACACGCTGTTTCCACGGCCAGATGCCCCTCTCAGCGCCTATGGCGCCCTGGACCGACACCACTTCAAACGTGCGCCCAGCACCATATCGAGCAAGCTGACCACCTCGTCTGCTACGAGGGAGACGGGTCTGCCCATTCATGAACACAGCTCGGCATCTGAGATCCTGCTATCTGACCACGGGTCTGTCAAGTCGGCTGATTCCATGACCCAAATCGAAGATATGATCCACGAGATTGAATTGAACGATAGGCTCTCCACCAAAGCGGTCCGTATCAAGGCCGAGCCGACCACCGTGCCTCGATGGACTCCCAAGCAGACCACGGGCGCCAACTCGGCTCCGTTGAGAGCAGCTCTGTTGAGTGCCGTGCAACAGAGAAAGCATAAGATGATCGAACAGCTGCTAGACTGCGGTGTTCCCCCCGACAGTGGATTGGAAGTCAACGTCCTCCGAGAGGCAGTCCTCAACCGTGACCCGGAGACCGTACGGCTGTTGTTGCTGTTCGGGGCCGATCCCAACGCCGCTGACAGACATGGGCTCACTCCGCTGTACACCGCCACGGAATTGGGCTCCCTTGAAGTGACCAAATTGCTCTTGAAGTACGGCGGCGACCCTAACCTGCCGGCCGGTCCCGAGTATCTGTCTCCGCTGGGCATGTCGGTCGTCGAGGACAGAGCGGAGTTTGTTCACTTGTGCCTGACCTATGGTGGCGACGCGAACCTGAACATGCCGAATGGCAACACGCTGCTCATCCAGGCCATCAGCGAGACCACTCCCCAGAAGCTGTTGGAGCTCATGTTGAATTACGGCAGCGACCCCAACGGCAAGAATAGCGAAGGCCAGACGCCGCTCATAGCCGCCATCCAAGCGAGGAGGATCGACCTGACCACGGTTCTCCTCGATCATGGAGCTAACCCCAACCTGCCGGGGCCCAAGCACCCCTTGTGGTCAGCAACCTACCTGCCCCGGGCGTTGCAACTTCTGCTATCCCGGGGGGCCGACACCAAGAAGTGCCCGGGTGTTCTGGAGCTTGCCACCAGCATCAACAACGTGGATTCGGTCATCACGCTACTCAAAGCCGGTGTTGACCCCAATGCCAAAAACGACGGCACCTACACGCCGCTGTGCACGGCTATCCGCGACAACCGTGCTGAGCTGGTGTCCCTGCTTCTGGCCAACGGCGCCGACCCGAACGTCATGGCCTCCGAGTATCCAGCCTGGAAATGCGTCAGTCGTCACCGTACCCAACTTCTGCCGGAGCTGGTGGCAGCAGGGGCAGATCTGCACAAGCCGAAAGGGATTCTCGAGAAGGCGGTAGCACATAACAACAAAGAAGCCGTCATGTATCTCCTAGGTCAAGGGGTGGATCCAAACGCCCGAAGCGTGGAAGGCCATACGGCGCTGACCACCGCGATCCGAGACGACCGCCACGAGTTTATCGACATGCTGTTGGCACGCGGCGCGGACCCTGGAGTTCGGGGCCAAGAATGGCCCATCAGCATGGCGGTCAAACGACCAGAAATACTCAAGAAGTTGCTTCCGCATGTGGCCAACCCACGGGCTGTCAAGGGCGTGATAGAGCAGGCCGTGGAGGCGAACCAGCTGGAGAGCGTCAAGCTGTTGTTAAAGGCCGGGGTCAGCGTGGAAGACAAGACCGGCGGCGTGTTTTCGCCGCTCACCACGGCCATCCGCGAGCATTACCCGGAGATTGTGCGCTTCTTGCTCGACGAGGCCGGCGCCGACGTCAATGCCCCCGGCGAGCACCTGCCCATTATCAAAGCCGTCCGCAGGTGCCGCGGCACCAACACAGATATTCTCGAGATGCTGCTCGCCCGCGGCGCCGACATCAACCTCATGTACCGTGGTTGGAACGCGGTTCTTCAGGCGGTGGAGAACGGCGACGCCAACATTCTGAGGCTGCTGGTTGAGCGAGGTGGCGGCGTCGATTTGCAGGTCACCGACGAGTCGGGACGCACGGTGATGGAGATTGTGAATGAGCGAGGCTGGGACGAGGCCGTAACTATCTTGACAGGTCAGGTCAGTATGAAGTAGGTCTTGGTGGGGTGGGAAGGGCAGATCTGGAGATCTGAACGGGCCAGGCGCTGGGAGAGCTCACTATCAGATCCCAGGGAGGACATGTAAACTTAGTACGGTGACTGCAACTCAGCGCAGGTTGGGAGGTTGGGAGGTCGGGGGCGCAGGGGCTTGGGCAGGGTGGGCGCCCGTGGTCCTGGTCGAGGCGGCTGGCTCAGGCGATTCAAACGTGAACAAAAATGATGAGATGACGTGCAGGACGAATGAGAAAGCCAACCCTCGCAGTCTTTGCTGGAGACGGAACGACGATGATCTGAAAGGGAAATGTACGACGTTGGTGCTGGCGGTAGAACAGGGTTAATCAAGGCTTCTGGCCTCACCAGAAACGAGGTTTGCGGTTGTTTTTAACCTAGTATTTCTCAATCATATTACTGTCTCGATGTTGATTACATCAAGTCGGTGGCTGCCAGTGCGCTGGCATCTTCAAAGAATTAGATCTGCCGCTTCCTTTCCCTCTTCTCTTCCGTGGTGTAGAGAATCTAGTCTCCTCTCAAAAATTCCGAGTTACCTAGTCAGGAGAACATCGCTGTCATATGGTTGGTACCAGGCCAAAGCGTTTTCAGCAAAATAATCATCGTCCACTGCCTCTTAACATCGACCTCTCAGTGTCTCTTTACATCAAACGTCGAAACAATGCCTCTCAAATTCGCCATCCCGTGCCAGGCATCGGCCATTCGAACGACAAGGTCTGTCTCGCGCTTGACCTCCAACGCGAGGCGTCGTCAATCTCGTCGAGGACAAGGAAAGAGAATTTTGGTAGTTTCTCGTGTCCAAGGCATCATATAACGACACCTATCCACTGCCTGGATACAGGAGCGGTATCAGACTGCCTCTGTAAGCTGGAATTCAGTTTGGACTTCTTCCTCGCTCTGTTACTGAAGAGCGTGTTGGAATAGCATCTCACCTGCGTTCGTCCCTACATTTTCGACGTGGATTTGGGAGAGCCGAGACGACTTGAGAGCCCAACCGCGTGGAGAGAAGACGATATGAGTAGGAACGCACTCGACTCTGTCAGTACTCGAGTGGCGTGTCGAGTTGTGTGGTAAATCCCGTGTCTGTCGAAGGGCTTGTCGACTCAAGCTCCTCTGGTTGCGTCTGGCTGTTTGAATGTATCTCAAGTCAGCAGTACCAAACGCTAACTTATCTTTTCTTTCTGCTGTAGGATCGCAACCGCCGGCATCATCGCCATCGTACCTTTCTACTGTTTTATCCACAGCAGCAAGTCGTCCGGGTCGGAGCAGGCCCAAGTCCATGCCATCGGGAGGAAGCTTGGTACGTCGAACGAAACGAGAGACCCCAGAGACAGTGATGTCAAGACGCTGGAATGGAAAAGAGAAAGGGACAATAAATAACGAAGTCGGATAGCAAGAGTCGCAGATGCAAATATAGATGTAGACATGAACCAGCAGAACGAGGCACATGCTCATCAAATGGTGGCGAGGTATGTCGATGCCCTGCCCTGCATAGATGGCGAGCTGGCGACATTCTCACTGGTGTGGTGGCTTGTGTTTGGCTTGATGGAAGACTATACCAACAAGAAGTACAGCCTGCTTTATCGGGAATTATAACAACCAAAAGGATATAAACAAACATGTGGGCGTGTTAGGACAGCAATTGCAATGTTTGGCCAGGATACAAGAAAGTCCTGTATCCGAGCCGTGCCCAACTCTCTTCTCACCCGGACCCATCGTGTTGGAGTAAGGTCAGCAACGATCACTAGTTGAAAGCCACATTATCTGAGGCAAAGGAAGTTTCAGGTCGTCACACACAGCAGGCAATGGCCACCGCAATGATGGCTGACAGCCATAAGTCTGCACTCACACCTAGCATTACGGCGCCATTGCCATCCCCTCCTCCCGTAGTATTGTTTTGTCCGCCAGCCCCGCTGGGTGTCTCGCCCCCTGTGCTGTTGCTGTTGGTGGCATTGGCGAGTGACGGGAATTGGCCCTTGGTGTAGTTGTCAACAACGATGTAATCCTGAATCAGGGCAGACCCGTTAACGATACTGTCTAGTTGGCCCTCGGTGCATGTGGCCAGTGGGTTATAGGAATAGCAGATAGGCGGCTCGCTCTTCGGAGGGGCGTTTTTGACGGACCAGGTGTCCCCAAGACCAGTGGTGAAATAGCTGCTGTTCTGGGCCGTGTCTTCTTTGCCCGTAGCGATGTCGAGATTAAACAGGGCCCGGTGGAATATCGCGTACGCAGTTTCTGGCTGGTAGGCTGGAACCTCATGGCCCGCCTGGAAAACCCGGGAGAAGCTGAAGTTGCCAAATTGCCTGACGAGCCCGCCAATGTAGCTAGAATTGACGGTAATGTTCTCGTATCCGGCCGAGGCAAAGTCCGAAGAGTGAGAGTAGTTAACTGCAAGCGACACCGCCTCTCCTCCGATCCAGTTGCACGCATAGTCCCGGTCTCCGTAGACAAAGGCAACCTTGATCCCACGATCAATGAGATACGAAAGGTCCTCCAGCAGTCCGCCACGTGGATAATCACCCGTGTCTGCGAAAGCATAGTACGCTGCATTTCCACCAGGATTGGTGTAGTTTACCGGCACCCCAAGTGCTGCTTGCACGTGTGGCTGATTTAGATAGCCGATGTAGTAGCTTGGGGGGAATGGATCCGGATCTATGGCGGCAATGTCGTAGTAGTTTCTCCCAGAGACTTCCGTATAGGGACCTTCGACATCCCACGTAGCATCGTTGGCTGCAGAACAGGCGTCATTCACAGTCGCATTATTGCCTTGGTTTTCCGGGTCTCCTTCTGCTGCCAGGGCTCTGCACATTTCGATTTGCTCACGCACGCCACCGGGTTTGGTAAAGGCATTCATCGCGCCTTCGTAGGTGGTGCGATTGATTGCCTGGATCCCGTACGTGTTGTTGTATGCTATCTGAGGGTAGCTGGGTTCTTGGGTGAGCGTATCGATACAGCCGTTGATGATGCCGAGTGTATCCAGGTGAATTTCAAATGTCTCGCCCGCATCGCTCCACGAGCCATTGGCGATTTTTTCGTTCTGCTCTTGAAAGAATGCGGCGAAGCCTGGGCCATAATGGCCCCCGTAGCTCTCGGTCCAGATGCTCACACGGTTGTCGTTCGGCTTGTACGCCGGAAAGTTCTGAAACCAGACCTGAGCGAAATGCCACAACGCGCGTGCAGAGTTTGTCGTTCCGTTTGCACTGGAATTAAGCAGTTGGCTGGGGAAAGTCCCGACCAGAAAAGTGCTGTTCTGCTCCGGAAGGACCCCAGTGGTAAAATCACTGATAGTCACATCTCCGCTGGGGTCGAGTAAATCTTGCGTTCCATTCTTCAAGACATCGTACGATAGGCCGACCTGATTGGGTTGATCGATATAGAGCCTGGTAGCGGGTCAGCAATTGAAAGAAACAAGTCGACCTGCATTACATATTGACTTCGTTGTTCCATGACCATGGGTTGAGTGTGGTGGTGTTGGAGTCATAGTTGATATTGCACGGCCCTGTCGAGGATTGAGACACGCCACAGCCACGATAAGATCATCAACCAACCATTCTCCTGCAGAAGACCAATCATGGATGAGCTTCCAGGACCACCATTTAACCAGATTGAAAGTGGTGCATTGGCGGGATCTTTGCGGGACTCGAAGAACCAGAAGAACGTATTGACAGTGTAGTTTTGACCTGGCCCGAGAAGATCATCCAAGATATGGGGTGGGAGATGGACGTAACCGGCGTATGACCGTACTCCGGGGGTTGTTTCACATATTCCAGGCTGACAGATGGCCATGTCAGTGTAATCTACTACCGTCTCAACATAGATATACCTCTTTGTAGGAGACTGTAACCCCTTCTTGGACCTGAGACTTGATGACAGTCACATTCTTTGGCGTCGCGGGGAAATATTGAGCGCAGGTCGAGGTCAAGAAAGCTGACAACAGCAGGCTGGACAGTGAACGCATAATAAAAACTGCAGAAAGCGGTTTGTGGACAATGGGGACAGTATCGCAAGCATCAAGGAGAATCCAATTCTCGCAACAACCAGGATACAGTCACGGCTTGGTTTCGAAGAGCGAGGGAGTCGTATCATCGGCGCAACATCTACCTAGTACACAGTAGACTGCGAACTCACGCTGTATTCACTGGGGCACTCAGGATGCCGGGGCCGACCGAAGAAAAGGAACCCCAATGCTGATCATGGTCAACTGTCGGTTAGTCGAGGTTGCATCGTCGGGACCCAAGCATTCATTCGTATGTTACTCTTAGCTTGCTGCACTGGCCAGGATCTTGCAGGGGAGGACCTGCTTTGTCACGAGTGTCTCATTTGTGGTGTTTGCGTTGTTTGCGTTGTTTGCTATGTTTGCTGTATTTGACTTGTTTGACTTGTTTGACTTGTTGCCCGTTCCGTTAGCGTATGTACAGAGTACGTAGTCCTACTTCGTAGTCTTTGTCGGACATCTCTGTCCGGCATGGGCTTCAAATTCAAGTTAGCCTTAGGTAGTATGCCCTAGGCAGTATGCCGTCTTATCATATCTGTGGCATTTTCACAGCACCAGCTGCTCTTGCTCCATCGGACCCCTCCTCAATCGGCCAGCCTAGCTGTGCCTTGGCTACGAAGACAGCATCGGCAGTACGGAGTAGTAGCGGCCCAATTCGCCTATATCAACGGCAATTCGAAGGAGTGAGTGCTTCAGACCCTGACCAGAGCGCGAGTGCATAGGCCATACGTCTTTACTTCGAGAATCAGAGCGTTTTTCTTTTAGCGATCTCTATGGCCTCCTTGTCGGCACGATAAGGTCGCTACGCAGGACAGACCGGACTAGGCCTTATTCCTGGCTGAAACTTGACATACCTGCCCGCTTGCTACTCGGGACAGCGGCAGAGGGCGAGAAGCAACTTTCCTGGAGGGGACGAGTAAGTATTTTATTGGACAGCACTCGTGGTTCTACCTACCTTCCATCAGGCGTCTGTGCGTATCACAGCGCATTCCCAGGTCTTGATGCCCAGCGCATGCTTGGCTGACCAGCCGAACTTCGAGTTGAAGCTGGCAATGTCCTCGTGGCGTCCAGTGGATTTACCTACCCGGTACCTACACCACACATAGGATCCGTACTCTGTACTCCGTACTCCGGGGTGCGGCCGGCCTCTCCTCTCCGTCGCGGCTGCTCCATTGCATCCTCCAGCTCCACCGCCCGAAAAGAAGCAACGTTAAGCATGATACGAAACAGCGAGAGATTGTGGAACGCCCGGTGCTTATCCCGACCTTGCCCGTGCCATTGGCCTAACACGCGAAGATAGGCGCAAGGCTGGACCCGCGGCGGGGCTGGAAATTCCGCACCGTCAGCCTTGGCCCGCCCTTGGCAAAGCTCCACTGATAAGCTGAACTGAGGCACTGCAGTCTGCGGCCTCTTTAGCCAACAAGGCTCGCTAATCGAGGAGACGACAGGGTAGCCACCTCGACGCGTCTCGTTTCTTCTGTGTTCGAGGCGTTAGGACGACAACTCTTTCCTCCAATCTCGTGGCTGATGTCTCCTGGCCGCCCTGATATCAATCAGCCCTAACCCCAGGGTACCCATCTCCGACTCTGTTGGCTACTCCTTTTTTAGTCAATGGTTGTCACACCTGGGCTGCTCCTGGACCTCGATTTCGCTTCGAGGCCAGCACATCGTCGAGTCTAACGTCTTTCTGGCGCGCATTCGCTATGTTGGTGCCTCGCGTGACAGGGATGTAGCGTGGGGATGAACGGTGAAGTTCTTTTTTTTTTTGTGCTTTTCACGCATCCCCGGCTAGCCGCCGGTGTTCCTGCTGTGTCTCGAGGCTATATAGGCAGGTTGTTCCTTCCTGGCCCTACATGACTTTCCCTCCCGTGAACCAACCCTGAACGCCCCAGTCAATTGATCCTGTGACTCGAGCCGGCAGCCATGTCTACAGCACCAGTTCCCGTAAGTGAGCCCGGCGTGCTCTGCTTCTTCTGGTATGGGCCTTTCATTGACATTCTTGCAGCCAACCTTCAACGCGAGCATCCCCAATGGCGGCAATCCGGAGGAGATGGACGTCAACGCGCCCTACGTTGGCCTCGAGTGGGAATATGTCTACCAGGTTCTCATGGGCTGTCTCGTCTTCCTCATTGTCCCCGGTATCGGTCTGCTGTACGGTGGCATGTCGCGCCGAAAGTCGGCTCTTGCCATGATCTTCCAGTCCTTGACCGTCATGGCTGTCGCCACCTTCCAATGGGCCTTCTGGGGCTTCTCTCTCGCGTTCTCTCGAAATGGCGGGCCCTTCATCGGCGATCTAACCAACTTCGGTCTGAAGGATGTCAGTACAATCGACTCAGCCTGTGATTGCAAAGCAACGTATGCTGACTGCTTGTAGGTGATGGCTGCGCCTTCTTGGGGATCTGCCGTCATCCCTGATATCGTCTTCTGCTTCTACGAGCTGATGTTCTGCGCCTGCGCCACCATGATCGTGGTCGGCGGCGCTTTCGAACGCGGCCGCATCCTTCCATCCATTATCTTTGGCTTCTGCTGGGCGACAATATGCTATTGCCCCATTGCCTACTGGACCTGGAACGCAAATGGCTGGCTCTTCACCTTGCCCGCTCTCGACTTTGCCGGCGGCGGCCCTGTCCACATCTCCAGCGGAACAGCGGGTCTGGCCTACGCGCTGGTACTGGGTAAGCGAAGCCGCTATGGCGAAAAGCACATCTACAAACCGCACAACGTGACCGTTGTCTTTCTCGGAACCACCCTTATCTGGTTCGGCTGGTTCGGCTTCAACGGGGGGAGCGCTCTGAATGGAAGTATCAGGGCTATGATGGCTGTGTGGAACACCAACATGGCCGCCTCCACCGGTGTCGCGGGAGCGGTTATGATGGGTTACATCAGACATCGCAAGTTCAGTGTTATCGGCGCCTGTGAGGGTGTCATCGCCGGTCTGGTCGGAATCACACCCGCCGCCGGCTACGTGTCGGTGTGGTGCGGAGCTGCTATTGGCTTCATCACCGCCATCGTCATCAGCCTGTTCGAGAACGTGAATGAATGGATGGGCATCGACGATGGACTCGAAGTCTTCAAGCTCCACGGCATTGGCGGTATCTGCGGGGCGTTCTTGACCGGCATCTTCGCCACTTCTTCAGTGTCATCTCTCGATGGCGCCACACTGGCCCCTGGCGGTATCGACGGGGTGGGCAGCCAGATCGCGCGGCAGCTGGCCGAAATCGCCGCAATTGCCGCCTGGTCTTTTACCCTCTCCGTGATTATGCTCCTGATCCTCAAGTACATTCCGGGCCTGCACCTGCGCGTCGCCGACGAGGCCGAAATCATCGGGCTGGATATCGATCAGTTCTCTGACGAGGTTGTCGGCGAGTGGTCACTGTTCAATGACGATAACACCGGTCATCAGGTTGCCTTCACCCATGGCGTGCCTGTCGCGGCTCCTCCACCAGCAACGTCGAGCCCGACCTCGGAATCTGCCACGGAGGAGAAAACCGAGCCTAAGACGACGCCAAATTAGCTGGGTGGATGTAGATCAAGTGTTTCTTGTGGCGCGAAGGGATTCGTTGTTGGGGGAGAGAGGGTGCTGGTGGTGGATTGCCAACATTGGCTCTACGACCTTCTTTGAGAGATTCTCTGTGGAACATACGCAGATTTCTATTATTGGAATTGAACTGAACAAGAATAACCATGACCGAACTCGAGGCTGGCCCATACTGTAATGTAGAAGAAGAATGGGTACAGAGTACGGAGTGCGGAGTACTAGTAGGTACGGACTGAGTACTTAGGTAGTAGGTGTGAAGGTGTTGACGTGGCTTTGGTTTCAAACGACAGGCTAGCGTTTGATCGATGTCATACGCATCTTCTCCAAACTTCCTCCTCCGTACTCCGGACTCCACGCCATGCAATTCTTCATGACTGGTGCTTTCCTCAGACCATCCGTATCCCGCAATACCATACATTTGTACACTCCTCAGCCCTCATTGCAGACTTAAAGCACACAAGCCAAATGACTCGGGCTCTGCCGTGATTCTTCCTCCTTGCTCCCCGATTCTGCCACCCACATCTGGCAGCCTTCTAGCATTGCCTGCGCCCGAGTCCACGAGCAGCCCTCCTCGTTGCGATCGCTGGTATCCTCAACCATGTTTACCGCCAAAAGGCTAGCAAAAGTGTGTACTGAAATGAACTCCACATCCTCGACACTGTTCCCGGGCGCCGGACTGAGCTGACGATAACCACCACAGGAGCTACAAAAGGTATTACCTATTTCTCGTCTGCGTTTCCCCGCTTCCGCCTTCCATGAGCAGATATAACATGTGCTTTCGAACCCATTTCCTTTCCTTTCCGGAACCACGCTACGGCAGGCGAATGTGTGACTCGCCACTCTGCGTCAAACACGACTCTGACAGGTGCTGTGTGGCTGTACGATAGGCAAAGCAGAAACTGCCCCCAGGAATCGAGCTGGTCAAGGCAGACGACTTCCGAGAATGGCAGGTCGACATACAAGTCTTGGACGACAACCCGTTATACAATAACCAAGTGTTCCGGCTGAGTTTCATCTTCTCCGACAACTACCCGATCGGTAAGTGCGTGGTGGGGTGTACCGCATGCGGCCTGGATGGGAACAAGAAAGACATCGTCGTGGGCAGAACGCAGCGCGCTGGCTGACACATATACACGAAACCTTTAGAATCTCCAGAAGTCACTTTCATCAACGTCCCGCCATCGTCGGACGCCGCGCCTTCGAGTTCCCAATCGCAACCCCAAACCTCGCAACCGCCCACTCCCTTTCCCGGCCGACCTATACCCATTCACCCACACATCTACAGCAATGGAATCATCTGTCTAGATCTGCTCGGCACCGCCGGCTGGTCGCCCGTGCAGAGCGTCGAGAGCGTATGCATGAGCATCCAGAGTATGTTAACCGGCAACTCCAAGAACGAGCGGCCTCAGGGCGACGAACAGTTCTGCCAGAGCATGGGCGTGCGCGGGCCCAACGGCTGGAGCGGTTGGAGAAGCGGCGGCACAGGACGTGGTCTGAAAGATGTCAGGTTTGCTTATGATGACGATACCGTATGATACAAGTTACGCCCAAACCAGAGAGAGAGACACACGCACTTGGTTTCATGGTTGCAACAGCTGCAACATTTGGGCGTCAGGTTTGGACTGGGATACCATGGCGGCGGAGTCAGCACTGTTGAACATGGCTTTGGGATGGCGACTTCAATCAGAAAGCGAGAAGCGGACTTTGGGAATCTGAGTTCCACTCCGCGGCGTTCAGGCGAACTTGTGACAGCGGCGAGCCTTCTATACAGCCCAGCCTGGTGGGAATGGATGCGGATGTTTTCATGAGACGTTCCACGGCCTAGTCATGCATTTATGAAATGGCGTTACGAGTCAAATTAAAACCCCCTTGGGAGGCTCGTATTACTATAATCATGATACTGGACACGATATCATCAAGCGTCGAGGTTGTCCCGATAATCCCTCGGATCAACCTCGAAGGAGCAATGTCTTCTCCGCGAGACAAGTAGCTGAACAATGTCTCCAGGTTGCCAGGACACACAGCTTCTCAAACTTCAAGGAGACCCAAGTCAACAGACCTACTTGCCCCCCAGCCATTTTCGCCCGTTGGCCATTCCTAGCTCTGTTTCCTTTATTTGAAATCGGCTGCCCTGGTTCTCGCGCTGCCAGCACCGGTGCCCGCGGTCCGGTCTTTTCCACGGCGCACTGGACTAGGACTTCGTATGCCGCCACGTCTGGCAGGGCTTGGTGAGCGCCTCCTGCCTCCACCTCGCCTGGAGCCAGTAGTCAGGCGAGGTGGAGGCGAGGGAGACCGAGACCTTGAACGATCGCTCTGACTGGATGAATTGCGTCTCCGCCTTGGAGGTGCTCTGCGTCGCGGAGGGGTGTAGCTCCGGCTCCGACTCCGGCTTCTACTAATACTGTTGCTGCCGCTCCTGCTCCGAGGATATCTAGCGTTGCTGCGACGAGGTGGAGGGGATGCCGATTGCGATGGAGAGCGGCTGAGATCGCGGGCTTGGGGAGCTCTGCGGCCGATGCGGCGGGGCGAGGGCGATCTCGATGTTGATGGAGAGACATTGCGACGCCGAGATGGAGGCGGGATGTTTCGGCGTGCTGGAGGGGAGCGTGAACGAGAGGTGGACGAGTCTTTGCGCCGGGCAGGGAGGCGCTTCGAAGGAGAGCGTGGCTCGTCCGAATGGCTGTATGACTGCGAACGTGTGCGTGCTCGTCCACGAGGTGGCCCGCCATGGCGCCTTGGGGGAGGACTCGGGGAGACCGAGTAAGACGGCGCCCTTTTGCGGGTTCGACGAGGCGGAGATCGAGATCGAGATCGAGAGACTGAAACACTTGAACTTCGGTCTCTTCTTGTCGCACCACGTCGAGGCGGTGATCGCGAGCGCGATCGTGAGTCGCTGGAGCTTCTTCCCCGACGCCTGTCATCTGCACTGGGCGATCGAGTATCCCTGATACGCCTGGTCGGGCGCTCCCGAGAAAGACTCCTGGAGGACCTACTTGTGGTGTAACTTGAATAGCTAGAATACGAGCTGACGCTCTCAGAGCCAGAACGATCATCCTTGGGTGCAGGAAGCGCTGGTGGCTCGGGTCTGGGGAGGTTCTTGAGGTGTTCGCGCATCTCTTCGGTGAGAGCGCCCATGCCAATGCTGGTAAAGTAATTGATCGAGAAGCGGGTGTTTCGAGGAATATCTGTAGGAAAGATGCCGGCAAAACTGGGTCGGAGGATATCGTCCTTCATTCTTTCTTGAAGCTTGGGCATACCCAATGCCTCGGCCAGGTCCTGGAAGAGAATCTTAATGAAGATACGGCTGCTCGAAGTAGTCTCGTCTTCATTAAGATGCACCACAGACAAGACGTGCCAGCCAATGGCATCGGTGCTCAAGAGGTGCGAGAAGAAGCGCGCAATATTTCGCAAGCGGTTCGTCTCGTAGCGGTGGATTGTGTCATAGTATTTGGCAAATGCTTGCTCAAACAAGTCTGTCCATAGCCGATTAAGTTTCGCAAATCGCTCGCCGAGGAGACCAAAGAATTTGGAATAAGTCTTCTCTTGCGAGCAGCATTCGACGATCATGGAGGGCAGTTCGGGTTCCTGGCCGGTAGGCAGTTGGACTTTCATCAGTTTGTGCGCGGCCTCCTCAAAATCGAGACTCGACATGATGGTCAAATAGATGGTTCGGCGCAGGTTAACCAAGTCTGTGTTGGTCTGGTCCTTGATTTCCATCGCACGTTCTTGCTCGACATCCTCGTCGTCTGAAGTCTCCTCATCACCACTCTCGTCGTCCTCATCGGCGTCGCTATCCTCTCCAAGGATCTCAGCTTTAAGCTTCCGATATGCTTCTTCATGTTCCTCCCAATCAGGGTCGTACTTAAAGATGTTCAATGAATCTTGAACTTCAATCTCGTCGTCAAGATCAACCTGATGCGTGATCTGGTCTTCCTCCTCGACCAGGTCCAATTCCTCCCGCACTGCAGGGTTGTCTTTGTAACGATCTTTCCTGACTTGGAACAACACTTCAATCATGTATTGAATCCGTTTGTCGATATCGGCTTCGTGTAGGATACTGCGGAATTGGTCGAAAACGGCCAATGCGATGGGTGGACTCATTTCTTCGAGATGTTGTCCGACCTCTCTGGTCAAGCCAACCGCAATTTCGACCGAGTCGTCGGTCGGCTTGTGAAGGAGTAGTAAGAGGATCTGCGCCACCACGGTTTCATGAGCGACCTGCTGGTTGCAGAGATGCGCAATAAAAGTGGTGGAAGAGAGGCACACGGCTTTGTCGTTCCGTTTGAAGGCCTTGCGGAACTGGACAACGAGGCGATTGAGGAGCAGTTCTCCCACCTGTGGTAACTTTGTGTTGACAACAGCAACCATGCCGGCATAGATGGGAGTGAAGGGCAATGATGCAGCCTGTGCCTTCATGATACTTCTGCAAAATAACCCTCGACCACGGACTAAGTTTTCCCCAAAGAGCTCCGGTACGATGTGCTTGATGTTCGAGACGTTGACTTTGTTGATGAGACCGTTGATGGATTTTTTCAAAGCCTCCCAGGCCATTCGTTGATACTCCTTGCTAGATTTGTCGGTGATTTGTGCCTGCAAAGCTCGTAACTTGGCAGGTGGAATGTACGTGCCCCCGGATCGCATAGTCAGAAGTTTCTCATATTCTGCTTTCGCAGCAGCTTGCTTTTCCTCTGCCGTCATGGGCTTCCGCCTAGTATCATCACTTTCTTTGGGCTTGAATCGCTCAAGCAGCTCGCGTTCCCGTTCGTCAATTTCCCGTGCTGAGTCTCCCTGTCCATTTCGGTGCTGGTGTTCATTCTCAAGAGGCGCAGGTCGCCGACGCCTGGGAGAAGGCGAACGAGATGGCGGTGATCTCTTTTTTGCACCAGAAGGGCCGGGAGAATATGAGGCGCCTGGAGGCGGGGTGGGCAGACGGACGGCGGATGAGAGCAGCGCGGTGTCGGCCATGATCGATTCCTGCACTGGCGCCCTGTTAACAGCACGAGGCACAGGTTCAGGAGAACATCGACATTGCGACGTGTGTCGACGCAAGATTTTGAACAAGTGAGGCTCGTGAGAGAGACAGAGAGGCAGGCAAGTCGGAGGTCGGAAAAATGTCTGGTGCCAAGCTTTGGTACGTGTAATTACATGTATCGGGTACTAGATCAGCTTGCGACTTCACCCCGTTGGGGTCGATGGTAACGCCGCCTTGAGCCCCTTAGCCCACCCCGTATGGGCTCAGCCTAAGCCCCTAAGCCTGGTCAGACCTCTCTGCCTGACTGCAATCGGCTTGAAGAATTCTGGATTGGCGCAAATCATCAGTGCAGTCCGGCCGTGCTGCTCTCCTGATGTGTACACAAATTCATAATCGTCTAGGGTCTACGCTCGGGCTAGCTACCCTAAAGGCTGGTGGGATGAGAGTCGTCTCACCCATTGCACCGCACTCTAATAATAACCATGTGGTGTTGCTTTACGACCTCGACGACAGACCGCTTTGATACAATGCTGATGTTAGGGATAGGTAGCTTATAAACTCGAGGTAATAATTGAAATTAACCATGACTTGGGTACCCCTTTGGGGAAACTGTGCAGTGATATAGGACTTGGGAGCATCAGAGAAGACTTAATTCTGCCCGAGTCTCGTAGAAGCTCTATTGGCGTGATCTAGACTGATGCTCACTGCCTTCATGATCAGCAAAAGCTGGTGCTTCTCACCATCCCCATGTCGGTGGTGTACCCCCGGGGTCAGCGTTAGAGGCAGGTAGCCCGGCCTGGCCTAGAATCCTAGCCAGCCAGCAAGGCTGCCAGTATTGGGGCCACTCGCCATCTGCTCGAGAGCTTGCATTGCGCAGCAGGGAGTCGCTGTTTATTTCCAAGGTTCCTGCGTGATCCTAGATTCGTGAACCGTGCCGGAACTTAGATAGCGGAGTATTTGAGAAACGTTTGTCAAGGTTTTGCGCTGGCTGCTTGGAAGGACGTATGTTTGCTGAGTTTGGAGTTGGCAATACAATCAGGACGCTGGGTTTGTCTGTGCTTATATTTAGCTTGATAAGGCTTCACCTTTTGATCTTATATTCCAGCAGACTGCGAGTAGTGTAGAAGCTCATTGAGCCGCGTTCATTCAGCATGTCAAGACTTGTCTCGCTCGCTCGATGCGTCCCCGCCAGGTTGGACACTCGCGCCGTTGACTGTAACGAGGGATGTTCGGGGGCTTGAAGGGATAACTGGATCACACTGGCGACAAGGCCGCAAGTTCGCCATGGATCCTGAAATATGATGTAAGCCCGCTTGATTGTCAGTTACCTATAGTCCCTTCAGAAAGGCATTTTCAATCTGATGCTGCTTGGTCGCCTGTGTAATGAAATGGACCCTCTCTTCTCGTATGCTGGCTCCGGCGCACTGAGCCGTCATATCACGCGCACTTGGCATTTAGCCACTCATTCGTGCCCCCGATTCCAGAAGAGGAAAGGAGCAGCGCGAGCTTTACTCAGTGTGCATATCCGGTTCGAATTGATCCTGAGGTGGTATAACGGTATTTCGGGGCTTGTTTGATTCGTTGTTAGCACTGAACAAGCACGTAAATGCGCGTGACGGGGAACGAGGCATGGCTCGGCTGATAGTCCTTTGGCTAACAGTATGTGACCGATCAGTATGAGGCAGGGTGAAAACAAGTCATGATGAGACCAAGGGTCGACACGCTGTCCAAGGTGAAGTAAATGACCAGACTCTTCCCCAAACATCCTAGATCAATATCCTCAAGCAAGCGTACCGGCCCATGGTCTCCTCCATACCTTGGGCCATAGCTTTGATGAGGGCACATTTTCCCGTAGCAGCTTCAGATAGCCATGTCCAGTCAGTTCGAGTAGATAGCAAAGATGTAAATAATGAAAGACTAAACGCCCCAGACTCAAGCCTCGGAATCGTTGCTCAGTTGATCATTCGTTTCTCAAATCTCAAGAGCTTGAGAAAGAGCAATTCTTAATGATTTTGCAATATCTCATCACTGGCTTAATAAAAGAATTTCTGTGTATACGTGCGTGCACGACATACAACTTGTTTGAACACAACTCACGACGGACTCCCCAAAACATGAAGAAAGGGAGAGAAGAAGGTAGGAGTAAGTGGTGCCCGGACTGATTTATGTACTTGTTGAGGAAGCCAAACGTTCACGTGACAATTACTCAAGGTATTGCAGTACGGACACTTTAACACGGCGTCGCGCCCCATTTGTGAAGCTTGCTGGCTCGGCGTAAACCCAATTCAAGTTGACGAAGAGAAGGCATGTCTTACAAGCTTCTGGTGCCGAATAGACGTGAACCTTGATCGATCTGATCGGCTGGCTTGAAGGTTGGGAGCAGGTGAGCTCCGACCAGATTTGACGATTGCCTGAGCCGCCAAGCCAATTTTAGCTGCCACTCGCTGCACTGCAGTACTAGGTAGTACTCCGTAGCAATAGTACGTACTACCTAGGTAGCTCCGGGGGAGCAAACTGCCAAAGCGCGACTAAGTTGCGGAATCGTGTTCACTTCTCCAGCGCGTCCACTGTTTGTTCCTTGCGCAGTCTCGAGCAAAAAAGCACTTGTGTAAAGGCGGGCAGGATCAAGAGAGGTACATCAGTTCGCAGAAATGGTACGGTGCCCTGCTCCTGAGAATACTCTAATCGTAAATGCTGATCCTTTTCGGTAGCTGGACAAACTCGTGGGCATGGCTATGCTCATAGCAGCCACGACTATTTTCCTTTATTATACTCTCTGGACACTGTTCATGGTTTGTCTCTCACCCCTTCGTCGGTCAACTCCTCCACTGAAGCTTGTCTTAGCCATTTGTCGACGATGATCATCCACTCCAACGTCTCTTTCCTCCTCGTGTCTGGGCTATTCGAATCCCCGTCATCATCACCCTGTTTGGGTCGGCTGTTGTTGGAACTTTCCTTGCCCTGGTTCTGATTAGAAGCAACCGAAAGAAGGCGGCAAAGGCCAGAGCAGCGGCGGCGGCAAACAAGTCAAAATGAGAGGGTACGAGCTCCGTACAGATATGTCCCATGGTCGCAAGCTCGGCTCTCGTGGCCATATGCTTGTTGGAATCTCATCTGCGCCCTCTGCCCAATCCGAAATGCTCGCGACACTGTTTCGATGCAACCGTGTTCTGCAGATGAAGATATCACACCCGACTCCTTTTCTGGCCGGAGGTGCTTGCGAGTAGGTTCATCACGGTTCGGCCACCAAGCAAGTACCTGTGAAGGAAGGGAAGGCCGCATTCCCGATGCTCGATCCTTCGAGTCGCGTATATGGATCCTACTTGCAGATAAATTGAGAGCCCATGCGACGTTTTCGGCAGCTGGGTTCAACTCTCCGATATTGAATATCTCACAATTTTATCTAAATGGTCCTTCTCTTTCCTCAACGCTAGACAATCCCCGCGATCCTCTCTCGCGTGGGCTCAGTGTTGGTTGCACATCGTAGGAATGTCGATAGCACGTTGTGCAAACCACCGGGTCAGCTGATTTAGGCTACACTCGACGGTGTTGTGCTGCAGATTGCGCTGAAATCGTGCCAGAATCATCAGCTGTCCGGTCGAGAATAGAATGAGTTGATGGACCGGGTCAGGCTGTGTCCGAAGCGGTTCGCCGTCGAAAGTGCCCCGGTACGTGCTCATCTGGTGCAGATCAGCGAGCCTCGCCGCCGCAGAAGTTGCTTGTGATGATGGTCCGAGCTACAAATAGATCCAGCTGCAAACGGGCGGCCACAGGTCAAGTGACAATAATGGAAAGGGAAATCAGCCAGCACCACCACTAGCTGCCAGCTGGCCCTCGTCACTCGTCGTTATCGCTAGAGGTTGCTAGCTCTCGTGAAGGAACTTTGCCCCCTCCCCGCGCCCGGGTCAGAACGTACCGCATGCTCTAGTAGTGAGAGCCTTAAGCCACCAGTCAGCCCGCTGCAAAGGCCTTAGCCTACGTATCTCCCGTCCACCGATACTGTAAGCAGGAACCAGGAACCCCCCTCCCCGAACAGGCCTCCTGACTCAATGCTCGCTCATAGCCCGTCTACAAGCACCAGGTACTCAACGTAGATATACAACACCGCCTGACTGCCCGTGTCTCCAGGACACACATCCTGCAACCTCTTGTTGCACCCCGAGTTCCCAGTCTCCCTCATCATAGACAGCATTTCCCGAACCTGTCGATCCTCTTCCGATCAACAGCCTCTACCAAGTCCCTCCAACAACGCGTCAAAGACCCCGCGCCGGCAGCCAAGAGGTACTGCACCAACTGACTCTGCCTGTCTTGACCAGTCTGCTGAGGGCCTTGTCCGCAGTGCCCTCGGCCTCGATCAAGGGTTTTTGAATGCCAGCATACAACAAAGCAGTCCCCGCCGACTCAAAGAAGACCGACAACTTCCTAAACACAATTGACCGCGAGTCTCCACCAGCAGTGGCTGATCAGGGCAACTCCTCAAGAGCTGGGAAGAGGAAGACAAAGAATGCTGCCCCCAAACAGCTTCTCAATCTCGACAATGCCGACGACACTACAACTCCAGAGCAGATGGATCAACAGCCATCGGCGTCAACTACAAAACCTCCTTCCATACTCGGGCAACTGAACCAAGGGTTTCCCCAGAACATAGTGAGCGGTAACCTGGATGCCTTGGATGATCTGAACAGTGGTCGGAAGGTCTCGGACGAGCATACACCGCCGATTAATATCTGGGCACGGAGTACGAGTTATGGGCAGAGTCCATCGGCCGAGCCCCTTCGAGGGTTGAGTGCAGCAACTTCGCCTCCCTACGAACCAGGCTTCAGTACCAGAGGAGCTTTCAACGCGAGGAGCCCCCCGGTCTCTCCTCCGTCTAGGAAAGCCAGGCCGGTGAGCTATGGTAGTGGCATGCCTCCACTGCCCGTTCATCCAAGAGTCTCAACGTCTCCATATGGCTATGGGATAAGCGCCTATGGAACACCTCCAGCATTGCCTCACCTTCCACAACAACATTTTTTTGGTCCCCACGACCTTGATCTGGGACTGGCCAATGCTACAGCGCCCATGAATCTTTCGCACCCACTTGCTCTCAAGTTTGTCCAGATTCCTGGAGCTGGCCATGAGCCACGTGGGGCAGTCTTTCTCATTTGGGATGGTGCCTTGAACATCCTCAGCTTTAATGGAGAGAAAGTGGAATCTATAGGAGCCTTAAGAGGTGTACAAGGTACTATCCTCGACGCTGCTTTCTTGACATGGGGCGCAGACGAGGATCCCTTGGCGGATTATCGCCCGTTGGTGGTGCTCACGATCCATGGCCCAGCAGGCAGTGAAGCTAGTTCTCCCATGCCTGGCGACCTGCATCCACAAGAATATCACGAAGCGATCATTGAGACAAAGGTGGTGGTGTACTCATTGCGGAAAGCCTGCCAAATTGCCGAGTTGTTGCGGGTATCATCTACCTTGTCAACCTTCCCAGGAGGCATCCCAGCTACCAGCCCGGTGGCAGACTTGAGGGTGCAATCGAGCGGCAACTTTGTAGTCGTCTCCTCCGGCGACAGCGGCGAAGTATTCATTTTCTCCATCCGGAAGGGTAAGGATGCAGCCATATTTGAATGCTTGGGCAAGTATTGGACCACGATACAACCGCAGCTGCCGAGGAGAGACTCGTCTCATGGACCATCCTCTGACGCCGATGTTTCACCTGCCGATCTCGGGCGCGCCCATGATAATGAGAATGCTCCCATTCTTAGCTTGAATGGTCGTTGGCTGGCCTTCTCTCCTGCAAGTACTCCTTCGCGACGATCGGTCGGAGCTATTCTGGGTGACTCCGTCGTTCATCATAAGAATTCGACCATCACTGCAGGAACGGCTCCTGCGAGGCCCCTCGTCAGCTGTGAGGTGGAGTCTCCTGATGTAGACTCCTTTCTCGGCAAAGTTGCCAAAGGATTTGCGCAAGAAGCTGTGAAAAGCGCAAGATGGATCAGCGAGAAGGGCTTGCAGACATGGCAGAGCTATTGGAAGAAAGACCCAACCAGCTCGCCAGCGTTGCCTGCTACGACTTCCTCCAGTCCTCCGATTTACCCCCCTCATCACCTTGGCCTCGCACAATTTCCACCGACGCACGGGCTTGATCAACAAGATCCTTCGAAAGACCCCGAGGTAATCACAATCCTTGACTTGAAATTTCTCCAAGAGGCCCAAGGAAGAAAAGGCGTGGAAGCCGACCCTATAGCTACTTTTCAACCGCCAGGAGGCTGTAGCTTCCTTTCGTTCATGCCCACTGGTCTGGGGCTTTTGACGGCAAACCGCAAGGGCGATGTTCAATACATTTGGGACTTGATGCAGATCAAGCATGTGAGGACTTCAGCCACTTCAACAGTCGCAGAAAACGGGCGCGTTCGACAAATCGCAAAATATGAACGGATGAGTCCTTCCACCATTGTTGACGTGGCGTGGGACGGACCGACTGGATACCGATTTGCCCTTGTCACGAAGAACCGCACGGTGCACATATTTGATCTACCAAAAGCGGCGTTTCAATGGCCACCGCCGCGCCCCAAAACGCACCGGCCCACGTCCGCTCCAGCCGAGCAGCCTCACATGAAGACAGAGCACGAATCTGCCTCTCCAGGGGGCTTTTTAGCTTCAGCCATGAGCATTGCCGGACGAACTCAGCCCATGTTTGCGAATCTACGTGGAAGAGCGCCTAGTATGAATGGTGGAATCACCAGTATTGGGGCTTCAGGGATCGGGCTTGCTTCTGCCACTGGCATCAAGAGCGGTAGAGCAGTGGCCGCGGGACTTAGTAAGTCCCTCGGAGCTGCCACTGAGACCGTCACCAACCTTCGGCATGCAAATCAGAGCAGGCTTTCTTTGAAGACTATTGCCCGTGTAGGCATGCTCTGTTGGCAAGAACGAGACGGGAAGTCAGTCTTGTCGATTCTTGACTCGACCAGTATCAAGAATTACTATATCCGCATGACCAAACCCAGGGAGAATCGTCAGAGAGACACAGTGTCGGTATTCAATGCACGCAAAGCTGTTACTTGCAGGCTCCCCAAGGCTGTGGATCTGAACCCGACCGGGCCTCCGCCCCAAGGCGAGGGAAATGGCCTAACGAGTTTCTGGAGGTTTCGCCCTGGCCGGGATGGGGCCACGAAAATGCCACATCCACTGGCTTTCGCAGAAATCGAAACAAATGCTGCCTATCAACCATTCCATTCTGACCGTAGGGTCACAATTTCTCTGACTGCTGGGGATGTCTGGGCCGCCGAAGATCATTTCCCAGGTCCGTCTCACTTTTTCCCACAGCGCACTTCGGTCCCAGTCAGGAGTGCAAATGCAGCTTCTGAAGACAATTGGGTGTTTGGCACCGAAATCCGATCCCAGCGACTGAACATTGTCGGCTCTTCTCAACAGGTTGGTGATGAGGGGTCTGTGATCTATCGGGAGACGAGGATGACTCCCGGGGCCCCGAGCTTAGCTCCCATATCTGCAGAAGTTCTAGATGACGGTGTCAGCCATGTTGTCAGCAATACCAAGAAGCGGAAGAGTAAGAAAGGTCGGGTGGTGCCGCAGGTATTCGACGACGAGGATGTCGGTGGGATTGGTCTGGATTGTGCAAAGCCTGGGGACACCGTTGATCCAGACTTTGACCTGTTGGACGACGATGGCCGAACTTGAGCCCTGAAACCTGAGTCTCCACCTGATGTCCGCTGCTTAAGTGTTAACCCATGCGAGGTTGGGGGTCAAGGGAGACACTTTGTGGCCACAATCTGTCACTTTCGGACCCATGGTCATTTCTGGATTGAGCCTATTGCCTTGGACATCAGCTTCATCATGATAGTCTTAGCATGGATATATTACCTTCTCTGCTCTGTCTCCAGTCCGACTCAGGTACAGGCATGTTACCTTACACGGCTGCTATGGACTTGAGAATGAGGACAAAGTCATAACCAAGCTGTACAAGACATGTGGCTGATCGCCTGCCATTGACTCCTGCATTATTGCTTTGTTGCTCTCTTTGTTGCCTACAGCAGTCTTTCCTATGCAAGACTCTATTCCTTTGTGCTGAGGCATAGGCTCGAACTTTTTTGGGGGGTCTGCAGCCGCATTATGCTTTGTCCTTCCACTCCTCACTGAAGAAAGAGTGTACATGGCCCTTGTCTCCACATGGCGGTAGCGATGATGCTTCTTTCAGGCCTTGACAATCAATCTACTCGCACTCGTATTGTGGAGATGTTTCAGATCAAAATACTTAAACCTGATGAGTTTGGCTGACACAGAGAAATGGGATCAAGCAAAAAAGTTCCCCCCGACTACCTAGTGTCAGCAAGACTCCTCAACGCAACCAAAGTCAACATGGCGCCCCCTATATATGGTATATATTATCCTGAAAACGGCGGATACCTGCACATTTGCACATTGGGATCAGGTGCTCAAGGAACCGTCTCTCTTGTGCGATCTGTTGTCGACGGAGCCCAGTACGTCAGGAAGATGACTACCCCGATAGCACCACTCAATCCAGGCGATGCAGCTCCAGAGGTAAGCCTCTACCGTCCGCACCCGCTGATCCCGAAGCTTCTGCATTCTCATGCATATCCAGTCTTCAAGCCAAAAAGTGCCCATGCAAACATGGAGAGCCACTCCATGATTTTTGAGTTCTGCAACGGAGGGACATTGACGCGGTTCTTACACATCCGAGCCTCGGACGAGACGGAGAGGTTTCTCCCGTCGAAATTGCTGGTGTGGAAGCTGTTTGATGACCTTCTGACAGCCGTGCACTTCCTTCACCAAGAGTGCACTCCGGGCATCGTCCATGGCGACGCGCACACCGACAATGTGTTCTTGCACTTTCCCAATGAGCAGTCCAAGATACCCGATTTCTGTGTGGGTGACTTTGGTCGTGCCACAGCCATTGACGCTAACGTGTGGGAAGCAGAAGGACAAGCCGGCGAACGAAAGCTGAAGAGCCTTGATTCAGTGCCCATGGCTGATCGTGCTGAATACAACACGCAGGTGCAAGAACTGATAAACGACCTGATCAGAGTGCATACAAACGTAGGCATGCTTATGACGGGTCTGAGAGTCGATGACAACGTAGGCCCGGATGATATCATACCGGAACAGAAGGAAGATAAACGATGGCCCGTTGGGCTCTTCGACTGCTACGACAGACTCGACGATATCATTGCCAGACAAACACCGGAAGCATACAACGAGTTTGCCGGTATCTGTCGTGACGTGCGCAAGTTCACGAGACAAGAGGCAGCGAGGGGTCGGGGAGCCTATGAGCCCGATGATTACAGAGGCACACAACCGGGCGTATACGACTGGGAAGACGCCGGTGGAAGGGACTCCCGGTGGCCACCCGAGGTCCCCTCAGTGGGCAACGATCGCCCTCAGCTTTGCAATTCGCTACACAAACTGCTGGCCAGTTCCCGCGATATCCCTGGGCCATGGAAGATCGCACGCGTCGATCCCGACAGCTTCGCGGTGCTGAGCACCAAACGCCTCGAGCTTGGGTATCATGCATGGACATTGAAGGTATGGCCCTGGGCCGCTCCAGATCTGATCCCGACCCAAGTCGAGCAGTTTGGATGGGACGGCATTTTGGAGGTGGCGAGGAGTATGGACAATGGAGACCCAGATCCTGGGGCGTCCGTCCGGTCCTGATGAGCCCCGAGGTCGCACACTCTTCACTCTTCAACCTGTTCGCCCTCCACCAGGAATAAACTGTCGCAGACATCTGCGCAGGCCAGACGGACAGGGTCGTGGTTAGGGATGGAAGTCTCAGACCAGTGCTCTCTTTATACGGAGTATATCGGTGAGTAGGTATGCAGGGCCGGAACAATCACCTGTCTGTGGACGTGACTTTAGAGTCAATTATTGGATCCTATAATCAAGGGGGGATCATTTTATGTATCTGTACAGTCCTTCCGTTAGTCGTCGACATGCAAATTGATCGAACCCAGTCTGTGCTCATTGGCCTTTTTTCCTTCTGTTGACCGCTTACTGGCAGCGGGTGGTAATGTTGCCATTGCGACCTTGTCATATGTAAATGTACAGTGGCTCGTACACTGTTTACTCTGAACCACCTTATGTATCCGTACAAATCATTTACTCCACACGATCCAGCCTGGCTGGTGCCATAATAGTCAATCTACATGTAGGTATTATTAGTCAATGGTCAATAGTCGCCATAGCAGCGGCGATGTGTACTAGTTTAGTACGCATGCGCATGGGCATGGGCAGTTGGGAAAGGGGAGTCGATGTGCTGGCAAGCGACATGCCATACATATACAGATACTCCGTAGATAATCTGGTAAGCAGGGGTCTTCTCTTCTCTTCATCTGGTAAGCAGGGGTCCTCTCTTCACTTCAGTTGGGCTGTGACTTAGATTCGTATCTACCCCAAGTACCTGTTAGGTGCCTGTGACTTCAATTCGTATTTACACTAAGTATCTAGGTACCTACCTACTCCGTACTCCGTACTCCGTACACAAGAGCACCGAGCAGTGCACCTACATACATTACCAGCACGATGCCGCCTTCCTGGACAAACACGCCCTCTGGCACCATGGCGGCCATGGTACTGACGTCGCCATCGCCGCTACCCACACCGCCCGGCGACTGCTTCACCTACACGGCGACGTATCCGCGGCCGACGCTCCCGGGCCCAGAGTGGACGTTGGTGAGGGTGCACGCATGCGGGCTGAACCGGGCAGAGCTGCGGTCGCGCGCCGGGCTGCCGCCAGGCCGGCCCGAGTTCAACATCTTCCAGGCCGAGTACCATGCCGACCCGCCGGCCGTGCTGGGCGAGGAGTTCGTGGGCGTGGTGGACGTCGCGGGCCCGCGAAGTGGCTTTTCCCCCGGTGAGCGTGTCGCTGGCTTCATTTATGGCGGCGGAAAGGCCCACGATGGGAGCTATGCGCAGTTCTCGCTGTGTCATTCTCGCAGGCTGTTCAGGCTGCCCGCATCCTCTGCAGGCCAGTCGTTGCCGTGGGATGTCCTGGCGGCTATCCCCATGAGTATGGTCACCGCTTACGGTTGCGTCGTGTTGGCGGGGGGGTTGGAAAGGCGGATTGCGAGTCAACAGCAGCAGCAGCAGCAGAAACAGGACCAGAACCAGAATCAGGACCAGAATCAGGACCAGAATCAGGACCAGAATCAGAACCAGAACCAGGACGAGAACCAGGGACAGAGCGCTGGTGGTGCAGCTGCCATCGCCGGCCACCCCAATGTCACGGTTCTCGTGCACGGCGCCACCTCCAGCGTAGGCATCTGGGCGATCCTGCTGGCCAAAGAGCGCGGGGCGACGGTGATCGCGACGACGCGGGCCTCGAGCAAGGCCGAGCGGCTGAAGAACTGCGGCGCCGACCACGTCGTGCTCGAGGACGAGCTGGACCGCGACCTGCCTCGCCTGTTTCCCTGCGGCGTCGACATCGTGCTGGAACTCGTCGGGCCGAACCAGACGCTGCGCAGCCTGGGCTTTGCCGCCCGCTACGGCACCGTCGTGGTGTCGGGCGTGCTGAATCTGCAGTGGGAGCTGCACGGCTTCAATCCCGTCATGATCCCGCCCACCCGCAACCTGAGCTTCTACACCATGACCAACAGCGGGCCTGGCGGCGAGGACGCCGAGATCGACCACATCCAGCCCCTGCTGGCCGAGGTCATCGCCAAGGTCGAGGCCGGCGCCTACCCCCTCGATTGTATCCTCGATCGGACGTTCAAGTTGCATGAGATGGGCCAGGCACACGAGTATATGGAGCAGAACAAGGCCGTGGGAAAGGTGGTCGTGACTGTTCCGTGATGCCATCGCCATCGCCATCGCCATCGCCCGTCTCATCATGATCATGGTCATAACATGTCCACCCCGCCACCATCATCGCCCGTCTCATCATGATCATGGTGATGACAAGTCCACCCCGCCACCATCTTTGTTCGCTGAGGCTCCATCTGGTGTCGAGAAGATCGGGCTCTGAATGGGACCTGTATCCATGGGGAGCTAGTCGCTGGGGAGCTGGTCGCTGGGGACCTGGATTCATGGAGAGTTAGCTGGTCGCTGTGGAAGGAGGAGATGGAATGGCGGAAGAGTGAGGCGGATTCACGGAAGTAATCCAAGGGAAACAGGCCCACGGGCGGCATCTCCAGGCGAGAAGAAAGGTACATAGCAAGAATGTTTCATTCCCATTCGCACAACACGCAATGTATAACGCATAACATAGAACGCCTAACCCCTAACCTAGCTTTGCCTTCAAGGGCCTTGCTTTGCTACCGGTGCTGAAGACAGACAGACACACAGACAGCACTCTTCTCCTGTCAAAACGCCTAATCCGTGCATGTAAGATCCAGTACATAATCTCTCTGATGCTCATGACTATGACTCAGCTCATTCTTCCATCCTGACATCCTGCTTGGGCAAGTTCCCTAGGTTCTTCAGCAAATACGATCGCTTGAAGTATGTATTGGGATGGACAATGGTCTCCAGCTCAGCCGGGCCCCAAATGCCCTCGTCTTTGACCTTTTTGATTTCCGCCTTGTGCGCCCATTCGAAAACCCGATTGCATGCGATGTGGAACCGTTTCTTTTCTACATCCTCCTTCACGCCGCGCAGCACATCCCGGTCGTGCACTCCGGTGGCTTGGAGCATGCTGGTGAGGTTGTCCACACTGAAATGTCGATATGGACAGCCGTGTGCTTCTCCTGTCCCCGGTGGGTGCTCTGTCAGGATCTTCTGACAGGAGTAGGGGGCATATCCTCTGCCTCGGCGGTTGGCGTCGCCTCCAACGTCACCATAGACGTGGCGGACGTTGTAGCGGTATTCCTTGTTGAATTGGTCGTCGGTGATGGTCTTGAAACTCTGTCGCCAGAATATCAGACAGTCTTCCAGCGAGAGGCCAATCCCCTTCAAGAAAAGGGAATATTGGAGCCGTCCGAAATGCTTGAGGTGGTTGTTCTTGCGCAACGTCGTGTGTAGATGCTTCATGCAGAGCGGGAAATGCTGCGAGAGAGTGTCGATGTTGGCCGCGTTGATGGGCGCCCCGGCAAGAGAAGAGTCCGAGTCGGAGAAGGCGGCGTCCGGAGTGGCAAAGTTCTTGGACAAGTGGTCGAGGATCGGGGTCAGTCGGTCGTCTTCGTCTAACCGCGGTAGAGCGCGAGAAGTCAACTCCAGGGCTTTGTCGAGGCGGTTCGAGAACTCGGTCAGAACCATGCTGGTTTGTTCACGCATAGGCACGTAGGCCTTGCCTTTCTTGACGAGCACGGTCCGATGCTCGACCAACTCGGGTACGCGAGTCCAGTCCACCTTGAACCAATTTTCCTCCTCGAGCCGCCGAAGCCCCGGCGTCGCGGCGAGGAGCTGCTCGCCCAGTTCTCGTTTTTCGTCATCCTGCACCACCTCCCAGTTCAAGTTGAGACTCTCGACAAATGCCCGGCGTTCTCGGCTGTCGTCTGCTTGGAATCGAAGTCTAAACAGCATCGTCTCAACCCTCGCAAAGCGCCTTCGTAGATCTTCCGTTCCGGAGAAGGCTAGTCGCAGGATAAAATGGGAGTAATGGTCTTTCCGCCGTTCCTTTCTGAGGCGTTCATCGACGATGCCGCCGGCAGCAGAGGAGTTCGACGAAAGGGGAAGATATTTCTTGAGTAGCGGTTCGAGGTGGGCAGCCGTCTCTTGGGGAGACTTGTTTCGGAACGAACAGGACTCAATCTCGGCCAGGACTGACCTCTGTCAGCGGACTTGCTACCAAGTGCGGAGGAGTCATACTTCTCAATCGATCGATAGCCCATACCTCGAACTCCTCCAGGCTGATTTCCTGCGTTGGAGGGACATCGTAGAAGGATAATCTGTAGGGATAGTCCTGGTCCTTGTAAGAGGCATTTGCAAACTGGGTTTTCTTGTAATCGACCCTTTTGCGCTTGGGGTCGAACCGAGGCTCTGATCGCAGCATCTTGTGATGAGGTGGGTAGGTGGTTGAGATCCGAGTCGAGCATGTAGAGAAACACTTACACGAGTCCACCACTGCAACATGCACGCGCTGAGACGCGTCGCGGGAGGGCCGAATGACGCGCCGTGGTCGTCGCCGGGTCGGAAAATATTATTGCCGGTGGCCAACCAAACTCTCGGACTCCGGCCAGCCGCAGCTAACAGTAGCTTAACGGTTTGCTATAGGTTCTAGGCACCATAGCCTATACCTAGGTGCCTAAGGTGCCTAAGCAGGTGAGGGGTTGCTTTATTAGCCTCAGTCGGGACAAAGAGTGCCCTCGGGTTTTGTCAGCCGAGATGGCTCCATGCTTACTCCGTACTCTCCCCTCAACTCCGTAGGTTGACTCGCTTCCTCCGTCGTACAATATTATTATTAACCGAGAAGCCCTCATCCTCTATCACTTTCCTCTCCTCGCGATCGCTTGGTCTTGTTGTTTCTTTTTGTTTTGTAGCGCGTACATCCTCACCTTAACCCTGTCGGGCCTTGTCTCTGAATCCTCTACCTGCTTTCTGATAATATCCATAGCTAACGACAACACGATGGGCACTTGACCCGTCGCCCGGCGGACCTCGCCTCGACAACCTCCCAGCCTGTCATAGGCTGTTTCGGCGGAACCTTCTACAATGACTTTCGCTACAGCAACTCGAAAGCTGAAGCGAGCCGCGAGAATTATTTTGGTGGGAGCACCAGGAGTTGGCAAAGGAACGCAATCTGAGAGGCTTGTGAAACGCTTCCCCCAACTCTGTACGATCGCGACAGGAGATCTTTTGCGCGACAACGTGAAGAATAAGACTCTTCTTGGTTGGGACCCCTGTCTGTGTTTACCGTTTATTACCTGCTAATCGCGCGACACAGGACAGCAAGCAGAAACCTACATGCGCTCCGGTGCTCTCGTGCCCGATCCTCTGATCCTCAATCTCATCCTAAACGAACTCACCTCGAGAAAGTGGTTGGAAACGTACGATTCGAATGAGAATATAATCGCCGCCCTCGGGCGTGGTAACGGCTCGGCCTCCTCGGCGGTTCGTGCTTCCAACTCACCAGATACATCTTTCATCCTAGATGGCTTTCCTCGGACAGAAACCCAAGCCCGAGCTCTATCATATCTTCTACCTATAAATCTGGTATTCCAACTGGTCAGTCCAGTCGAAGTTATCCTGTCTCGACTGGCAAATAGGTGGATACATCTGGCTTCTGGAAGAGTATACAACGTGGGATTCAATGACCCAAAGGTGGCCGGGATTGACGATGTGACGGGAGAGCCGCTGGTCCAACGCGAAGACGACAGTGAAGCAACCTGGCGGAAACGTTTGGGCAAATTTGACGAGACCAGCAAGAGTTTGCTCGACTTCTACCGTGTGCAGGACGACAAGATGGTGGTCACAGTCCAAGGGAACAGCAGCGACGAGATCTCGCCGCAGATTTTCGCGGAAATTGAGAAGCGATTTGGTCTATAGAAGGGGAATTTAATATTATTTATGAATGTTTGTATCCTCGACTGTTGATTTTCCAGATTCCATTGAGATCAAAATGATCCCTGAGAAGGCCCGGATGCCCAGCCAGAGGTGACTGATCTGCGCTCGACGCGAAAACAGCCCCAGCAGAGGAATGCCAGGGGCTGACGCTTAAGTAATGCTTCTTGTTGTCGGCGGGTGTTGAAGGAAGAAAGGAAAAGGACACAAGACAGAATTGAAATGCGAGAAGGTGGGAAGGATGGCGCAGGCTTGGCGCAGATCTTTTGCAAGCCTGAGCGTCTCCCTCAGGCTCCAGCGCGGAACGAATGGGCAATATTAATGGCGATGGCAATCCATACCCAACGTGCATTTACGGATACACTGTCCGCTCATCAGTTTTTTCATTATCCTCCTGGTATTGCCATTGCCATCCTGCATTGTTCCGGGTTGAGATTGACAGAAGCTTGGTGGTCAACTTGCAGCATCGATGCTGTGCCACATAGCACGGCTGCTCTTGGTGGCGCTGGAGACGCATATTGCATTCCGAGATGAACAAGGGTCTCATATTAAGCATGCTGAAATCAAGTGCCAACTTAGGTGAAGCCGATCCTCAGGACTAGGAACCAGCTGTTCGATCGACCTCGATCTACGGAGTACCTCTCCAGTCAGTCCATGTCATCTCCTCCAGGTTCAGAACTGCGGTCCGCGGTGCGGCCTCTTCTATTCCGTCAAGCATTCAGACTCTTTACACTAAAGCCATGCTAGCCACATTTTGCCTCGTGGGAAATAGTGTTAGACGCCGAACACCTTGCCTGGCCACTGCAGCGCATACCCGCGTTCCGGCTGCCGTCTTGCGGTGAAGGCACCCGTTAACATCGTCTCTGCAGCGGTCCTATGTCATGACTTCAATCGGAAAGATGAAACGGCAGTGTCAACCAAAGCGGTAGGATTGACGGAGTCTCACAAGTAAATGAGGGCGGGAACGCTGTCGCCGATTCATCACAGGGGGGCAGATCATCGGTGTGGCAGAACGTCAACTTTGGCAGGATAGACGGGACGATGGCTGGCCAGTGTCCACAAAATGGTGATACCGTCCCTGCCACTCGCCTGGCTAGGTGGTGCCTGGTACCCCAGATAGCGCTACGCGGTGTCCACCGACAAAGAGGAGACCTGGCGCACCCAGTTTATACCCGCCCGAAGCCTAAGTACTGTTTCAACACGTTCGAGCGCGCTGTACGGAGTATTGCTTTTCATTCCTGCTGCTGTCGTCCGAGCTGCGTGGATGGCCATGACAGCGCTCTCTGCGTTGTCACACCTTAGCACAGATGGTGGTAGTGATGGGTGCGAGCTGAAGCTGACTGGAACCCCCCGGGCACTGGGCACCGGGCACTGGGCACTGGGCACAGCTCGATCATCCATATGATCCCGGACGCCTGCCTTCAACCGCCCACCGCCCACCACCATTCGCTTCGTCGTCATCACTAGGCCGAAAGAGAGCGCTGGTGGCACAGAGGGCGCCTGAAGGAAGCAGCTGGGCGGAAGTCAGACCACAGTAGCCCCATCGTAGTCCGCTGTAGCCCGTGTGAGATGGACCAATGAAGCCGGCAGCGTCGAGGTGACACATCCAGCTGCGCCGACTGACACCAAACTCGCTCCGCTTCGCAGGGCTCCTTAGGCTAATCCAGGCCAGTCCAAGGGGGCTCCTGCAACTACTGTAGGCTGCCCCAGTGCAAGCCACACCCTTCGCAAGCCCGTTGGCGTGGACGAAAAAAGATGCACCAGGATCATATGGATGGATGCACAGTCATGAGGCGTGAAGACTTGCTCGCCCCCCAACAGAGAGACTGGCGACCCCCTCTTGAACGCAAAGGCTCGCGCCCTGAACTTCTTCTTCCAAGTTGTTGCTCACCGGCTTCCCCTCGAAAAAAGAAAGCAAGGCCGACTCCACCACTACTGCCTGCGACTCGGATATCGGACGGACCGCCCTCTCTGTTCCCTTGACCGCGCCTCCACCAAAACAAATCCCTTGTCGATCCGCCGAGCCACGCTCATGCTCACAGCCTGCTGGATCTGTCCGAACAGTACGGAGTCACACCAACGGAATCTCAATATCCCTCTTCTCCTTGCGTCGTCCTAATCTCAGTGGAAATACCGAAACGCCCCCTTGACCGCCATCGGCCACTCCAGCACGGACCCGGCTTCGGTCTCAGCCAGCCTGTTTCACGATATTTCACGATATTTCCCAACCCGTCTGCTCGATCACACAACTTGAGGACACAATTTCTGCTCCATCCATGACAGCGCGAGGCTCACGCGCAGGAGCATTGCTTGGAGGAACTACACAATGAGCCTCGGGACTGGGGACAAGAGCAGGCCCTGTTGCCTTCTTGCGTTTGTCGTGAAATTGTCTAGACAACCTCATACCGTCGCGTTTGAAGCTGGTTGATTCGGCTGGACACTTACCTGCCTTGCGATTCCACGTATTTGTGCTCAGCGCGCTGAGTTCGACTGTCACCCTCTAATCATGCTGACTGTGCCTCGTTGGCATGTAAATCTGCACACGATGGATCCTATCCAAGATCCAAATGGCTACCTACCCCGACCAAGCGGTACCGTCCCTCGCCAATATGCCATCCCCGCTGCCTCCGGCGTCCCTGGCCACCAGCGGCAGCGTTCTGGAGTCCTCAGCTATGCCGAACATGAGATGATGAGGCAGAGGAAAACGCCATATGGCCGATTGTCCGAGCAAGACACGGCCGTGCTGGATAAGAGCGTCCAGTTCCCTGCTTCCAAACATGTCCTCCTGTCAGCTTCTCCCGACTTCCAGCGGAATACCTCTTCTCTTACGCCGCAGTGGGCCGGCTCTCATCAGCCGCAACAGCGAGGTGGCATGTCTGGTTCTGACTTTGCAACAGACGGGAGATACGACAGGCAATCGCAGCCGTTTCCCTACAGACCAGCCTGGGACTTTCCCGGTGGTCTCGACTCGATGCTAAATCAGACTCTACCACTCCAACCAACACAGAGGTATTATTTTCAACATGGATCCAACATCCCTACCGTTCTTCCCTCCACCCTCCACTCTCAATTCGGGCCTACGGCGTCGGCAGGCCAAGAGGTATACGGACCATATTGGCCGGACGGCACTTACAATCCCTATCGTCCAGCATCCATCCGAGACAGTCGAGTCTTTCCACGCGCCCCTGCTGAACGATTTCCACTAGATCATCATGATCTACAGTCCCAGACTTTGAGGAAACCGGGGCGGCTCCCAGCTGCAGAAGACAACCCCTACATCCAGAATCCTCCGCCACACTTTTTGAGTACCCCAGTGAATTTTGTCAAGTCACCCTCATCCAAGTGGAATTACTCTACAAATGCGTATCACACTGCACAGTATCCCTACCATCAGCCTTATTCGGGCACCGAGCACTCCCTGTCCGGCTCGATGGTCGCGGCGAAACCGGCCTTGAACTCTCTCATTCCTGCACCTAGTTCAGAGCGAATCGCGTTTAGGGATAGGGCTTTTGCTTGGGCGAACGGGGTCTATACGGAGCTTCTTCAGACGATTCGAAATAGCACAAAAGAGCAGCGGGCGAACATACACGCCGGGGCCGGTACAAGGACAGCAACGAAGCCTACGATCTTTCCTCGGCCGCCTATGAGATCCGGATCGCATTTTCAGGAGGAATCGAGCGGCCAGTTGAGCCGGACCCAAGAAACGTCGAAAAATCCCATCTTTCATGTTGGTAGTCAGCAATCTGTCCTCGACCCTCCTCGGCCTCAAACGGCTATCTTCAGGCCCCAAAAAACTCACAATGACCATGATTTCAAAGCGTTCCAAGGGCAAAGAGAGCCACAACACATACCTCCGGATAGAATCCCGGAAGTTCGGCAGGTTCGCAACTCAACGACTGCGGACGCGCCCCAACCGCCGTCTTTCAATGACTCGGCAAAGGCAGCTCTGGGAACGATGGAACTGCTCTGTCAAGAGGCCGACACCCCCTGGGTGGATGGCATGCTATTAGCAGGATGCCTGGCATATGGGCTTGGTAACTACGCCAAAGCCGAAGAATGGTATCAGGCAGTGTTAAGGCAGGATGCCTGGCATGTCGAAGCCATGTCCAACCTTGCTGCGACTTATCATGCTCTTCATCGCCGTGAGGATGCGCTTCAGTACTGGTCGGACGCCGTTAGCTTGAGACCCAGTTATTTTGAGGCGGTTGAGCATCTAATCGGGCTATTGTGTACAAGCCACCGTACGAGAGAAGCAGTCAGTGTGATCGAATATGTTGAAAGCACGCTGCGCATACGACCTGAAGACTCCCAAACGGCGTGGGGTGAACTGAGTGACGCAGAAAGCGACACCAGGAGCCACACCTCCAGCATCGCCACCGTGGCATCATACGATACTGGTCAATATGACTTCGACATCGGCTCGGGCAACCTGCACTCGGCGTGGGGACTTGAGACTCAACCGCCGGGCTTTGGGTCAAGCGGTTACGCGATTCCAGGGGCGGATAATGGTCGCATGTTGGCCCTCATCCATGCCAAAGGGAATATGCTCTACGCTCTGGGAAACAATAGCGGCGCCGCAGCCGCGTTTGAAGACGCTGTGTTGATCGCGACGGGTCAGAGAAACCTAGGCATCAAAGGGCTGATCAACGACATTTTGAGCGCTTGCTTGAGCAACATCAGAGATTTGGAGTATGTTCGGTCCAAATTAGAAGGCAAGGAGCCAATCTTGCTTGCACCCGAACACGCCGAAGCCACGGCTAGGCTTATGTTTCCTCCTGAAGGTGACCTTCCCGGGCTGGAGCATGTGTCGATACCGTTCGCCGTCTCAGCTGCCGTCTCTACCACGAGCAACTCTCTTCTTTCTCTCGCCAAGATCTATCAGGATGGCATGTCTAACGTCACTGATATCGGGAGTTTGAGGACTCCGTCGACACGGGAGATACTTGCGTTATACTACCTATCCCTCTCCCTACAGCGGAGCCCGTCCACGGCCAACAACGTGGGTATTCTGCTCGCAGGTGTCCAGCAAAGCGTACATCCCGGCCACCTTGCAGACCCGAACTTCGCCCAATTTTCCAACATTCCCGGGGTGGTTGCCGGAAGTGGCATTCAGCTGGCTCTCATGTACTACAACTATGGCCTCAATCTTGATTCGAAGCACGCCCACTTGTACACGAATCTGGGCAGCTTGCTCAAAGACATTGGCCAGCTTGGGGCTGCGATCAAAATGTACGAGCGCGCGGTGAGCTGTGATGGCCAGTTCGACATTGCTCTGGCGAATCTTGCAAATGCCGTCAAAGATCAGGGCCGGGTGGCGGACGCCATTGTATACTATCGACGAGCTGTGGCCGCAAATCCCGACTTTGCCGAGGCTGTCTGTGGTCTTGCCACGGCGTTGAACTCGGTCTGCAGCTGGCACGGTCGCGGTGGAGTGTGTGCCGGGGAACGATTCCGTGATCGACTTCATGTGGACGACGTTGGCATCAAACACGCACCGTCTCGGCCATATGGCTGGATCAATAGAGTGGTCGAGATTGTCGACAAACAACTCAAAGATGGCGAGACCTGGGGCTGCGGGACTTTGACTCCTGCGATGATCGAGTCTCTGTCAGCCCAGGTGACGCTACACAGGCAGTCATTCACGGACAACCGACGAGCTCAAGCAATGGATGCTGTGCGGCAGGCCCTACGACTCTGGTCGGGCCAAAAATGGGAAGGGTCACGCATTGTGCGACTGGTTGAGCGCGCCATCCGCCAGATTGGGTGGCAGTGGTATCAGGATCTCTACAAGCACGGAAAGGAATGCTCGTCCCGGAAGTACGCTCGGCCATACCTGCCCAGCTCCCTCTCCACTCCATCGGCACCGACTGTGCTGCCGTTCCACACCTTTACGGCCCCTTTGTCGGCGAAACAGATTCGACAGATCTCGCAGCGTAACGCGCTTCGGATATCTGTCGGCACGCTTAGATCGGCGTGGCTGCCGGCCACTGTGTTCCAGCCGCCTGCGCCCCCCAAGCCTTGCCTGAATGTTGGCTATGTCAGTTCCGACTTCAACAATCACCCTCTGGCGCATTTGATGCAATCGGTTTTTGGCCTGCACGATCCGACTCGAGTGCGAGCGATCTGTTATGCCACCACTGCTTCCGACGGCTCGATTCATCGACAACAAATTGAACGCGAAGCTCCGGTATTTTATGATGCTTCCTCTTGGAGCGTTGAACGATTGGTGAAGCAAATTGTCCGCGACAATGTCCATGTCCTGATCAATCTGAATGGGTACACTCGCGGAGCCCGGAATGAGGTCTTTGCCGCCCGACCCGCCCCAATACATATGTCGTTCATGGGGTTTGCCGGTACTCTGGGGGCCGAGTGGTGCGACTATGTGTTTGCTGACACCATCGCGGTGCCGCCGGACACACTGGCCCCATGGCGACGCAATGTCGACATCGAAGATCGGCTCCGGCCCGATGCCCTCGTGGAAGATGAAGATGACTGGGTATATGCGGAGAACCTCATCTTTGCCCGAGACACTTTCTTTTGTGTGGACCACAAGCAAAGCGCCCCTGAGGCCGAAGCAGGACCTCCAAAGCTTCTGGACCGCGCCAGCCGCGAAGCGGCGTGGAACCAAGAGCAGGACAGGCGATGGAGAATGAGGAAGGAGTTGTTTCCGACCTTGCCCGACAACGCCGTGATTCTGGGCAATTTCAATCAGCTGTACAAGATCGATCCCGCGACGTTCGACATGTATCTGCAGATCCTGCAGAAGGTGCCGAATGCGGTCTTGTGGTTGTTACGATTCCCGGATCTGGGCGAACAGAACCTGCTGAAATACGCGCGTGATTGGGCGGGCGCCGAAGTCGCGTCGAGAATCGTGTTCACGGATGTCGCGGCCAAAGGAACACACATTACGCGGGCGTCTGTGGTGGATTTGTTTCTCGACACCCCGGAATGCAATGCTCACACCACGGCCGCCGACGTGATCTGGTCTGGCACGCCGATTGTCACCTGGGGCAAGTGGAAGTACAAGATGTGCAGTCGGATGGCAGGAAGTATTGTGGCCAGTGCACTTCCCGAGGGACGTGAAGGCGACGCGGCCCGGCGGGATCTGCTTGTCAGAGGTGAGAAGGAGTACATCGACATGGCCACCAAGCTCGCTCGAGGTCTCCAGTATCCGACAGCGTCCAGTGCGGCGGGACAGAAGGTCGGATGGGGAAAGGGCCGGCTGGTGGATCTTCGACGGATGTTGTGGGAAGGGCGGTGGACCAGTCGTCTCTTCAACACGAAGCGGTGGGTCAGGGACGTGGAACAGGCGTATTGGGCGGCATGGGAGAAATGGGAGAGGGGTGAGGGCGGCGATATATGGTTACGAAGCGGACGGAAATGAGGTAACTGGGGGGCAACAGCTGCAGCAACGGCAACGGCACGGCAACGGCAACAGCAATGTGATATTTAAATCCAAGCAAAGGATCAGGCGGCTGCTTCGACATTCGTTCATCACACAGTGGCTGACTCGGACTCGACTCCCCGAGTTTGACTGAATGTGCCGTTCAAGGGAAGGGAGAAGGACAAAACAGAACAGGTTGCATGCACCTGACGGGACCATGATGACCATCACCAAGACATACGTGCAGTGATGAACGACTTTGATGAACGACACGGAATGAGATTTGTTTCTACTTGAGGACTGTCTTTATCGCTACAGCGAAGCGGTACATATCAATCGTACCATCGTACCATGCGTACTATATTTACACTGAATGATACTTGGGCCTTGGGTTAATTTTGTTTTGATTTTGTTTATATAGATTTCTTTCAAAGAGCCTTGTATGTTTGTTTGACGGTCTGGGTTGGTTTGGTATGGGTTGGTGTGGTATGGGTTGGTTTGGTTTGGTTTTGTTCAGTTCTATTTCGAATTCTTCACCGGCTTGGTTTATTCAGATTGGCAGAGGTAGGGAGGGATGGGCTTAGGGAGGGATAGGGTAAGGGCAAGGGAATGGGAAGGGAATGGGAATAGGATGGGCTTAGGGTGCTAAGGCTTTTCTATAATATAGTGAAGTTGTGTGGTGTGGTGTGGTGTGGTGTGGTGTGGTGTGGTGTGGTGTGGTGTGGTGTGGTGTGGTGTGGTGTGGTGTGGTGTGCCTATCTAGACATCTTATCTAAATACACATATCTATCTAGATATATAGATACATGCTCTGTACGTGTCGAAATACAAGTGACACCCATACGGAGTACATATATGTACCTATTTCACCCTTTAGCCTAAGCCTCCTAAGCCATACCTACCTACCTACATAACCACCTACCTACTGTAACCCCCCTGCATGTGTTCTACTCTTTGGCCTAAGCCATGCATGCCTAACGACCTAACCCCTGCGGCGAACTCCATACCTGCAGTACCTTACCTTAGGCAGGCCAGGTTATAGTTTATGTGCCGACGGAGGGGGGATTTCGAATCATATTGAAGTAAGGAATGGCGAATGCGCTGTTCTGTCAAGGCTTAGTTTCTTCCTACTTTCTTAATTTGTTCTGCTTTGCTTTGCCTTGATATTCCTTGTTCTGTCAAGGTTTAGTTTCTTCCTTCTTTTGATTTGCTCTGCCTTTGCTGGGCTAGGGTTAGGGTCAGGGCTAGGGTTACCCTCCAACGTCATCTTCACCAGCCCTTTTGGTACCAGGTATTTAATCCGGCCAGGGTACATACTTAAGTACACACACACACCATACACTACTGTACTCTGTACGGTTGTACAGTATCCGTACGGAACTAATACCACAACTTCAACTTGGCCCGTGGGTGGTGGTAGGCGCGGCGCCATGAAAAGGGAAGACACCAGCACCAGTACCTCACTCTCATCCGAATCGGAAGGACTGCCAATCGAGGCACTCTCTTTCCATCCTTCACGATGCCTTGCTTTCAAGCAGTGTCTGGAGTCTCATTCCTACTGTAATCGAAACGTGGGCCAGGCCGACGCCCTGCCGAAGCGGCTGGTGGATATGGGGGAGGAGGGATTGTTCAGGCCGAGATTGGTGTTGACGAGCGAACTCAAACAGAAACACAAAGACGGGAGTAAAGACAAAGACAAGGCTTACGCTAACGCTACAGCCACAGCCCATCCGATCAAGTACATCGCCCTCAGCCACAGCTGGTCCAGTCTTTCCCAGCGTGATAAAAAGTCGTTGTCGACGACGCGGGAAAATGAATCTCGGCACTACAACAAAATCGACGTCGAGGCCATTCCGCCAAACTATCGAGCTGTCATGCACATGTGTCGCGCTCTGGGGGTTCGGTATCTTTGGATGGATTCACTGTGTATTGTCCAGGTAAGCAAGATTTCTTTTCTGTCTAACTTAAGATTTCCTTTATCCGCGGGATCTGCACGGATACTGTATACTGTATACAGGAGACAGTATACAGGAGACAGGAGACAGGAGACAGACATGCTTTGAGAGACTGTGTACAGTCTACAGTCTACAGTCTACAGTCTACAGTCTACAGTCTACAGTCTACAGTCTACGGGAGACAGGAGACAGGAGACAGAGAAACTGTACAGTATACAGGAGACACAGACACAGGAACATGCTTCGGGACATATACTGTCTACAGTGTACAGGAGCTCGGAGACAGAGACACACATGCTTCTCGAAGCTGTAGCACAGTCCCTCCTGCTTTCCCTCTCCGTCGTGTCCAACTATTAACTTATCCCGGCTAGCAGCCCACAGATGACAATCGTGTTGATTGGGATGAGGAAGCCGGCCGCATGCGACAGATCTACGGTGCGGCAGTGTTGACGGTCGCCCTGAATACGACACAACCACTCTTCAAGAAGACCGAGAAAGCGGATCAAGCCGATCCTGCCGATCCTGCCAATCAAGCCGTTCAAGCCGATCCTGCAGAGTGGGATGCCATTGAACGTGAATGCCGCCTCATTGATCATATCCTCTGGCGCCCCCTTTTCACGAAACGAATCCTGCAAGGAGGCATTGTGGGAGAGCGAGCCTGGTGCCTGCAGGAGCGACATCTGTCGCCGCGCGTGCTGCATCTGCTCGACAACGGCAAGTTCATCCTCGAATGCGCGCAGGGAGGCATGGTCGACAACTCACAGAGAAACCCGCGCGTGCGCCGAGGCGAGATACCCTACTCGAGGGGCGACAAACTTGCCATAACCAAACGACTGGTCGACATCGAATACGAGTATGAGCATGGCGGCAAGACCATCTCTTCGTCGGTGCTGTTGAGCTATTGGTACGACTTTTGGATCGAGTACAGCCGCCGCAAACTGACTGTCACCACTGACAATCTGGCCGCATTGGCCGGCATGGCCGAGTCCATGCAGAAACTCACGGCCATGACTTACTTGTCTGGTCTCTGGCTGGAAGACCTGCCACGAGGCTTTCTGTGGGAAAGCACCTTTGCCAGCCCGGGGAATCGACCGGAGCACACTCGCTTCAACACCTACCATGCCCCGACCTGGTCGTGGAGCTCGGTCGATGGACCGACTAGGCTGGTCCCGGAACTCACCCCTGGGAATCTTGGAATCATAGACGACGAGAAGAAACAATTCCTTGTGACGGCCATATCACCACTCGTCCATGGTACTGCAATCCAGCTGTACGGCATCCTGAAACAATTTGCCTGTGTCAGCTCAAACAATGCTAGACACACTCCTAGACACGCTCCCCGCGACCTAGATCCGGGTGACCAAGGAATCCTACGCCAGGGAAGTGTTGTATTTGACGTCCCTGCGGAATCTCACCAGTTGCTCAAGGCACAGCATGGGCGGCTCTGGTGCCTCCCCTTGGTCGGGTCTTTCGAAATTTCTGATCCTGCGCAACGTCCAGGTCTTCCAGGTCTTCCGGATAAGAAGACTTGCCTGGGAATGGGACTTGCGAAGGTCAATCCAATGCCAGGGACTGATATGCAAACATTTCGCAGAATAGGCTTGGTGCGGCTGACTTTGAAGGATGGCTCGTGGCACGACCTCAAGCATCTGGCAACGCCCATCCGACTAGTCTGACGACGTATGTTGAGTCTGCCGGGCTCTTGGTGACAAAGCTTCACTTCTGGACACGGGTATCACTGGTGATCGAAGTCATGTTTACAGTCTCCAATGGGTGCGGAAATGTGTCCAATCTGATAGGCAGAGTTGCGATATGTCGACGCAGAACTCAAGCTGCTGATGGTTGAAGACGCCGATATATAGTCATAGTACGCCCGTAAATCCCTTATTTGCGTTAGTTCAAGTGTTGCGTTATGCGCTCAGCACTCCTTCCCTCGTGAGTGTTAGTCATGGTCGCCACCCGCAGCTGAGTTGAGTGAGCGAGGACCTCCTGACTGCTGAATGCCAGGCTAAAACTCCAGGGAAAAAGTGCAATAGGCGGTCGACGGTCCATCGTCGTGTCAAGCAGGAATGCTTCGACGCACTCATGGTGACCGATGTGTGCGTGCGCATCTCCTGAGCCGTCCCTATTTCAGTCAATTCTAGTGACAGATACGTCTACTCAACGCGTGACCAGCATCAGCATCAGTCCGCGTGACCAGCATCAACATCAGTCCGCGAGACGTATCTCCCTCAACCCACCTTCCTTGCTATGTGACAGTAAGCACAATTTACAAGTCGACCTGTGATGACCATCGCCACAATTGTTATACGGGATTCTGGATCGTGATCCCGGCGGATATTCCCATAGAGTCGCAACCGTAGGAAAACATGGAGGAAATTCAAGGAGATGGTTGTGCCCTCTCTGAGGCGCCTCATGCACCTGAACATCTCGACCTCGCGCGATAGAGTCTGGAATAATACAATTGACTCGAAGAAGATGGAGGGTACCGTGACCGGTGAGCCACTCGTGTACGTTGGTGTCAGCTGTCAGAGACGAAAGTCTAAGCAATGCCGTCGTCGAGCTGCGAAGGCCTTGGCCCTAGCACCTGCACCGCGGTCGAAATGCAGTCCGACGAGAAAAATAGGGGAGTAGTCGTTCGTTCCATCTGATATTGACCGGTCTGTTGTGCCCCCAAGGACTGCTTTGGAAGCTTGGGGAGTATGAAGTGACAGTCGTCGTCGCACTACTGTACTCCGTACAGATACAGAAACGAACGTTTCCTCGGAGGCCAGTGCATATTAAACGGACGTGCACACACTAGACTAGGACGAAACGCGTCGCCAAATTGCGCTCAGGTCGAATTTGTGTCCTGCGCCGTTGGTGACAGAGTGAACGGTAATATGCCGAACTCCGAAGTTGGCGCAATTCATAGCTTGCGATAGGGGGAGCGTTGGGACGGAGAATCGCCGTACGCCGTACGCCTACGGTGCCAACCGACCGGCCGACCGGCCGACCGCCCTGTCACTGTTGAGTAGTGTCAGGGGGTGGATCAGGCCAAGTAAGGACGGGAGGGCGCAAGATGCTTCCCTTATTTGAGACCGATCATAGGCGTGCATGGCATCGAGTCAGCGAACCCGCACCGTCCGAATCTCGGATGTACAGCATAACGATGCCGCATAATCGGCATAAGCAAAAGAGGATCGGCGCCACAGCGTTACTAGAGTTGTCGTGAGGATCTCAACCAAGTGGGCTCGACAAGCACCTACTTTGGGACCGGTGTACGACTCAGAGTTGAGCTCCAAGAACAAGCAGCATGGAGCAGACTCGAGTCATTTCCTGATATCATAACCACAGGGGTGGACGCGGGTGACAGCAGACTCTGACTCTAGAGAAGGCCACGTTGATGTTGATGCCAGTGAAACGTCAGGTCAGTAATGGAGTACACCATGGATGCACCGTCTTCAGTGACAGACCGCTTGTTCGACATATTGCTGCTGGCTATGCCCGTTTCGGCTTTTGAGAAGGTGTAGCCGATGAAGAAACTCATCCATGCCAGCTGAGTGTGCAGCAAGAGTTTTCCGCTAATCCACCGATCTTGACTCTTTCAGGTAGCAGGCTAGGCTGCTGCTATTGGTCTGTGGGCGGAACCACTCATTTAGGGGCGAGTAGAGCGAGAAAGATGTGCCTACCGGCCGCACCATGGCCTAGTAACCGGATTCTTCCTGGATCCCCTGGCACCCCAATGAGAATTCATGCATTCTTCGAGGTGGCCGGGGGAGGCCCAGGGCGACCTCAATCTCGCCTCATTTGACTGTGCTCAGGGGGCGGCTCGTCGTGCTCGTGCATAGCCAGTCAGTAGTGACGTGAAACACTCTCGTGGACGACCCCTGTCGTTGCCATGATCCACATGAAACGGCCGACACTGGTGCGTCGTAATGCTTATCCTTGGCAGAGTAGGGCCTCGACGCTGAAGAACAGAGTATTGTCATCTCTCAGCATGCTGGCAGTCGCTCACCGTTCATGGCTCTGTCTGTGTAGACCCTCCAGTTCATTTTTCCCGCGTTCCTGGCCGGGGGCTTGTCCGCTGATATAGTGTCACAGATTGCACATCCATCTTGTCCACGAGAACTAGAACTCAGAACAGGGCCCCAAGCAAGGTCTCATCCGCTGCCTGCGGCAGCGAGTCAGGACCCGTATCGTCGGCATTTGACGCCTTTAGTGCCCATTCTCTTCAAGCCGTCGCCGCCCGTAAAATGGAGGCTTGAGATAGCAGCACCAAAGCTGGAGCAATAATGTGCCATCCCTTTCTGCATGGGTCTCAGACAACGGTCGCGACCGTGATTCGAGCACCAGGCGAGTAGGGCTCACAATTTTGGCGAGGACCTCCGCCCCTAACGTGAGATAGTGGCAGCGGAAAAAGAGGCCAGGGTTGACAGGTCTCAACAAGAACCTTCGCAACTCGTTCGTGGCGTTACTAACGTGGCCCGTCTCTCCTGGAAGCTTGTGCCTGTGCGCGGGTGAAAGATCTTGCTCTCGACATTCCTCCATTCTTGCAATTTCACACCGGCCGCAGTAGGTACAAGGCGAGGCAACAAACAGGGACTAGCAGTTTCAGCAGAACCAGGAACATCCCATCTAACCCCTCCCTGGTATCTAGACTGGATGATTGCTGAGGCGATGTGCAGCTTTCTTCCCTGTTGATAGGATCCTGCCCTCTCGCCATCAGTCTCACAGTCAGCTGCGACCGAGACTTGAACATGTCGACCCCCCTTGGCGAGATGTTCATCTGCAGTAGCGTTCCGTCCGTCTGCTGCAGGCCTCAGTCCAAGGATGCTGCTGCCGTCCTAGCTCTTTCTCTGTGATTGGCATTCAAGGGCGGCGGCTCTGGAGGGATCTGCTGTAGGCTGTAGGCTTTAGGCTGTAGGCATATGCTCGCCACTGGCGCGTTCGGGAAAACAGGCTCGGCTCGTAAGGGTTTGTATGAGACGGACAACCACAGGCTAGGTGGACAAGAGACGCTCTGGATGCAGCCCTGAGATCGGGGGGGCGAAAGATGTCGACTTGTTTGGCTACCCCGGAGTTATTTAATATTGACACTGCTGTCAGGCTTGTGTCGACGTTTCATGCAGATACAGGCAGACTGTGTGGATGTGGATGGACGGAATGGGTGCACGCAATCCTGGCTCATGAACAGAAAGCAGAAACCTCCCAAGCCCTTCCATTCTGCCTAACTAAGGCCCATTCAAGTTTTGCTGTAGAACTACTCAACGTTGCCTTGCATACCTATCTCTCCGGGTCTTCTTCCAGGCCACCTTAGCCGTTCTATCTACGCACGTTTGGTGGGAAATTGAGCCTGACCCGTCATCAAATATCCTGCCAATTCGTAGAATCAATCATGTACAAGGATGCTGCTCATGCTCATGCTCATGCCAGAGCGCGATGCGTTCAATCCTTCCCTACCTGCTCAAATCAAGTAGCATAAAACCGCTCATAACGAGATCAACTCCAGCTCTCCAGTAATAAAGCCGTATTATTTGGTACATATTTCATCAGGTGACACGGAACTTCGTGAGACACTTCTCGTCATGTCGACCGGCCGAATGGGAACACCGAGCGTTAATATAGAGTCGTAAGTCAAGCACTGCTTTAGCCAAGTAGTCTTGACACGTTCATTCGGGTGTCTTTGCCGGCACTCCGTTCGCGATCGGGACTCTCCGGCAAAGGATTCTCCAGGCCTGTCGACCGTGGGGAGAAGGCAAGAGCCTCGGGAAGGGTGAGTGAATGGGGCAAAGCAGGACGAGTCGGGAGATTGGAGGGCCGCTGTTTTGAGATCTCATCCCTCGCCCCCAGCCTCTCGTTCTGACGGGTGCCTACGGGATTGCTAGGTAACAATTCAGGCCACATCTGCACTGTCGCCTCCTCTGACGTGGATATTCCCTGGCGAGGCGATGAGACCGATCTTGGAGAAATCGAACAATTCGACGGGCTATCGGAAACGAGAGACGGTGCTCGCTGGTTGAGCGAAGCGTGTGAGGATTCGGTCGGTGCTGGCGAGTAAGCCGGGGCCTTGAGAGAGTAGAATGGCGGTAGCTGCCACTGGGCACGGTCTGCCGACCGACTCCTCGGAGGAAAAGGTCGCTCGGAGACCACAGGCTCCACAGGCGGGCAAGGGCTGAGTCGAGTTGGGCGAGATTGCGAGGTGCTGTTATGAATGTGGTCGAACGACGAGTAGGAGGCTGATTTGAACAGCGTTTGCCCCAAACTTGTGTTTCTTCCTGGTTGTGACCGCGTGGCTTCATTGTGCTCTGAATCGAAGGGACGTGTGTCGGCGAAGCTGTAGCTGGTGTGTTGCACTTCACGCCGGCCGAAAGAGAGAGGTTGTGGCGAGGGATATCCCGTAGTATGCTGTAAGGGCATCGGGAGCTCATGTAAATACAACTGATGGGCGGAAGCAGAAGCAGGAATCGGCAGGGGTCGATATCCCACCATTCTCGACCCGCCGCCTTGCTGCAAGTCGGTTCTTTTTCGTCTGTTCATGCTTCCATTCCACCAATTCTTCACCGCGTTGTCACTCCGATTACCCAACCGGCGTGCTATCTCCGCCCACCGCTTTCCCATGTCTTGCACAAGGTGCTCAATCATCTCGCCTTCATCGGCCGAGATAGGTTCGTGGTTCAGAGACGGCTTCAGATTTTGGTGATATCGCTCTCTACATTGTTTTGGCGATCGATGCTGCATGTGCTGTGAGATACGGACCCAATTGTTGGGACCCTGTGTGTGAACCAGGTGTAAAAGTGCAGCATCTTCCTCAGGTAGCCAAGGCCCGCGCCGACTGGTTCGAGACATGGTTCTGGTGTAAGTGTCGGTAGCCCACAATGTAGGCTGGGTGTGGTCGCCCTAGGACCACAGGTGTATGATTTCGTGTAGGCGGCCTCGCCAAAGATGTGTCAAGTTGTGAGAAAAGGCATGAGCGGAGCAAGATCTCCCGGCGCTGGGAATGAAGCTCGATTTGAAGCCAAAGAAGGAGACCCTCAGTGCCTAGACTACCACGAACCAGAATGGGAGCAGGACAAAGGCCCGAACTTTGTGCTCAGTTCACACCTGAGAATGGATGCCACAAGACGCCCTACGTCTGTGACCGATGCAAGCCGGTTGGATATCGGATTGTGATGGTCGGGAGATAGCCCAAATGTATTCTTGCTGGAGGAGTGGTTTGATCAAGAAGGTTTGCGACCAGAAGGGTAATCAGATGGGAATAAAAGGTTAATCTGGTTCGGGCTTTGGCGGCACCGTCTTTTAATTTAGAGCGTCCCGGGAAGATGGAGACATCCAACCAAGGATGGGGCGACTAATAACAACGTAGATCGGCTTCCCAAGGCAGCTGAGTTCGAGATCCGGATGGGTATGAACAACAAACATGCAAGCGGATGGAGTAGGTCTGAGGATATGGAAAGAGGCGTTGGAAGCTTCAGCTAGCATCACGCCAGAAAAGGCCATTTAGGAACTGTCAACGTCCCTTTTCGGAAGGCCGGCTGAACCTGGTGTACGGATATTCTCTTGAAGAACAGAGACCCTGGCTTGGGCCCATGCCGTCTCTTGTCATCAGTTAGCGCCCCTCTATGACAGACTAACAGGGGTCCGAGAGACGACAGAGCAAGTATCACCATCATCCCTCTGATTTCGACCACGCTCATGCTGAACTCACTGTTGACGAGGAGACGGGAGGCAGCCAAAGCCGGATCTCCTTCAGCCGGAAGCTTGCGCCCCGTAAGTGAAGGTTGGCTGTTGTTGGCCAGCTTCATTCCCTTCGCCTTGTCTGAGCCCAGATTGAACTTTGTATGTGTAGCAATGGGAATGGCAAAGCCCGTGTAATCAACGCTCGGCCAAAGCTCCACTAGATCGATCTCTGTGCATGGGTGACCCCTGGCCAGAATGCACATGATCGTGCCAGGACAAATGTCTAGTTGGCGGCGCCTGACAAATTTTACCCCTGCAAGTCTGGGGCCCTAGGCCCAGAGGTTCGTGCGTACCTAGCTATATTATCAACTACTGGCAATAACAGTAGTACTCCGTACCATCATAGACTCTCCATGCGGTACCGTCCCCGGTTTGACCAGGCGGTGAATTGCCCATTGGAAATGGACAGGGCACCGTCAAAGGAACAGCGGTAGCTTGAGTCCTTGCTAACAGTGGTTTCCATTTTGGGACCGGTGCCGGTGTTGTTGATTAGCCAGGCACCTTACTCTTCGAAATTTGCTCCAGCTCCAGGAGCCTCCAGTTCGTGGGCAGGTCGGCCTGGATCGAGTGTTACCCCCGTGGACAAGCACTGCTGGGGCTGAGAGAATGCCATGGACATCACAGCTTCTGTGGGCCAACGCTGGCTTGGGTTGGCAGTCATCAAAACTGAGGAAGGCCACGGCATTACCCTCATCGAGTGTCTTTTAGTGTGTGGCTTCTGAGTGGCCGAAGACTTCACTTTTCACGTCAAACATTGAGAGGCTAAAATTGCGAGTGCAGCCGCCTACGGCCGGAGCGTTTGTTGACCGTTGCGGCCCCCTTGCCGCTTTCAAGGGATTGGGACTTGTCGTCACTGGTGGCTAGTAGATCCCAGGCGGTGGAGGTGGTGGGGAGACCAATAGTATGGACCGAGCTGACATTATGATCGGGTCCGGATCTCAAGTCGGCGGGACCTAGTAGGGAGCTGGCCCGGGACAGCAGGCAGTCTGAGACTGCTAGTTTCGACTGAAGAGCCCACTGCATACTTGCAGGCTTGGGGACAGAACGCCACAAACCGTCATTTCCAAACAAGTTGTGGGCACTTAGGATGGGAACTCCCCTGCCTAGCGCTCGCCGCTCACCATTCATGCGCACCCGGGAAGTCCAGCTGCAACGAGCGTTGGTCCAAACTGTGGTTCGGGCAGATCATCGACCCGCCAGACTCGGCATGTCAGATCTGGTTGCAGCAATCTGGTGGGGATACGCTCGCTCCGTATCTCGTACGATGGAATGTACGGATACACTGTACAGTATGTACTCCCCAAGGTCTTGGTTTTACCCCATTGTGGTGGCAATCCTGGTTAAATCAACGGTCAAGCTATGGGGGTAATCAGCATCTTTGGAACGGAACACCTCTTTTGGGGAATCAGCGATCAACAGGGGGGAGAGCCGATCCTACATCTTGTACTCCGTACTTGGCCAAGTAAGATCCCTTGTGCCCTATCACAGTTGTAGATTACCGTGAAGTGGACGACTAAAAGAGCTCATAAGCCCGCGGAAAGAGGGTGCCTTGGGGCGGAATATGGTTATAAATGTTGGACACGAGCATTTGGCGGCCTGGAACCCTGTCAGGCGTAATTCTTTGAGTCAAACAAGTAACCATGGAGGTGGCGCACTGGCCATTTTTTCGCTTCTTATTGTGGGACAAAACGGCTGTGGTTTGACCTGTCCCAGTGACAAGCGAGTGCCTAGGAGATGGGCGGCGTGAAACGAGGCAGATGTGGAGGTTGTGTAACGTCTTCGGTGGAGGCCGCCGCCCACGGCCTTCAGCAGGGGTATTTGTTGTGGAGGTCGAAAAGGGTGTTCAAAAACCCGAGAATTTCAAGGAGTGGGACGGAAATAGGGGATCGGGCGATGTATGGAGGTTAAGTTCGATAGAAGGCCACTGGGGACAAAATGACAGTATCGCTCGTCGCTTATGGAGTCCACGACGATGAGGTGCAGGCTCCGGCCGGCGACAAATTTAGGGAGGAGAGTGGGATAGTGGGTTCAGCTGGGTAGGGACGAGCTGGTACTTGTGCGGGATCTTCAGGTAGTAGTACACTAGCTGGTCACCGGAAGTCTTGATTTTCTAGGGCTTGAAGTCGTAGCTGGAGTTATCGAGTCTGCAGAAGAGTGTGAAGAGCAGGAAGAGGGCAGAGCTGAAGAGCGCAGGCAGCAGCAGTGCATGCTACGCTGTGCACTACACACTGCACACCGCACACCGCACACTCGCACCTCAACAACCTCTTGACTCTCGCCAGCTTGACTACAGTACTCCGTACTCCGTACAGCGTACGGAGTACTCTGCTACTGTACGCAACCACCCACAGTCCCTCCTTTCGAAGGGCCCTTAGGCCACCTCTTTACTCCCTACCAAGTACGCAGCTAGCACACTGACAGATGGCTATCAAACACGTGCCTCCACGCACGACAGATGGCAGATGCAGCTTCCGCCCATGGTCGCAGGTCCCAAGAGAATATTCACAATCATAATATTAGTAGTCGGGGATGAGTACCCGAGTTTGGGTCTTACTATACGCCGTTTGACAGGTAGAAAGGACTTGTCAATAATGGAGCATGGAGCGGAAATACTGTGGCAGGCGAGGCAAGCGAGACAAGCGAGGCTGGGGAACTTGGATTTTGATCTCCGGTACTGCTGTGAGCTGTGAGAGGACTTGCTGGCAGGACAGCTCAGCTCGAACGGCATCAAAGGGTTCAGCTCGACATGGTACTGCCGTGGGGCATGACAGTCGAGACAGTCCAACAAAATCCTGTAAAAAGGTCATAGTGTCCGCTTTATTCGCTTAAAGTTTGCACGGTGGTGTGCAAGTCCACGTCTAACGAGCGACTCTCCTCTGAGAGACAGTTCTCTACTCCGTACGAGTACAGCACTCCAAACCCACACACTCTGACCTCTGACCTCTAACCGCCATCCCGACACCTTGTTCGTTGGGTCTCCCCGAAAGACAGCAGAAGAAATCATGGCACCAACCTTGCCCGAAAAAACTGGACCCTAAGAGGTAATGGAATCTGCCGTCAAAAGTATAATCAATGGTACTAGTACTACTCAGGCGTTGCTTCTGCTCTTAACCGCTTGCAGTTTATGCATTGCTCCCGGTCTAATGCACTGGACCGCCTATGGTATGGTAGACAAGCTCCAAATAACACAATAACACGATGATAGCCGACGAGAGAACCCGGAGCAGAGACGCGGCCGTGTGCAAAGCCAGGAAGGATCCTTTCACTTTTCACACCATGAACGGAATATATCCACCACCGCGGTTCGACAAGCCTGTCCCCTCGGCCGAATATTTTCCGTGCTCTATTTATCGGTGAGAGGGTACAGGCCCCTTGGACGAAATGACAATTGAAGAAGACACGAGTCCTGGTCTTTGCTGGACCGGGGCACGCACCGACGAGAACTACTAGCAAAGTTTCTCGCCTCATTTGAAATTGATGATTCTTCGGACATGCAGTCCAAGTCTGTGCTATCGGCAAGCTACCAATGCTATTGGATATCTTGCTCAAAGGGCAATCCAGGTTGATCTTCCAGGAAGAGGAGGCTCAGATGGATCTGTCCCCTGAGATCCACCGACCAAATCACACCCGATATGTCTGAGGGCAAGCTATGTATGCAAGGGTGAGAATATGCGTAGTTCCCCTTCATAGAGCTGTGCCAACAGGGCCGATCGTAGCTACGCCACATTGACAAATCCTCTCTTCATCCCCCGAGTACTGTCCAGCTGTCGATTGTCCTGCCACTTCGAATCATCAACAAAGTCGCTTTCCCCTGACTCCCCCGCCCGCCGTCCGAGGATCCTGAGCCCGGCCAGGTTGAACCCGATATCGTGCTTCTGATGCTCCAGAGTGTGCCGCAGCTTGTCCCGGAGGTCCTCCAAACTCACCCTCATTGTCCGGCTACTGACAATCTGCTTCTGGTGGATTTTGAGCATGAAAAACAAGATCCGGCAAGTGAGAGGGATGTTTCGTCCCTCTACCGCCCAAAGAGCAAGAAAAGTGAACAATGCTGGCAGTTGGGAGAACGATAAGACGAGGAGGGCATCCTGGAGTGATGCGGAAGGGACCTTTTGGAAGACACCCAAGACGTAGACTGATGCAGAGACATTGTTGTTGGCGAGGAACACCGCGTCTCGCTGTGGCATTGCAACCTTCGGGTTGGTACGCTTCGCCTGCTCGTACTGCCGCATTACGATGAGGTCTTCCAGGCCCAGCTCGAGTGCTTCCGCGATCTTCTCACCCGCCATGAGCGTCTGCGCAGTCTGCTTGCCCGCAGCTGTCGCCTCGATGCCTTCACCATTTCCATTGACTTGCTCATCGCCGTGTTCCAGCGATGTGAGGAGAGTGTTTTCATACAGCTCTTCAAGCTCCTTTTCTCGCTCTTCTTCGAGGAAAATCTGCTCGTCTGTCTGCTGCCATATCCTGGTACTCTTGTCATGGCTAGCACTGATCAAGAAGTCCCCCGAATGCGCAATTGCCAGAGCCCAAATCTCTCCGTGGTGGCCTTCCAGCTTTTGGATCTGCTCGAACTTGTCGGCGTCATAGTATTTGATGACTCTGTCCTTGGACGCCGAAAAGAAGTGGTGACCGTTGCCGTCGTTGTTGTTGGGCACAAACAAGACGGAAAGGATGCTGTCCTGATGCGCAAAGAATGCCTTGTGACAGTCCCCAAAGTCCAGGCCCCAAACCCGAACATTCTTGTCGGCGCTCGACGTGACGATCAGCTTACTGTCGTAACTGATGTCCATGCTGAGGACCGGTAGCTTGTGTCCGTAAAGTGTCAGGAACAATTTGAGAGTGTCCACGAAGAAGACCTTCACGGTACTATCCAAGGTACTGACGGCGAGTAGTCTCTCATCAGGCGAGAACCGGACGCTCAAAATGTCATCGGCAACCTTCAATGTCCGTGAATGAACGAGGGTCAGCTTTGCATTCTTCCGGTTCGTCCCCAGCACTTCCTCCTGGACAACTTTGAACTGCCAGAATTTGGCGGATTTGTCGGCCGATCCTGTAACCAGAGTCTTTCCATCCGGGCTGACCTGCAGCGCCCAAATATCTCGGTCGTGAGCATTGATGGTGTCAAGCAGGGTCGATGCTGCAATGTCGAACACTTCGAGTGTACCCTCCCGCGTCCCTACCACGACGATCTTGTCGCCAGGCAGAAAGGAGATGCAGAGAGCATAGCCGCACTCAAGAGTCCGCAGACAGCTTTGAGTTTTGGTGTTCCATATCTTCAAACTGCCCTGAGACGCTGTTGCGAGCATTCTGTCGTCCGAGCTCAGTGCAACACACCGAATATCTGTACGATGCCCAGGCATGTCGACCGACAAGGTCCGACTATACTCTGGAGGTTCGGCGGTCTTCGTCTTGTCTGATGCGGCGATATCGAATAGTTCCAGTTGGTTGTTTGAGGTAGCTACCAAGATGTGGATGGACTTTCCAGCCTTTTCGCCCGCCCAGGCTATCGACCGAACTTTGCCTCCTGTTCGAAGAATCACGTATGGGACGAATATGTCGGCGACGGTGGCGGTAGATATGTCGTTGGGGTCGTGCGCCTCGTCGGCCGCATCCACGCCGGGATTTGCGTCAGCATTGGACTCCTCCTTATCTTTCCTTCTCTTGCGTTTCCTGGTCAGAGCCCTCCGAACTTCGTTCTCTGAGCGGATTCGTAGTAACTCGATTGATTTGTCGGATCCGTGTACCGCGACTAAATTTCGTCTTGGGTGAAAGTGAATAGCTAGCGGTCGATCTCGCCCCTGTCGATACAACGTTCCCTGCTCCTGTAGAATGTTATTTTGTTCTTGGCCGCCTGATCCCAGCTTGTCTTTTATCACAGACTCGTTGATCGACCACACTTTGAGCTCCCCGTCGTTGCCAGCAGTAATACAGCCGCTGCCATCTTTGGTCAGAGCCAATGCCCAGCATTCGCCATTAGTCTGCGTCACATGTGTTTCTATGCAATGCTGAGTGGAAAGGTCCCACACTTTGACCAGTGCATCTTTGCTGGTAGAGAGAAGGAATTTGTCCGAGTCGTTCTGATCTTCCTGGCGCTCCCTTTGCAATGGCTGAACGTCATCCACTGTAAGGAAATGGAGCGAGGTGATTTGGTCTTTGTGGCCTCGTAAACGGTATAAGCCGACTTCCGCGACCAGATCCCACAGGATAATGTCTGTGTCTCTCGAGCCGCTTGCCAGACGGACTCCAGAACGGTCAAACTTGAGCTGTGTAACCGCGGTCTTGTGTCCGTTGAATGTTATTATCACTGTCGCCGTTCTTGAATCCCATATTCGAATCTTGCCATCTTCGTAACCGACCGCAAAGACGTCTGGGTCGACGTCGCTTCTGCAGATCACAGTAACGAGTGCGTTGTTGTCATCGACGTTCCACGAGCCAATTTTTTCCGACGTTTTGAGATCCCACACTAGAACCTCCTCGTTGGCACCGACATAGGCACGGCCTGCTCCGCCTCTGGTCGTCAAGCCTTCATAGCCAGCAGCCGAGTCCCAGACCACATTGGCGGTGGCAGTACAGATCTGGCCAAAGGTCTTGCTGTGCTCGAATTTCCTGCGACAGTCAGTACGAGAGAAACAACATGAGGCCTCAAAAGAGCCGGTACTCACAAATATGACTTGACCATTGCGCAGACTGTTCCCTGTCGCAAAAGTCGAGGAATGAGCCCGGCGCAACTTTTTTGGACGAAAACTCTCGAGCAAACACGACAAACTCCCCATTGCACTTTAATAAATCCAGACTTGGCAGGTTTGCCGACTGAGGCTGACGTTCGACGCCCGCGTTGCTAGTACGTACTTCATGTGTACAGTACTGAAGCCCGCCCGCAGGCTACCGTTTGAATCCGGGTGGCAGTAAGATTGATTTCCTACGTGTATTGACACGAGTTGGTCTTCCCTACGCCCGCTTGCAGACTGACAGCAACCAAGCAACTTACTCTCTCGCTGCCGCTCGAGCAGCCGATTACCCACAATGCTCCTTTTAGACTACCAAAACGTCCTGATCCAGTCCATCCTCACAGAACGGTTTTCCGGCGCACCTCCGCAAACGATTGACCAGGTTGTTTCGGACTTCGACGGCGTGATCTTCCACATATCGACTCCGACGACGAAGACGGAGATCCTGATATCCCTCTCGATCAAATGCTTCCGAGAACTCGTCCAATATGGAGCCGAAGCTGTGCTGCAAAGAGAATATGGCAGCTACATCACGGCCACGGAAGCAGGCTACGACTTTAGCATCCTGGTAGATCTGGAGAATCTGCCACCCAGCCCGGAAGAACGAGAAGAGCTGGTGCGGAGAATCAGCCTGTTGAAACGCAACGTCATGGCCGCGCCGTTTGAGAAGGCCTACGATGAGTTCTCCCAACTTTCCGCGGAGGCGGCCAAATATACCTCGGAGTCGGCACCACAGGGCATTGCGGAAGGAGGCGAGGTCATGTCAATTCATTACCGCGAGGAAGAAGCAATCTACATAAAGGCCAGCTTCGACCGTGTCACGGTGATATTCTCTACCATGTTCATTGACGCTGTTGATCGGATCTTCGCCAAGGTCTTCCTTCAGGAATTCGTGGATGCGAGAAGGCGCGCTATTCAGAACGCTCCGCAGGTGCTTTTCAGGAGTGATCCTCCTTTGGAACTTCAAGGCTTAAAAGGGGTTGGAAAGACTGGAGAAAAAGGCGAAATGGGATTCATCACTTTTGGTAATGACTTTCCCTCTCACCAATGCAATCGCCAGACCATGAGACTGACACGTCGCAGTTTTGTTCCCGCGACACCTGACTCTACAACAACGGGACGAAGTCATATCTCATATCCAGACGTTCCGCGACTACTTCCACTATCACATCAAAGCTTCCAAAGCGTATATTCACTCGAGGATGCGGCGTAGGACCGCAGATTTCTTGCAAGGTTTGTGTTGGCTTTCCTCGTCCAGCATCGAAACCAGGGCTAACAGCATTCTCAGTTCTTAACCGTGCGAGACCCGAGACAGAAGAACGGGAAAGAAAAACGGCCAGTGGCAGGACGTTCAGAGTTCAAGGTTGAACACTAGAAAGGTGGAACCAATATCCGTGATAGTTGATGCATGAGAAGTGGTTTCCAAACGGCATTCAGATAGCTAGAGGCGCGCTAGATGTAGTCACGAAAAAGCTACTCAGTGGGATTAGCGGCCGTCGCGGTCTCAGACATTTGCGTCCACTCCGGTTCAGACTCCTCGTTGCAATCAAAGTTGCGAGACGAAGTATACGCTTCGAATCTTTTCTTTATATTTTTATATTGAAAGACTCAGACCGTGGTCATGACGCTAGCATTTGAATACCAACTCAACATAGGATTTTCGCCATTGCGCACCTGCGTCTCCTCCACAAAGGCCCAGCTCTCGAGGAAGTCTCGGTGCGACGATACTCTGGTCAGCTTCCCCGTGACGGCACGGTAGATGTCCTCCATCATGGCGAAGTCGGTGGGGAAGAAGATGTCAAAGTAACCCTGGTGCACCAACGGGGTGGTGACCTGGACATTGCGGCGCTGGTAGCGGGTCTGCACGACGGGGGCGTTGATGCCTGGCACGGCGTCCGGAAGATAGTTGAAATCAGACAGGACCAAGCGGTGGGCCGGAAAGTACTTGTGGAGGACGTGGAAGAACTCCAAAAGCCGGGTCGGGATGTATTCCGGCTGGGTCAGGTTCGGGGCGAACGGCAGAGAGTGTCGGAGGCGTCGAAGGAATTTCGGCTGCGACACCGGGGTGATGAAGGGCGATCGGGCAGCAACCTCCCGCAGGCGGAGGTAGCGTTCAGCGACGGGATCGAGATTGCGGTCGTAGAACTCAAAAAACTCGCCGTCCTCATCTATCAGAACACTGCCCTGCAGCGGCTCTTCCGTTTCTGGATCGTACCGCAGGCAATCGTGGGGGAAATTGTCGATGACTTCCAGGGCAAGGAAGAAGCACGGCGAATGGACGTATTCTTGCCAGTCGAATACCGAGCGGTTGATGATCTGGACGTGACTGCGATGCTCCGCGGCATAAGGGGACCTGCTGAGGCTAGTTACTTGCAGGTCGGCCAGCGCGGAGGAAATCTCGATGATCTTGAATTGGGTCCGGGCGTACACCTCGGGCTCCCACTCGTAGATGTAGTCCAGAATATTCCGCATCAATGTGCCATTGCCCGCCCCCATCTCGTAGATGATCAGATCGTGGTATGGAAACAGCGTCATCTTGTAATTGGTGACCAAATACCGCGCAATCGCTTCGCCATAGTAAGGTCGGAACAGTTCGGTGGGGGTGTGCCAAAGCTGCCTGGCCTCGTCGGGCTCGATCTCGTCCAGGGCATCCTCGAACTCGACGTAGCTCAAGTCCACCATGCGATTGAACTCGGCGCCGTCTTTGATGGCGGGGAAGTCGAACGGCTTGCCGGCGTTGAAGATGGTCGCATGTTTGGAGAAATAGCCGTAATTCGGGTTGTAGAGACTATCTGCGGACGCAAGAAATCAGTCTTTGCTCTGGAACGACCCCAAGCCACCATACCTTCGATGAAGTCCCTGGTTAGCATTTTCACCCTTCGCGGGCGTTGTGTCCGATGCTGAAGGTCGCGTGCCGTGAGCCGGGGATATTCTTGGAGTTGCCGTGTCATGTCCTTGGGAAACGCATCGATTCTTTGCTGCCACGGGCTGCCGCCATCTTTATCATCCTGCTTCCGTTGGAGAGCATACGTCCTGCGCTGATCGAACCGTCGAACAGGAGGGTATCGGGCGGCACTGGTCAGGCGAAGACATCGGCGAGACGGCCTTGCGAAAAGCCGTTGAAATATCCGCGTGATGGCTAACGAGGATGAGTCCATTGAGACTGTACCGGCCTGCACGCAGCCTGGTCCAACACGACGAGCTCCGTGACGTGTGAAAGTAATTATAAGTTGGTGGTCTCAGGCGCCTGCGGTGTGCAGAACCCTATGCGGAGATCTAGTTAGCTAACCTCCAACGATCTTGCACCGAATGTAGGCGGATTAGTGGCCTAAGCCGCTGCCTTTTACACCAGAATACGCCTGCTTCGACCGCCAATCTACCTAATTATAAGCTACATGATATAATTCTAAAATGGTCTAATAGCTTACACGCCCATAACCGTCCTACCGCCCAACCGCCCAGCTTTGATGTCACGTGATGCCACGTAATTAGGGGGTTCTCGATCTTCGGCATTCATGCCTTTCTGGGCCCCTCGGAAGTATGAGGTAGATCTAACTACAGTCTGAAATCCTGAGATACATCCTACCTACCTCCCAGCTTGTTCCCAAAGGGGTCATCCCACATCTGGGGGCGGAAAGTAACCCAACGGCCCAGAATGCAAGCAGAAATGCTCGAAAGGGGGCCAAAAGCTTGCAATCCCGGCAGGTGTGGCCAGAATCACCCAGGTGCTAGCCACAAGGCGGCAATGTTGCCCGATTCCTGTGGAAGGCAGACCAGCAGGTAACACAGGTACGGCAATGGGACTGCAGCATCCTGGATGACCTGGCAAAGACAGGGGGCTTTCTTGAGTTCTATTGGCTCCCTCGTGCATAAGTTCCACGCTATGCCTCCCGACAAGGCATCCCAAATACTCGCCCGTGGAGGAACTGTCTGGCCATGCGGCTGAGGCGACTGAGGGACCTTCTCGGCCGTATTTCGTTGATCAGTAAGTACCGACCGGCGTCGTTGCATTCATGCTCTTTTTTCTCCCATGAGGCTCGCCACGACGTGAAGCTTCTCTTTCACCAAGGCGAGTCTTTCAACTAAGAGTCAACCAAGACGTTCATTTAACGCGCTCAAAAATGCCGGCCACGGCCAATTACCACTCGATGGACCCTTCTCCAACCCACTTGACGGATCACCACGGTCTTGTAATGGCGGCTTCATCCACAAACGATACTATTGATACCTCACCAGACGTCTCTCCCCCGTTTAGTTGTGCATCTCCTGTGGCCACGCCGGGCGCGTCGCTTCACGGTCTCTCAAGCACGTCAGCCGCCCACGCGAACCCTGCGCCAACGGACCTGACCGAGAAGCAAAGGCCACCATCAAAGATCTATGCTCCCAAAGAAGCCGGTCGGTGGCCCCGACTGGTTGCAGATAGGTGGTGGTTGGAACTCGGCGCGGCCTTGGTCAGCCTCGGCGGGATATTCAGCATCTTTGGGGTGCTCATGGCTTACGACCAAAAGCCGGTGCCTCGTCTCGTCAAAGGAATCACGGTGTGTACTGCCCTCCCACCTTTGGCGGCACTATCAGAGCCGAGAGCACATCCATGTGCGGGGTTCAATAAAAGTCAAGTGCATCTGCTAATTCTGTTGCGAGCCCAGCTGAACGCTGTCATCTCTTTCCTGGCCACGATCTCACGCACGTCCATCCTGATGAGTGTGGGAACATCACTCTCGCAATGTAAATGGCTCTGGTTCAAGAAGCGGCGCAACCTAGTAGACCTACAGAACATGGATAATGCAAGTAGAGGCCCTCTCGGATCGGTCCTCATGCTTTTCAGCTTTCGTGGCGGGTAAGTATTCGCAATGTATTGCCATTACTATACATGAGTCAATATCATCTCCTGACGGAAGCAGTGTCATAGCCTATCTCGCCGCAGTCGTCATGGTCGGCGCCCTAGGCTTCGAGCCATTTGTTCAACAGTTACTCACTATTCAGGACAGGGTGGTCCCGATAGCATCTGGTGGCATTCACATCAACTCCACCACTTCCATGACAGAGGACATCGTCACAGCAATCGAGGACTACCCTGAGACGGACGCACAGATTACAGCTGCTATGCTGGCACATGTGCAACAAAAGGAAGAGACCGAACTTGTTTCAGCAGCTCGGGCATTGATTCGACGCAGAAATTTGCAACGCTCGACTTCCAATGCAACATCACAAGCCGCGGTCTCTCCTTTGGAAGCGACCTGTCCAAGTGGGAACTGTGCCTGGCCGAACTACTACACGCTGGACATGTGCGCGAGATGTCAAAACGTGACGAAGACGACGTCGGTGAAGAATCTGTCGCCGAATGCGGCCAACCTCGCCGGCATGGTATCCGCTGCTCGCCAAAACAAACAGGACGGAAGTGTCGTCTCCAGCTCTTCCTTCGAGTGGGAGATCATCCCTAGGAAGGGCTACAGCGTCAGAGTCAACTCCACCATCTCGGCTTTCGTCGACAGTGAGAACCCGGACGGTGATCCTGATGAGGTTGAATATTCCGGAGATATGGTGCGCAAAATTGTATGGCCTCTCAATGTGATGGTGCCTGTAGGCGGGTTTTTGAACACTACGGATTGGACACCACAAAGCTTCGCCGGGGTCGAGGGCCCCGTGGTGGCGCTGGGCTACGCCGAGTTTGGACTCAACTCGCAGACTGCACTACCATTTCTGAACAATTCCCTCGAGTGTGCCCTCACGTATTGTGTCAACGAGTACGATAGGTCGGTCGTTGAAGGTAACTTGGTGTCCAACGTCCTCTCCACCCAGTATGGTGCAATCATAGGCCATTCAGGGACTATTTACGATCTGAGCTGGTCCGCCAAAGTGAACGGCACCGAGTTTACCGTCGAGCCATTCATGTACGGCGCTGGCATGGACACTCTGGCCCGCGCGATGGTGGGCCGTACTACCTATTCTATCTCCGGCAATTGCCTAGAAAAAAACAATTGGCGGTGCAGCGATACACCAGGTTTCTCACTGGAAGGCAACTATTCCAGTGTGAAGTGGGAAGGAATCGACCTCGTAGACGACTTCTCTCTGGTCGTTTCGAACGCCAATTCCATCGTCAGTGATGTAGTCCAACAGTATGGTAATTTGTCGGTCGCCGGACACAATACCACCACCAAGTCCTTTGTCGTGGTTCGATGGCCGTGGATTACTTTACCGTTGGCGATTGTCCTTCTAGGAATGCTTACATTGGGCATCACCATCTGGGAGACGCATCATTTGGGAGGGCCGTCGTGGAAATCGTCGTTACTTCCATTGATCTATTGTTACAAGCATGACCATGACGATGGTGACGAGGACGACGGTCGTCGACAACGAAGCTTTTCAAGTGGACAAGCCACGGTGCAGGCCCCAATTCCAATCCTGCCAGTATCGCAGAGTCGGCTGGTCTTTGATTCTGATTCTGGTTCTGGTTCTGGTTCTGGTTCTGGTCCAGAATCCGATCTGGTCAGTAGGTTGGAAGTTCAGGCCGAGAGGACTTTTGCAAGGTTGTCCAAGGACGAGTCGGCGCAAGCGCAGGGAGCCTGGATGCTGAAGGACATGTAAAGAGATGATATGGTCATAGATGGTATGAAATGGGATGATATGGTTATGAAATGGGATGATATGAACCTGGATCTAGAATATATATGGAAGAAGCACGGATATACGATACATGATATATGATGATTACATCAACTGAAGTCCACAATCTTTTGTTCTATATCTATACCTGGCATTGCGATACATGCTAATCACATCAGCTGCAAGGCCACAATCTTCTGTTCTATATCTATACATGATATTGCCCACAATCTTCTATTCTATATTATGTATACCCGACATTGCGCCAAGCTAGCTACACGACGACGCAGACCCAGCCCATCTATATTTATGTTTTCTGAATGACGGGTCGAATGTCCTGCGAAGTAGAGAATCTTAGGTGGGAGGCTACTAAATTGGGAATATGTGTCAACTCACAGGATGAAAGGTACTGTAGTCTGGACAGGAGGGGTTATCCGTTAGGGTTGACCAAACTTAGTGCTCGGAGTGCATGGATAGAGAGGTCCTGTGTAACGTTTCTAGACAGGTTCTTTGTAACCAGTGACCAGATAGGTACTACTCACTTCCTACCTGAATGATTGATGCATAGATACCTTACTCACTTCCCACCTGAATGATTGATGCCTCCTCAGGCCTGTTACTGTCACACCCCATGCATGGATGGAGATATGACTTTTCTGAAGTACTGTACCGCCGTTTGTTGCTATCTGAAGTACTGTACCTGTTTGTTGCTGTTTGGACTGGAGACTCGAGTACGAGGGTATCGCGCACCATAACCGGCTCTACCAGTGCTAATGGTGTTGGCGTGTTCGACCTTGACCACTGTCAGAAGGGTAAAAGTAAAAGTGCTCAGCGCCACGCAGCCAGCCGGAGCCGCCCAGGCAAGCACGAGCATCTTGTTCGTTCCAACAAGTCCCAGCTATGGCGAGGGGAAAGACAGAGCTTGTTCCAGTTGCGGTTCGGGGTCGGGTTCCGGTTCTGGTTTTGGTTGAGTGGTGACGAGGCTGAGGCTGAGGCTTCACGGAAGCTTCACGGAAGCTAGAAGCGAATTGTTGAATTTGGAACTAGAAAGCCCAATTAGACTCGTTTACTGTACAGCACCGTCGTTGTTACCGTCCATTCTATGTTAGATCAAGCCACGTTCTGTAGGCTATGGTAGGCCATTGAAATTCAGTATTCAGGATTGAAGACTCAGAATATGAATATGAATATAGCGATACTTTACTATACTTTACTATATCTTTATAAGGTCCGGCCGGATCTAAGTCCAGGTCTAGGTCCTAACTAATATATATATTATACCATCCTCACCCGAACCCTAGTTCAAGAGGTTCTGGTCCAGACACAGACACAGACACAGACACAGACACAGACACAGACACAGACACAGACACAGACACAGACACAGACACAGACACAGACACAGACACAGTCTAATCACCATGATCAGAACCACCGCAACTGTAATATAATGTATTTATATAAATACCTATACCTATGACTGCAACTGTAACTGTAACCGTAACCGTAACTGTAACCATAGTCATAGCCATAGTCATAGTCAAAGCCACACCTATAGCCATGACAATAGTTATAACCATAGCCATGACCAAAAGAAAGCGTCAGTGTCAGTGTCAGTGTCATTGGCCAACCATTCTCATCCTGACCCTTCATTAATGTCATTATTCATCATCACATCCTGACCATATAGCCAGTTCGGGCGAGATCCATCAGAGCTGCGAACAGGGCGGCGTCTGCGTCTGTGTCTGCGTCGTCTGTGTCATCGTCTTGCCTCGATCTTGATTCTGCGTCTACCTTAGACTCGAACTCAGAGTCGAACTCCAACACAGCCTCTGACTTGGACTCCAACACAGCCTCTGGCGACGACGAATCAAGCTGTTTCTGTTTCTGTTGGTATTTCTGTTGGGGTTTGTTCTTCTTCTTTGTCTCGATCCGACCCTGACCCTGACTCAGGCTCTGCCCCTGCCTCTGCCCCTGACCCTGGTCCCCAAACGGCCTCACGTCCACTTCACACCGCGTCCCCCGGTCCGGCAGCCGACCGGTCTGGAAATACCGCCGCACAGCCTTAGCAGTACACAGCGACGGGGCGGCGAAGGAGCAATGGCCCTCGGCGAGCTGCTCGAGCAGCACGGAGGCGGGGAAGCGGGCGGCCATTCTATGTGCGTTGCGTAGCGGCGTCACGGTGTCGAGAGTATTGGAGATCCAGAGGATGGGATGGTGAGTTGTGATGGTTTCTTGTTCTCCTTGTTCTCCTGCTTCGTCTGCTCCCTCGCCTGTTTCACCTATTCGATTCTGATCCCCCCACCCTGCCTCCCGCCACTTGGCTCTCGCCTTCCAGCCAGCACAGGCCAGTCGCGTGTGTGCCCAGTAGTCGCCCATGGCGGAGCTCTGGCGCCGCAGCATCTCCCAGTACTCGCGAAACTCGTCCTCGGTCAGGCGGCCGATGCCTTCGGCGTCGGTGCACAGGATGGCCGAGGTGGCGTCGAGCTCGCTCCAACCGGGCACGACGCACTCGTCGGAAAACGGCCCGTCGGCCTCACACTGGGCGGACCGGCAGCGGCTGTGGCGCGCGAACTCGGCCGCCGACTGTTTGTAGTCGGCGAACAGCGCACCGGGCGGCGAGCCGTGCGTGATGTCCTGGAGCAGCTCGGCCATGACGGGCGCCAGTGCCAGCGGCTGATATAGCGCGTTCTTGACCACCATCTTGACGTCGCTCCAGGTGATGATCTCGGGGCCGCGACTTCGACTTCGACCAGGCTCACGCCCACGCCCACGCCCACCCTGCTGGTTCTGGTTCTGCCTCTCCCTCTGCTGCCTGGTCTGGCTCTCCCTCTGCCTCTCACCCGGCACCGATAGCGGATCGGCCCAGATATCATGCAGCAGCTTGTTGTATGCGGCCTGGATGGCCTGCGCACCGCCGGGCCGCCAGAACGCACATCGCTCCGGCCCGGCCTCGGCGCAGTAGGCCATGATCTGCTGCAGAATCAAATCCGTGTCGGCCAGATTCGCCAGCCACGGGCCGTGGTAGTAGTCTTGGGCGTCGACCACGCCGTCCAGCACCAGCCGGCCCACGCGCTCCGGGTACATGGACGCAAATGTCGCGCCCACGATCGTCCCGTACGAGAAGCCCCAGTAGAGCAGTTGTTCGCAGCCTTTGCGCCACTTGGTACGCTGTAGGATGTGGTGTTGTTCTTGCTGCTGCTGCTGCTGCTGCCGCTGCTTGGTATCTTGGTCTCCCTGGACATGTCTTGCGTCGAGCACTACTTGTACTTCCGCCGCCGCTTTGACTCCCTCTCGCTCACGCCACTGGCCATGCCGCTCGATGATCTCGACCATGTCCGCGGCGACAGGTGTGGTGTTGACGTGTTCGAGGAAGTCAATCCCGGTCCCGGTCTCAGTTCCATTCTCCGACCCCGACCCCGACCCCCGTCCGCTCGAACAGCCGTCGGCAAACGCCCTCGCCCGTCGCCACGCCGTTCTCAGCGATCCCTCCGAGCTGCCCAACAGCCCTTCCGCCTGCACCTGCAGCTGCCACGTCTGCCGGGCAACGCTGTCCGGGAAACACGCCAGCACCGGCGTGCTGTGGTTGACGCCTCGGGGATCGAAGCCGATGATGTCGAACGACCGGTCCCCATCGACAATCTGCCGCATCTGCGGCCCGTCGTTCAGCACCTTTGCGACCCCCGACCCGCCGGGCCCGCCCGGGTTGACCAGGATCGCGCCTCCATACCGCGCATCGCTGACGGGGACGGTGGCCGGTTGTCTGACGATGGCCAATGCCACCCGATCCGGAGACTCGTCGGGCTGGTCGCTGTGGTAGTCCATGGGCACATCGAGCCGCGCGCACTGCAGTCCATCATAGCAGTCGTGGTATTGAAGTTCTCGGGACGGCGTGACGCTGGACCAGTGGAAGGGCGTTGTCTCGGCTGACCCTGACCCTGACACCTCTTCAGATAGTTGGTGCTGTTGCTGGTGGTGCTGGTGCTGTTGGTGGTTCTGGTGCTGGTCTCCAGGCTGAGCCAGTGGCAGAGGCAGAGGCACATGCAACGGCGAGAGCAGTGGCCATTTCCCGCCGTGTAATAGCAGTCCAATCACTGCGGCCACAGCCACGACGAATTTAATCCTAGAGATAGAGATAGAAATAGAAATAGCCGCCGGTCGAGGCCGACGTCGGTCGCGTGTACTAGCCCAGGGCTCGGGCGCAGGCTCAGACCCGACTGGTTTCAAGGCCTGAGCCATTTCTCACACAGGCCTTAGGAACGCTCACCCAGAGCATACATAAGCATTGGTCACGCCGTCCAAAAGCTCGGCCGGGCCATGAAGATGTGTCGATGTCGGTGTCGGTGTCGGTGAGTATATACTGACTGTACAGTACGCAGTGCAGGCGTACAGGTAGGTGAGGAGGCAGGAAGATGAAGGTGAGGTGCGTGTCTTATCAGCTGGACAGTTCATGCATGTAGTACTCCGTACTTCGTACATAGCTTCTTGTCAAGCCTGCTAAGTACCTAAGCCTTAGGATCCTACAGTAAGAACCCAGCCCCTCGACGCCGATCAACGGCCTCCTAAGCCTTAGGGCCTACTGTAAGCCCCTTAGCCCATCAATGCGACCACTTGACACCAGCACTTTCATGATAATTAATTGTGACTTCCGTTTTGGCTGGGCTGCGAGATTGATATTGGTTACTACCTAAGGTATTGATCGGCTTGACTCTGGTCTCCCGACTGCACTGCCACTTCTGGGGTACTACTCCAAAGGCAGGGAACGACGACGACGACGAAATACAGAAGCCTTGATCCAATGGCACCCTTCGCCTGGTAGACAGCCGTAGCCGTCTCCGTAGCCATCTCCTCTCCTCTCCTCTACACCCCCAAGTCTCGACCACTGATCAGATCCATGTCGGCCCGCACCTCCCACACACTCGCCCCCGCCTTGTCCGCACTCGCCACTCTCTGTTGCGTACTGGTCTCCCACCACCGCTGCACCAAGTTGCCGTCAATCACGCCTCGGCCCCCTATGCCGTCCGTCTCGACCTGCCGGTATGCCCGCGGATTCAGACTGCACGCATGGAAGTCCAACGTGGTCATGAGGGTATTTTGCAACGTTGACAGCCGCCGGTACGTCGCCTCTGGAACCGGCGTGAGCATGCACAAAGAGCCCTCCTGCGTGCTCAGAAGAATGCGATGCCGCTCCTCCATCCCGATAGCCCCGGCGCTGTCTGGAGCCATGTCAGCCTCAGCATGTCGTCGCCGCTGGGACGGCGACGGGACCCTCGGCGGAAGCAGCACCATCTTGGTCGGTGCCGAGCCAGTGCGGAATGTGCTTCGGAGCAGCAGCTTGGTGCCGCGTTCGGCCTTGGGATTCTCCGGGTCGTACTGCAGAACCCGCATCAGCCCGTCGTCGTCGCTCGAAATGATAAAGAGTTGTTTCCCGTCGGGCAGAAATTCGGCGGCCAGCACCGCCGGGTTGTCAAGATCGCGACCGAGAATCTGAAGCTTGTATGGCTCCTCCGAATAACCCACCAGCCACAGCCCGGAGAAGGCGTCTCCTAGGATACACAGGCCCGTCCCCGCCAGCTCGCGGGCCACGTGTACATAGTATCGCATGTCCAAAAACGCCACCGGCAGGATTGACATGTCCTCCTTGAGTCCTCGCACCATGCACTTCTGGCCCTGCGCCGCCAGCAGGAACCCTTGCGAGCCGATGTCACACACCGCGCTCACCGCGCCGCGCACGTCTTCTTTCGTGACCAGCTTGAGTTTGAGGTTGCTCTCAGGCACGTCCGGTTCCGGAACGACGTCGACGACATCGAAAATGTACAGATTGCCTCGGGTCGTGACGTTCTCCCCCTTGGCAATGGCAGTGCCAACAACAATCAGGTCTTTCCGCTCATGGGTCTCTTCCGACACCTCGAGATTGTGACTTTGCACCGAGAGAACTCTTTCGCAGGCATCAAACTGGTACTGACTAATAATCGAGTGGCTCTTTGCGCTGAGAAGCTTCAGACTGCTCTGGATCGTAGTAGGTAGGAATCTGGTGTCTTCGTTCTGCCATTCCGGATGCCATTCGTCATCCTGAGGGAGCCGGAACTCGGCCATGTGGTTGGTGGCCAGAACATACGAGTCGGTGGGTGCAAAGTAGGCCACCGAGGTAATGTCCTGCCACAGCGGAACCCTTCGGATGACCCAATCTGACAGGCCAAGTACCGTCGATTCCGGCAACTCGCAGAACTTGATTTGCCCGTCATCGTCGACCAAGGCCAACCCTTGCTGGCACGTCTGGGTGTGAACGGCGCTCATTGATTTGACGTTGCCAGAGTTCAATTCATAGACGTGCGGTATCGTCGACGCTTCGCGTATGATCAGCGACGGATGAGGCCCAGGGACGAACACCGAGGCGTGACCGGCGATGTTGTTCATGACTTGCATAGACTGCCTTGCGGACTGTTCACCGGTCACCTCGTTCTCAACGGGGTTTTTCGCGGCCTTGGTCATGACCTTTTTGAACCGGAAGCTTCCCACCACGTCCGGAATTGCAAAGGGTTCATAAATCAAGACATCGCCGGTCGTGTTGCGAACCACCAAATATGGTCGGCGGTCGGTGGTATTTCCAAGATCGGCCAGCAAAGCTTCTCCAAGCTCATCTTTGCTTCTCCAGTGCTTGGGCAGTTGCAAATCCTGCATCAAATAAGTCGGGAGAAATGGCAAGCTATCGCATTGAAACACTTGGATACTGATGTTGGGCAGGGACAGTAGCACGAAGTGGCCTTCTGACGTCAAGACGGACAATATCGGTCCGGTCGAAGCAGCGCTGTCGTAGAATCGAGAAGTTTGAAAAAAGTCTTTCGTGTCGGGGTAAAACGTCGCAGAGAGTATCGACTTTTCTTTCAGAGCGTCGGGCAACTCGACCTCGTCGAGTTCGCCCGCCTTGTCGGCTTTGAGCAGAGTCAGGGTTCCATCGTCTTTGGTCAGGACCAGATACGGGTCCGCGAAGCTGGCTCGGACCAACTTGGCCATCTGCCCTTCTTCTTCATCGACAATCGGGAAGATTTGCGACAGAGCAAATCCGGTATCGTAGACGCGGATTTCTGTGGGCACGACCTGCACAGTGTGGTTGGTAGCATTCAATTTGACAACTGCGATTGCTGAACCGGCCGATTCGTCAAACTCGGAATCATCCATGGGACTAAGATCCCCGTCAATCAGTCGATACAGCGTCGACCTGCCCGCACCGTCATTCGTTATCTGGGAGATCATCACAAGGTCGTCAAGCTCCTCTTGGACTTTGTCGTCTGAGGTTCTCTTGCCCGAGCTGAAACACCAAATGCCCACGGCATTCTCGGACTTGATTCGTTTGGTGACCCGGGGTTCAAGGTGTCTGGTCAGGAAAGCTAGACCGCCTGCGTGGCCCCGTCCATAGGCAACAGCCAGTTCTCGTTCTGATTCCTCACTGTCATCTCGTTTGCGCTTTCCCCCACTTGTAAAAGCCATGTCGTTGATCGGTGCTACACAAGGGAGGCGATCCAGAAATCGGAAATTTTGGCCGCTAACATCCGTCGCCGAATTTCCATTCAGTCCATCACCGAGTCCAGCATAGAGGTCGTCCTCATCTTCGATGCCATCCTCACCGATGGTGTCTTCGAGCTCGACGCCGTCGGTCTGGGGTTGGGATCGCGATACTGTCCGCTTCGCTTGCGTAGGCTTTCTGCCCGTAGCTAGCAAGACAGAGTCGGATTCTTCGCTACCAATGAACAGGCAGTTGGACCCGAGATTCGTGCTGCAAGACGCAGCACCCAGTACCACCCCCTGTGATTGACCTTCGCCGATTCGACGAAGGCCCATGCTCGAGACCGAACGGCCATCCATTCGGAAGGTCAAAAGAGCAAGGTCGCCAGTCTGAAGAATCACGAGCATATCTCCGTTGTTGTTACCCAAATGCTCAATTTGACAGCCTTCCAGTTTCAGCGAGTATTCGGAGTGATCAGCCATGGAGAACGAGGACGCCTCTTTGGCAAATTCGTTGACCGCGATGGCATTGGTTTTCCCGCTCTGATCAACATGTATCAGTTCGTTGCCGCCGATCAGCAAGGCCCCTCCGACAGGCGGTGGAAGTGCCATGACCCGGTATAGGTCGTTTGGCAGCTTTTGGACCGACTGTAATGTGGTCGATGCCTTCTGCTCCAGGTCGAGCGCGTAGACGGCGTAGATGGTGACATCTCGTCGTTCGGCACTCATGTTGGATGAGCGTGCAGCCGTTGAATACAGGATTCCAATGGTGGGGTCTCGATATTCGTGAAGGAAGGCCATGTCGACAGGATGCAGTAGGCCAGGATCAAGGACAGTGAGAGGGAGAACAAACGACGGGCTGAAAGGTGTGTCTGGACTGTCGTGCTGCATCTCATTGTGTTTGGTTGGGGAATGCCGTTCCTTGGCCTCTTCATCAAGCTCATCAAAGTCTTCGATTGCCAACTCGTCTCCGGCCTGATGAAAGGGGATGATGGCGAGATTACTGACACCAAAGTTGAAAGCGGCACATCTACTCGATGGGTCAATTGTCAAATGGCTGACAGAGTTCGACAGATCAGGCTCCCACGGGATAGATTGGAGATCTAGATGTTCGTAGTAATGTATTGACAGCGTAGATATGCTATGCAGTGCCGGATCCCATTCGACCAACGTCAGCTTGGCATCCCTGAAGGCAACAAGCACGGCATCTCCACCACTTTTCGAGTCTGGAATTTTGACTCTGCCTAATGAGGTGATAGTACCGGCAAGATTGTACTCGGCCACCAGGACAAGCTTGCTATCTTGCCCATGGCTGAGGTGCTTGCACTGGAAGATTTGGAGCAGGGATGTTCGTGCCACAACGAGGTTGTCGGCCTTGGCGGAGGTCAATGGAACTGAGAGGGCGTGAGTGACACCCGAAGGCGGGATCAATTCAGTGTAGCAATGCATTTGGTATCAGGTTGCCAGGACGGCGCGTGTCAAAGATGGAAATGGTGGGAGAGGAAAAGTGACAGGGTCCAAAGTGGCCGGATCATGACGCCATCACAGCACAGCCAGCCAGCTCTATTCGATGTAGCGGGTTTGAGGGGCGGGCGAGGGAACAGAGATGAGGCTGAGCAAGGAGCTTGCGGTTGCTGTGCTGTTGCTGTTCAGTTTCAATGTCGCGTTGAAGTTCAAGTACGAGGGTCCTTCTCTGTCGTGGTCAAGTTTCTGATAGCTTGGCGGTCACGTGCCATGAGCCCTGCGCATGCACGTGATAATCTGCCGCTATACCTGAGCTAGTCCGCAACAGGCAAGACCAACACACCTTATTAGACGCGACTCAGGCTCCTGGCCAGCTCCAAGCTATGACGACGGTGCTGGTGCTGGTGCTGGTAAGCCCGTCCAGTTGCACCTTGATTTACGAACCATCTGACCTCGACGGATACTACATCCTCTTTGCTCAACCCCTCCTTCTACGACGCCATTGCCCAAAAATCTCGTCTCCAGTCTCCGACTATATGTACGGAGTATGAGACAGGAGAATCTGCCGCTTCCCTCCTCCCCTTGATCTCTCGACCGTCCGCTTCCTCCCACCGATATGCAGCTCCTCCCCTCGACACAGATGCTTGGCCCGCACTTCTCGACAATGGCCTCAGCCGGATACATCCAAATCACCTTGATTTGGGTGGTCTACGCCGTCGCCATCCTGCTCCTTCTGTCCGTCGCCTCTCTATTCGTCTATCTGTACCAGGCTCATCGAGATCGCTCCGCGTTCGTCACCATTGTCTGCATTTTCACCATCACATCGCTCCTCGCGACTGTCCTGCTACTTCCGGTCGACGTTGCTTTGGTCTCAAGCACCTCAAGTTCGAAACTGGGCAAGCGGAAAGACTGGGCCAATCAAGACAAGGTCGACAATATCACATTCACGCTGCGGGTCGTCTATTACTTCCTCTACTCGCTCGATGCCGTCCTTTGCCTGCTGGTCATTCCGTTCGCCTACTTCTGGTACGAAGAGTACGATGAGGTGGCTCAAGAGGAAGGATCTCAAACCTTCGGGTCAAGGTTCTGGGCTGCGTTCAAATACACCCTGGCCTTTATCTTTCTCTGCCTTGCTATCTTCCTGGTCGGCTTCTTCGTCCCAGTTGCACGTCATCGTGAAGGAGCACACTTCGACCTGGATTTCTTCAAGAAATTGCTGGCTGAAAATCATGGTGAACGTGCTCTGACATTTGCACTGGGCCTGTTGATTACTATTGGCGTCATTATCTACTGCTTCTATACGGCCGCCGGTCTGGCCCTCCTCCCTGTGACGTTGATCAAGTCGGCTCCTGGTATCTCAGCCCCCGCCTTGACCGAGACCACTGCCACACAATTGGAAAGCAACCTGGAGAGACAAAGGCAGCTTGAAGGCCGAGCCCAAGGAAACCCGGACGGCCTATCATCCAAGGACCAACGAGAACTAGACGCCTTAGTCCGAGAAGAACGCACTTTGCGCCGGCACCAACGACTTGCTGCGGAAGCGTCAGGTGAGGATCAGAGCATATGGTGGAGAGTCTGGCTGAAACTCGAGGCCGTGTTCCGTCCCATCAAGTTGATACTCGGAATACTACTGGTGATCGTCGTCCTTTTGGTCTTCGTGAGCATGGTCATCACCGGCGTCGACAAAGCTAAGAACTCGATATGCAAGCGACATTGTGGCTATCTTCTGGCCCATAACCATATTTTTCAACCGATCAATTGGATCTTGGTCACGTCAGCAAAGGTCTTCCCCATTGACTACGTGATCTTCTTGTTCCTGGTGCTGCTGTTCTTCAGTGCCAGCATCATTGGGATTGCCACTATCGGCATTCGAGTTCTCTGGATTACTGTCTTCAGAATTCGCAAGGCTCATACTTCGCCGCAGGCCCTGCTTGTCGCCACAGTCATGCTGACCCTCATGACCCTGGCCATCAATTATTCCATTGCCATGATGGTGGCTCCGCAATACGCCACATTCGGCGCTCAAACCTTCTGCGACCATCCTCCAAAACATCCCGGGGAACAGCCAGACTGTTCAGACCATATCGGGCATATTATTCCTTGCCGGGAAGCAACGGACAACCCAGCTGCTCGCAATGTGTGCACACCATCCGTGGTGTCGACCTTCCTCAACCGTGTCACGGTCAACTTTCCCTTCTTTGGCGTGGTTGATTTCTGGGCTCAGTTTGTTTTCTTGGGAGTTTTCTTGTTGGGGTTCGTCTTGTTGCTATTCCGCACACCGAAGCTGAGCGATCCTGACGCTGAAGAGGACGCGCTCGAGGAGGAAGAAGAAGGTCTTTTGGCCAGTACCGGCAGGAGGTTCGGCGCGACCTGGCAGGACATCACCGGTAGGGTGAGTCATCCCGGCGGGAACAATCATCCGCAAGGAAGAGGATCCAGGGATGCGGCAGCCGAATGACGTGGCCAAAATTGCTCTGTGCTTCCCAGTCGCTGAGAGACTGGTGACAAGGCAGCATGTGGACAATGGTGTTCTGGAAGAATCTAATATTCATTGCTGAATCAGACTCTGGCGGGTTGTTCAGGGAAGTATCATGTCAAGCACTGGCGTTCTGAGCCTCGGACGTAGTATAGCTAGCAATGGCCATGACCTTGACCATCTTATCGCAGGCCGTCCACATGGTGTAAAATTACGGCAGTAAGTCCTCGGCCAAATGCATTATGGGCGAAGCTCGTATTTCCCATTAATCCACATTGCAAATTCTATTGTTTGTGACGAGGAGCCAACCCGGTCACGAGCAGGAACAAAGACGACATATTGTACCTAGCAAACAAGGCATCTCGGCGTGCCGACGTTGCTGGTTCATCAGGTAGAGATAAAAATTGGGTATTCGATACACACCATAGAGATACAGGAAGAGCATGTTGTCCTTGAGGTCCAGGTCCGCTGCGGACAAGCGGTGAAACGGACGAGGCGCCAATGCAACCCCTGCAAGACCAGGCGCCGGACCAGGTACTGCATTGCATGTCAGTCAACAGCGCTCGCGACCACGTTTCCGTCAGTGCCCTCTGCCAACAGTGCCCTCTGTTAACAGACGGCGACTATGCAGAAACGGGACCTCACAGCCTCGCGCTGGGCAAGTCCAGAGGTGCGAAGAGAGTGTGAATTCCAGCTCCAGGCGCGCTCGACAGCCTCAGCCTCACCACACAAGAACGGCGTCAATGTCAAGGTCGCAGAGCATCAGGCCAGCTATCATGGCCATCCGTCTACGGATACCCAGGCGTCCTCCTCAAGATTGACGTCGACACTGCCACGAGCTGGGAATGGGGCGCCAGGAGGAGGAGCGACGACGATCCCGTCATCATCAACCACGACAACAACAACAACAACAATGACAGCAGGAGCAGCAGGAGCAGCAGCAGTACCATCGACGACAGCCCTCAGCTCGGCCCAACGGCAGTATCTGGGCCGGCAGACGGAACTGCAGCGGTTCCGCAGACTGTTTCGCCGGCTGGCGTGGAAGGCGAATAGTCTGACGCACTGGTCGCATCGGGCATTGAGTCTGGCACAGGAGTATCAGAACCAGAACCAGAACCAGAATCAGAACCAGAACCATGGTTTCCAGCACGGCCACCACCCTGATCACGCCCGGCAAGGCAATCCCGCTCTCGCTATCGGCCCTCGCGCGTCGTTGGGCCGCTATGAGATGGTGATCGACCCGATCGAAGCAGAGCGACAGTTCAAGATCGACTTCTTCGAGTTCTACGCACTGCTCGAGCGCGGCCTGATATGCCTGCTGGGCGTGTGGGGAATTGTGATCACCGCGACTGTTCCTACTTCTTCTTCTTCTTCTACTACGGCGGCACCCACTGGTCGTGATGTCGATACCTTGACCGCTAATCGTACCTCGTCCTTGTTACCAGGTGCACCGACAGCAGCGACATCGACATCGACATCGACATCGACATCATCATCACGCCACCTGAATCGGCACAGCTCTTCCGCGGATCCCATCATCGGCGACTCGCGCACCTTCCACGGTGCGGCGCACCGGTTCCATGCCAACGTGCTCGACGCACTCGACCACCCTTCCAGCCCGCTCCACGACGTTCTGGGTGCCGACTCGGGAGATGTCAGGGCGTACATCGGCGTGGCGAAAGAGTTCCGGAACAAGTGGAAGGATGTCGAGCAGCGCCCGGACCAGTCGTTCTTGGGTGACGACCGCGCGGAAGAGGAGTGGGCCTGGGCCAAGGTCAAGCGCTACGAACAGGTCTTACGGGATCTGCGACTCGATGAGTTGCTGGGCACCGTGCTCGCCGCCCTGGAAGAAGCTGGGAGACGGGCCGAGGCCGAGGTGGCTAGGTTGGAGGAAATGCTGGGGAACACGGCGACAGTGGATGCGAGAAACAGCAGGCGTGGAGGGGGAGGTGCCGTCGGAGGTGGCGGCGGCAGCGGAGGCGGCGGTGGTGATGCCAACGGTGACGACGGGGACTTTGATATGCTCGATGCCCCCTTCGAGGTGGCTATGGCCGAGCGCGTGGAATATGATTATGATTATGAAATGGAGTTGTGATCCTATGCTTGCGCTGGCGTGGCGGGAGAGGGCACAGGAAACGCTCACACGGGCGATGTTTGGTCACGGTCTGCTAACTGGGAGTAAAACAAGTCTGGATCCAAATATCATCTCAATCTGAGGTCGACCGGGAGTTACTGACTCTATGCCTCGTCATTCTTGGCCACCAGCCACTACACACCACACACTAAAACAACACAGGATGTAGTAGTAGTAAAAGAAACACAAAAACAATAACAAAAAAACAGAGCAGGCGAGGCTCGAACTCGAACCTCGGGTGTTTGGACAAAAACACCACCCTACCCAGGGGGGCCCGTGAAGGGTCCTGGGTAGGCGAGGTGAAACCTGGGATTGAACCCAGGTTTTTTTTTTGGATGCAGGGTGGAATCGAGTGTAGTCCTATTCCTTAACCACCGTTCTCGAGCCGAAGCTGTCCTCAAACAGAGTGGAAAGGAGTAGGCACTCGAACCCCCTGTCATCCAGACGTCATGGCCCAGTATATGGTTAGGAGTGAATGCAAGGCAAGATTGCCGATGCGAGAACTGCTCAAACCACTAGACCATGCGTCTCTTGAATTGTTGAGGAGTATTCTGCGTCTGCAATGAATAAACAGTCAATTTCCAGGGCGGACCGGGTGACCACGTGCTGTGCTGCTGTTGGGCTCTTGCTCGCCAAGAGAGCTGCGCAGTTTGGTTCGCGTTCGGAAGCGTTGTGATGTGATGTAATGTGATGCTGAAGGGCGCCCTTCAAGTTGCTGTTGGGGCCCAAGTCCGGGTTTGCAGTGTTCCCGACCTCCTTATTCGCAACATGTCGTGGTAGTTCTCTGCTAGAGAACAACGAACAACAGACGGTGGAGGATCCTCGCATACACAACACCTCAACAAGGACATCGCATCCCTCGTCAGCAGCAGCGATTGCAATATCGGCCTGAGAACGTCGATTGGGACCTCAAAGACGGATGCCTACCAACTTATCTCCCTCCCATCGTCAAGAAGATGGAGAATGGCAGTATCCAGCACTGTTTTCTTCCACCTCGGGGGAAGACGCCACGTCTCCGCTTCCGTCCACATTGAGAAGAATATCTCTTCGGCCTATATTGTCATGGCTTCTCGGCTGTCGAGTGATGACGCCGCCAGTAACGTCCTCTGTGACCCTTGTGTTCGAAATTTCCCTGCGGCTTTATCGTCAGGAGTCAGGAGTCAGGAGTCAGGAGAAGCTAGGCTGTGGAGTCTGGCCGGAACGTGCCATTGTCAAAATAGCTGGAATCGGGGGGATCAAGAATCCAGCTGCCTTCGAAACACACGGTAATAATAAAGAAAACACATTTCTTTCAACTACCGTTCAAAGATTGACAGATAAGTTGCAAGGCCAGTGGATGGGTGCTGATTGCGGTAGGTATCAGAAATTCGGCGCGGTCAAATATCCTGGTCCAGTCTTGACGTAAGGCTGGCGCCAATGACAGCTCGTGATTGAGTGCTGCTGCATTCATTCATGCGGCCATGTCATCAAGCTCTTTCTGCCTGGTGCTGGTGGCTGAAATCCTACATCCCGGACAACATGGTCGGAGAACGCCCCCTTGACGTCTGTCAGTGGCCTCGCTTCGATCTGGGAACCCGATGTAGATCATTATATCGACACTAGTGGTGATCAACCTTCATGCAGCGTTTAGGCTTTCGATGCCTAACGCGAGAGCGAGCATGGGGCAGTTTAGCTCATTCCTATTCCAAACCTCTCCGAAGAGCTTCTCGTTATAGGTCAGGTTGGCTAGAAATGGCACTGCTCTGACATGCAGATCCGGCCTTGGATCCTGGTCGAATGGACTCGGACATCTTCGTGTCGCCCTACTTCTCGGGGTTTCTTCACGCCACGGTCGGGTCCAGATCACGGCTCACAAGATGACCATGCAGCAGGGTTTCACTCTTCAGTCCACCGACAGATAACATGGCAGCTCCTTCCCGACCAGCATTGGATCGGCGACAAAATTCAGGGGCATCTGCCTGGCCTGCTCCATGCTTCTTGCCTTCCGCAGTTCACGGGTCATGCCTTTCCCTCACAATGTTACCCCTTGAGCAGAGACTATCCTGCACCTAGAGATTATCTTCTTACAGTATATTAATATAGGTCCTATGAAGCTTGGGGAACCGGCAATCAAGGCTTGGTCTGCTTCTGAGGCGGAAGGGTTCCCCATCCTCCGAATACGTCGATTGCCCTTATTCCTTCATACTCGATATCCGCAACCAAAATACTACTACTCTATTGTTACCCAAAGAAACTTCAATTCAGACTCATTAACGGCTGTCAAGTGCACCTGTATCTCGTGAAGAAATTATTCTTCCCATAGGGGCTGAGATGGAGCCACCTGTGGTATCGCCGCTCGGTCGAGCTCGATTGACTCGAGACTACACAACTGATAGGGAGGACATAGAAGCCATGAACATGGACTCGTCCAAACGCCAATCCGGCGTGGGATTGGATTCGACCACTTCATATAACGGTCGAGCCAATAGTCCACGCAATCAAGGAGGGAAAAGCTCCCAGGACCGGGAATCCTCAGCCTGGCAAACCTTGAATTTCCAGCCTTCACCACCCCGCCAAACTACTACTGAGCAAATCAACCTGGAAGAACTCGGGAAGCGGGTTTTGGACCTCGAGACAATCGATGAAAGGAGCTCGTATGGCCCATCCCCGAGCACTTTTTCTAGAGCTTCACAGAGCACCACACTTACGGTCGCATCGCCCTATAAAGTGCTGGACTTCTTTGCCGAGGACGTGTTCCAAGTCGCCCTCCACAACCCTGCGACATTTCACCAGTTGTTGAGGTTCAGCCGGTCGCGGCTGTGCGGCGAGAACCTGGAGTTTTTGGACAAAGTGGACAAGTACAATGCCCTGCTGAACGAAGTGGCCGACAGCATGTTCGAGATCCACCACGACTACATTTCGGTCAACGCAGTCAACCAGATCAACATCCCGGCGGGCGTGTTGATCAAGGTGAACAAGGAAATGAAGGCTGTGCTGACGTCGACCATGCCGAAACTTGAAACCGTCTTCGTCGATGCGCAGATTGATATCGAACGGCTTGTAGCGTTGGACGTCTACCCACGGTTTGTCCGCCACCAGATGACCATGAGCGCTACCAAGGCTCTGGCCGGTGACCGAGGGAAATATGCCGGGTTGGGAGATTGTTTTGTCATGACCGATCCTACAAAGGCGGACAATCCCATCGTCTACGCGTCAGACGGATTCGTCAAGGTCACAGGGTACCCGCGCAATGAGATCATCCCACGAAACTGCCGCTTCCTACAGTGTCGCCATACCGACAAGTTGGCGGTGGAACGGTTGGGTGAAGCCATCGACTTGCGGAAAGAGTCGGTCGAGCTGCTCCTGAATCAGAAGAAGTCGGGCGAACCATTCTGGAACCTACTATATACGACGCCACTGTTTGATGCCAACAGTAGTCTAGTCTTCTTTCTCGGCGGACAGGTCAATTGCTCAACCACCATCCACAACGCATCGGATGTGTTGAAGGTCCTGGCCTTGGCCGATGATAGCGAAGACGAGAAGGGGGACAATCGCCTCAAGTCGCCCGAACCAACCAAACCTCCCTCGCGTACGCGCACGGGCAAGTTCTTTTCCTCTTTCCGACCGAAATCTTATCTTCAACCCTCTCGTCAGGCGGGCATGGAAGAGGATGTTCTTAGGCAGATGGACAAGATGAACTTGAAGAAGCAGATCGACACGTTTTATACCTCGTACTCCAAGGTAGGTTGGCTGTACATCCACAGTAGCTGAGTTCTGCTCGCCCACAGGCCACCGTTCGGTTCTGGCTTATTTCTTTCCCTCGTCCTTCCACCGAGAACAGTTCTCATCCAACAGATAATCTACAGAAGGCAAGCTAACATGCCACATGATTGGCCTCGTCCTACAGTTTCTCGTCATCAACTATTCTACATTCTACATCACCTTCCACTCCGCGGGTATCAAGTCACTGCTCTACCCGGTCAAATCGACATTGACCTTGACCTCGAGCCACATGATGGCTCCCCCCGAGCCCCAGATCGTCGGCGTGGACGTCTTCCGCTTTCTGTCTGCACACTCGCCAACCAAATTGAGCGGAGATTTCAAAACCCGCGTGCGCATGGCCTTGAGGAAGGGAGCTGCCATTTCGCTCGACCTGACCCTCTGCACTCGTCGGTATATGGGCTACGAGAAGTTTGCGGTACATTTCACACCATTGAAGAACGAGGTCGGTGAAGTGGGGTTTGTGGTTTGCACGCTGGGGAGTTTTTGTGATTGAATGAAACAGACAGAATACGAAGGGGAGGAGAAGGATGAGGGGTGACGAGGGTGTTTGTGGCAGAGAGATGGAGATGGCAACGAATTGGTAGGGGTTAGATTGTGGGTATGGCAATGTTGTGAGGTATGGCAATGAACTTGAAGTGGGTGGTCTGTGGTCTGTGAGGAAGGGAGGATGAGGACCCGGAAGGCCAGGTACTGTAGAGAGATCAGGCATGACTGAATGAAATGGCATCCTGTCACCAGGGGCACAGGGGACCAGGGACATGGCACATGGTGGGATCCAGGGGTTTGGCCTGGACAAAGATATATATTCCGGGTATTCTGGGTATTCATTATCTGGTACATATGTTTGACTTGTCCTCGTGTACGGAGTACGTTAATCGTGGATCCAAGAGTGATTTTTGTTGGTGTTGATGTTGGTGTTAGTATTGCTACAGTAGATGGATCCACAATGGCCTCAGCCCCATTCCAGTCTTCAGAGTCAAGGCATCAGGGCTAAGGCTACTACTACGAAGTCACTACCATGAAGTACAGATACATTACCTCGAGGTTTGATCTGGATCTGGATCTGGAAGAAGCACAACCACAACCACAACCACCAATTAAATATCCGTAGCTAGGTATCTAGGTAGTTACAGCGGACGAGACGGCACCGCCTACAATACAGTACAGTACAGTAGAGTACAGTATTCGTACAGTCCAGCCACAATCCCAATCCCAATCCCAACAGAAGATGAGATTCTTCATCTCCACACACACAATTCGCCAGACTGAGATATCTTCAGTTCCACATACACAATTTGCCAGACTGAGATTCTTCACTTCCACAAACACAATTTGCCAGACTGAGATTCTTCATCTCCACAAACACAATTTCCCAGACGAGGTGCCGCCCGCGACCCAGTCTTTGGTGGGATGGAAGACCGCGACGGCTGGGACGGCGGTGATGGAGTCGCCGCCGAGTTGGGCGAGCTGGGTGCCGTCGGCGCTGTAGATGTCGACGAAGCTGGGAAGGGAGAAGAGAGTTAGTTATTAGGTTGGTTGGGATGATGTAGAAATACTTGTAAAATATATCGAGGGACAGCAAGACCATATAGGAGAAGAGAGAGAAGATTACAAGACCAGAGAAGACAGAAGACCAGGAAAGACAAAAAGTGGCCTGAAGTTCTACCCCGGCCAGGCCTAAGACCAAAAAGGACCAGGGAAGACCAGAAAAGCAACAGCAAAGTAACAGCAAAGCACCACGAAAGTAACAGCAAAGCAACCCCTTAGCGAAAGGCTTCAAAGCAAAGGATGCAATGTGATAGGAGGCCATAACGGAGGTTAAGACAAAGGCCGCCAAACAAAAAGAGAGAAAAGGTGCAGATCTCGCATAGGAGGAGATCGATGTCAGAGCAGACTAAACCATGGTGATGGGCGATAGCATCAAGAAGACAGCAAAAAGGCATTGGGCCAGAAATTCAAAAGGCAGATGTACAAGCAAAGCTCATGGTAAGCGCGGGGAGAGGAGACGAGAAAAGACAAGCTATGTATGGTGGGTAGGTGGGTAGGTGTTTTGGTTTGACTTACCGATTCATGTTTCCCACCACCAGTTTCTGAATGTTGTCTTCGGGATACATTTGCCATCGCGGCTTGAGAATCGTCGTCCATCGACCACTAGACAAGAAGTTAGTTAGTTGGAGGATCAGACGGAACAGAAATCCAATTGGAGACAGGCGGGTGAGAGAGGGAAAGGAAAGGAGAAACAGAAGCTAAATGTCCTTATGGGGCAGAAACAGAAGCCAGTGTCCGCATGGGGCAGATGCAGGAAAGGCACCCCCAACAGGAATGGTCACAGCCAAGGCATTTACGCACGTCTGATTGTTATGTCTGATCACCACCTCCGGAGTAATGGCAGCCTCGTCGAGTTGGAAGCCCGGGCTCCATTGGTTCATAGTCTCGAGCACCGAACCCGAACCCGTCTTCTTGCCGTTCACGCCGAACGAGTGGATCTTGATGGTGTCGTCGTAGCTCGTGGTGGCCACTTGGCCGGCGGTGTTGAAGGCGGCATGGCTCACGCTCAGCCTCGACTCGTGCTCGCCCACCAGCGTAGGCAGTGATTCGGTCATCTTCCGCAGATCCCACAGTCGCATAAACCGGTCCAGCGACGCGGTCGCGACGTAGTGCGGCGCCACCGGGTTCAGTGAGAAGCCGCCGATTTTCTTCTCCGACAGCTGGTACAGGTCGACCTGGGCCGGGTCTTGACGCACATCGTACTTGCCAAACGCGCCGTTCAGCGTGGTGAAGTACACGACGTTCGGGTCCGCGGCGGCCATGTCGACGCCCGACACGGGCTCGTCGTCGTCCTTGTTTGCAGGCCCGTACACCTCCACGGCCACGGCCTTTTGCAGGTCGGTGGCTCGGATCGACGAGTCGTACGACGCCGTGTACAGCGTTTCCGGTTTGGACGGGTGAGTGTGCATGGCTGAGATGGTGCGGGTGTGAGGCTTGATGGTTGCAATGTCCGGGCCTGGGTCTAGGTCGTCCTCATCGTCGTCGTCGTCGTCTTCTTGCTTCACGTGCTTGGGGCTTTGCGACGCGTCCACAATCCCCAGGTTGCCCATCTTGTCGCCCGCAAACACAATCGGCTTGGTCGGGGTCGGGTGGAAGGCCATACTGTAGATGCGTTCCGGCGTGATCTTGATCCGGTTTGGTTCCCAGGCATCCCACAGCCCCAGAGAACTCATCCTCTGCCGCAGCGCCTTCAGCTCCTGGTCGCTGGTTTCCCGGATATCGTCGTCGTCAAATGTCCGCTCGTACGGAGTTGCCACGCCCTTGAGCAGCACGTCCGTCCCAATCAGACTTGATCCATCTCCTGCAAAGTTGAGATCGCCTGTTACTCTTTGCCTCCTCTGCCTCTCTACATCTTTGGCTTTCTCGTATTCTTCTTCCGCCTTGTGTTTCGCCACTTCACTGTCGGCCTGAATGCCTGCTAGTCTGGAGGATGTTCGGCGAGGCACGACCTCGATTTCTTTTTTGACTCGCTTCGCAGGTGGCTCTTTTCGTTTCGCCTTCGCCGGCCGCTTCTGTCCATTCGGAGGGCCCGCCGATGCCGGTTTGGAATAGAGGCCCGCTTGTTGGGCCTCTTGGGTTAACTTCTTGAGCAGCGCATCTCTCTCTGCAATGTTGGCGAGACGCTGCTTTTCGAAGTCGGATTGCTCCGCCGGCGCAGCACCTCGAGCCATGGATGATTCCAGCTCGCGCTGTGTGGAATGTCGGGGATATGCTGAGCGTGGCCTGGTTGACCTGGTTCCTCTACCGCAGGACGCGAAGGGAACACGCAGCCAAATACGGAACGCGAGGCGCGTAAAGTGATATCGTCGGATTAGCTAAGCACCTGCTTCCCCTCGGTGCCTCCACCACCTCCACAAGCTTTCAAGATACAAGAAACGGAAGTAATATGTAATATTCGTACACAGCAGGATGATCTGTGTCTTTTATTGTCGCTTTCTAACTGCTCATTGAGTAAAGGTCGCGTCGGACCACATTGTCTACTACCTGACCCAGAGTCCGGATCAGAAACCACTGCCTCTGCCTCTCAAGCCCGAAGCCTTAACCACATTTGAATGATTTCTTTGAGCAAAGCACGTCAAGTGATTCCATCGCCCCAACAGATATGAGATTCTGGCTTAGGAAGTCACGCTCTTCCCATACTTTGTAGTTGATGTATGACGGCCAGCAACCACCGCCACTTCAGCAATCCCCTAGAAGCACAGTGCAAGATGAATGCTACTGTCCAGTAGATACAGCTTGATGAAGAGTAACATCAATGCTGCGACTTCGACAACCTGGGTATCCCACATGGCACCTCACTGCGCCACATCCGGCCGTTCGCCCCAAGGGAGTCTGATTGACATTCATAAAGAGGCCCCAGAGTCTCAGCCACCAGTGTCCGATATAAGGACCTGGAGTCCGGAAAGAATCATGGCTTCCAGATCTTGGGGATGAGACATTTTGCCGACAGTTTCATAGCTTTGTGATGTTGAGTCAGGATCAAAGGTTGTCATGAGCCTCTCTGGACCTCAAGGTTGCTGACATGAGCCAGAAGAAACTTGCAGTTCGTCAAGGTATGCTTGCAAGCCTTTGTAAAGTTCTCATCCTGGTGGAACCCCACCCCGAGCTTAATAGAGACATCGCCAATCTTGTCGCCCTGTATGGGATATGGTAGTACCCTCTTCGATGGTGGATTCCGGATAGAGGAATTCCTGTTTGGGGCGTGATTCGTATTGGCTTCGACGCTGGTGGTTCGCTCGACATATTTTCCCAGCTGATTTAGGCACTCAAGAAATGCCACCATTCCCGCATCAAACCGGCGATGGTTCAAAAGTCGACCAATTGCCATATCTCCACTGCTGAACAAGTCCAGACGGGTGATCTTGGGTTCGGGGTTCGCAGAGACTGAACGTAAGCCACGATCTGCACCACTTTGGCGCGTCACGCCGGGAGCCTGTTGGGGGTATTCGAGCTTTTCAATGCGAGATGTGCTGCCTTGTGGTCGCAGACGGTAGCCTTGGAATGAATATTTGAGCCGTTCTGCAACAATAGCGAGGAGTAGTAGCGTCTGACCCCATGCTGCATTGATTTCCGCCCAGTCAACATTTTGATTAGGCAGACGACCGAGTCGCAGACCGTTGATGGTTCCGAAGTACCCGTCATGACCAACGCAAAACGTGTCATTGTATACATTGGTGCGTTGAAGGCGCTCCAGTTGTTGACGGTCGTGGATATATTTCTCCTGTAAAGACGACAGCCGAACCGTGATTTCGTATAGCTTGTCGTCGAAAGCGTTTCGTGATCGCCAATATGCTTGTTCTTGAACATCCGCCTGCCCTGTCTCCTCCTCCAGGATGGCAATTTGCGCCTCCACCTGCCGAGACTCGCCTTCGGTGTGTGTCAGCCGGCTGTAAGAAGATTCTGCCTGGTTCTGTGCTTCTAGCTGCTCTTTCCGTGCTTTCGTATCACTTCCGGGCGGTGTCGAGGAGACGGTCTGCTGTACAGTCTTGAGAAACGACGCGTATGCGTCTTTCTCCTTGAGGGAACCTCCAAGGCGGGCGTTGTATGACGATAAAAGTATGGACGTGCACTCGAGGCATATCGGATGATCAATGTCTGAATAGGAGGACAATAGAGAGAACAGCATCTCGGACTTAGCCACCTGAGTAGACAATAGGTTCGCTTCCTCATCTTCCTCGGGATTAACATCGCCCTTCTGCCCTTCTACCTTGCGCTTGGGACGATTCAGTTGGTCCTTCTCCTGCAAGGCAACTTGAGATTGTGTTATCTCAATAAAGGACATATCAGTGTGTCCATTGCTGGGGCCATGGCCGGCTGCAGGGTTGCCATGCTGGGGTGCTGGGATCGTTCGCTTGTAGATAGGAGAGTCTTTCTGGCTCGAAACCCGGTCATAAAGATCTTTCCGTTCTTTGGGATAGTTGAGACGGGATACGCTGGCGCTGGCGCTGTTCTGCTGGGTTTTGGCCGTAGATGCTGGGCGAATTAGTGATTACACTGAAGACATGGACGGGGAGTCTCACCAACGAGTAGGTCGAAGGACGCAGGGTTGAGGTCCTGGATGGAGGCGTCTATACGGATGGGTTGCCGGCACTTCTGGCAATACATGTCGGCTGCATGGTATACTGGAGTGTGTACAGAAATGCCTGCTGCTGTTGTCTGTCTAGGGCTCAGTGCAAACTGGCGAAAGGGAAGATTGTCGTCGTTGTGAATGGCGAAAGGGAAGATGAATATACGGGCACCGGTGGTACAGGCACTTATGACGCAGGCGGGCTCCGACGCGCTCGGCTTAGGCTGCGAAACCGCGTCGCGACTACTCCTACGCCGTACTTTAATTAAATCCAGATCATTTGCTTCTGCTCCCCCTCCATCCGAATTCGATTGAACCCGACACCTGCCCGGCACAGCGAGCCCTGCTTGAAACGCACAGTGTGAATCACATATCCAATACCTGCATTCCTCTATCAGACGCATGAAGAAGCAACCAAATGGAGGAACCGTTTCGAAAAAGACCCCGCCTCTCGATCTTCGCAGATGAGCAAGCCGACACCGACCTCGACGCCGACCTCGGTGCGTTACGCTACAGAAACGACAATCTCCTGAAATTGCGCTTCGAGTCAATCTTTGAGAAATATTCTCACGACTTCACCGGTGTAGGCGACGAAATCGATCTCGTTGGGGGGGAAATCGTGGTCAACAATGGGCACTTGGAAAGCATGGAAGACGAAACAGACACTGGCGAGACCCACGACGAGGACGAGAAAGGGAAGTCGTTCTTGAGAGCAATGACTGAGGCACCCGATGGCGGAGACCCGTATTCCAACCAGGAAGCCGACAATGTGATTACGAGCATTGAAGGAATCGCCGAGAACGCTGCCCTCTCTGACGACGAATCCTCCGACTACGAACCCTCGGATGATGAACCCTCCGCCGAAAGCAGTGAAGAGGACCTTTTACCCCAAGCCAAATCCCGTACCCCGTATTTTACGCCTCCGGATTCTCAAAATCTGTCGCTTAAGAGGGCCGCGTCTCAGGCGAGCAGTAGCAGAGCAAGGTCTCATGCGTACGAGTCCGATAATGACTCGCTCTTTGAGGTGCGGGAGCAACAGCGGTCAAACAGTCCTGATTCTCTGTTTGAAGTAAGGGCCTCGACGGAGGCTTATATTAACGCCGCCCACCAGCCCTTAGACCCAGCAGGTCTAGGTGATGATGTGGACGAGAAGACTATTCTCCAGAAATATGGACCTGAGATTGGCCAGGAGGTTCTGGAGATGTTGCGGAAGACCAGAAACATGGCAGTTGAGGCCCACGTTGAGCCAGCCTGGCGTTTGCCTGCGGATCTGGTCCCTGCGAAACCTCTAGTGTCGACGCGGTCGGCCTCGGGATCGAAAACCCCCTCGAAGCCATTGCTCTTAAGTCCGGGTCGCGGGGACATGGCGTCTTCGAAGTATAGAGGGTCTGTTTGGAGGGCGACTACGCGGCAGATCACCCCACGCATAAGACAGGAGTCGCAACAACGCCATGTACGGATACGCGAAGAGTCAGAGGATCCTCTACAAGACGGATTCTCTAGTGACCATTTGGAACAGGCAGAGGATGAGACGCATTTAAAGACGGAAGAAGATGAAGACACCGACGTAGTGGTGTGGAAGTCCAACCGACGCAACGGCCGAGGGAACGATGAGCAAGTGGTTCAGATGAAGAGGGGTATTTGCTTCTATTGCTCTCGTCAATGGAAGACTAGGAATTCGGTTTTCAATCACTGGTCATCGTTAGTGCATAAGGCCGAGGAGACGGGAATATGGCCTGACGATGTGCATGATATGGTGTACATTCGGGACTATTGGTTGAGTGCGCCCAATGCTGCCCGCGGACCCAGACTGGGGGTGGGTAACCTTAAGCGGCTGGTCGAGTTGCATGAAGGAGCCGGTCAATCCTTTGACGAGATCGCCGAGTCTGGACTCATGCGCAGCAAAAAGACAGCGTCGCAGCTGAAGGAGGTGTACGTCAAGTATCGAAAGCCGCGCCGGGAAAAGAGGAAACGGCAGGCACGCGAATGGTCAGAGTCGGAGTTGAGAACCCTGGACCAACTTTGCCAAAATCCCAAGTCGGAAGTGTCGACATTTCCTCGAGCGTTTGAAAATTGCAGCGTGACCGATGTTGTCGACAAGCTCGCCGAGATCTGGTTGGCGGAATTTTGTAGTTCAGGGGGGGAAATAGCAAAGCGGTCGGAAAGTGTTGAAGATGGGGGGGAGGCGGAGGCAGCGGGTAAAACGCCGGTGGTGCTTGTAAGCAGCAAAGGTTGAGGGCGAGGGTGAGGGTATATATGCCGTAGGTACATATCAAATTGTAGTGTTGACTGCGGTACATAACAATTTCTATCGTGTTGACTGCACAATGACCATATCAACTTCTGTCGTGTCGTGTTGACTGCGGTACATATTAACTTCTGTAGGGTCGTGTTGACTGTATCAACGAGGTCGGATTTCGGATTTCGCATGACGAGCTGTTCATGTTCATGTTCAGAAAGCAGTCGACCTGATCCTATTAGGCAGCACCTATGTAGGTGGGCAGGTAGGCCACAGCATTAAGTCAAGTCAAGGTCAAGTCACAGCCCTGCCTTGCCTTGCACGATATCGTCGATGGTGGTCAAGTCACAGCCCTCCCTTACACGATATGCATTAGGTCAAGTCAAGTCACAGCCCTCCCTTGCACGATATCGTCGATAGTGGTGCGTGCATCTCCTCCAATGTCGCCGATTTGAGCCCAGAACTTGGACAGGTGGCGCGCCCCGGAGTCGCATAGGATCGTGACGACGCGATGGCCAGGCCCCATGGTCAGGGCTGTTTGGAGAGCAGCTGTGCCTGTATTGTCACGCAATGTTAGCGTTTGTGTATATCATGTATCATGTAGCGTGTAGCGTGTAATGTAATGTCAGCGGGGGGTGAAGGTGTTTGTGTGTATCGTGCCATGTCAGTGGGGGTTCAAAGTGTTTGCTTGTATCATGCCATGCCATGCCATGCCATGCCATTCCGGCCGGCAGAACGCAGCGGGGTTGAAAGTGATTGTGTGTGCTCACTCACAATTAACGGCACTACTGCTGCCGATGAAGATGCCGTCCCTCTCGACCAACCATCTCGCCATGTTTTTGGCCTGCAGATCAGTGACCTTGACGGCATCGTCAATCAGGTCGCGGCCCTGTTCGAAGTTGACGGTGGAGCGAGTCAGGCCGATACCTTCGACGATGGTGTCGACCTGGTCTCTGCGGCGGGTGCCTTCCCTCTCGAGCGGGTGGAACATGACGCCGTGCTTGATTTTGTTGTAGAGCCCACTGCCCTGCGGATCGGCCAGGACGACCTTGAGCTGCGGGAGACGCTCTTTCAGGAACATGGCGACGCCGGACAGGGTGCCGCCCGTGCCGGCGCCGGCGACGAAGGCGTCGACCTGCCCGTCGGTCTGATGGTAGATCTCGGGCCCTGTGCCTTCGTAGTGGGCGCGCCAGTTGGCCTCGGTCTCGAACTGGTTGGCGAAGTAGCCTCTGCCCTGTTTGGCCGGGTCGGCCGTGTGGTCGCGGGCCAGGTTTCGCGCGCGGTTGACGTAGTGCGCTTGGTCGACGATCGGAGCCGGCGTCACCCGCTCCACCACGGCGCCCAGCTTGAGCAGGAGATTGGATTTCTCGAAGCTCTGGTCGCTGGGCATGCAGATGTGCGCGAGATAGCCGCGCGCCCGGCACAGCGTCGCCAGCGAGATCCCCGTCGACCCGACCGTGCCTTCGTAGATGGTGTCACCTGAGTGCGGCTCCAGAAGTCCCGCCGCTTCGCCTCGTTCCATCATGCTCAGCGCCACCCGGTCCTTGGGGCTGTTGCCTGCGCCATTGAGGAATTCGCACTTGGCCAGGATCGTGCATCCCGTCGCGGCAGATAACGATCGGATCTCGATCAGCGGAGTGTTGCCGATCGTGGATTCAATCCCGACCCCGATAGCTGGGAGCCCTTGGTCAAGCTGCAGAACCGGAGCTGAAGCCGGAGCTGGAGCTGTCTTCTTGGTCGGATGGCTCAAGTCGGCTTCTTTCCCGCGGGTGTCGACGTGTCGGCGCAGCTGGTCGAGAACCGCAGCAACAATGAGGCCGGAGGCAAAGCCCACGACCAGCTCACGGTGTGTCCATTGCATGCTCAGACGGATGGCTTGGTTTGGTGGAAGGGAGAGCCTGGCCGATTCTCTCTACCTGTACCAGCAAGAATCGCCAGCCAAGCCACAGAGATGTCACAGTATACGTACTAGTAGAGACGCAAGGAATGTGTTAAGCTCGAACCCTCCAAGAAGCACACCCACAGACCCGAGCAAAAAAGCAACGCCCAAAGTGTGTGGGATCCCTGCCGGTATAAAAATGTAGGTAGGTAGCACCAGGCTCTCGCATGGAATGAAACGATGGTTAATGGTTCACCAATGCCTCGAATGCGCCGCTGTATCGTGGCGAGCATGAATACGGTGGTCTACATTTACTGGTAGTAGTAGTCTTACAGCGGTACGGAGTACATACTAGGGTTAGGGTTAGGGTTAGGGTTAGGGTTACCAAGTTCTGCCTTAGGGTTGTCAATGATACTATCAGAGGATTGATTCTCTTTCCCTTTCGCCCGTAATTGGACACTGGTACGCACATATGTAACTGGGGATTTGGTTTGCTTGCTGATAGTATAGAACTCTGAATCACCCTTTTGCTTTGGGGATTTGGTTTCTCGCATGTACATCTGGCATGACAGTGTCGTCTTGACCCAACAATATCGCAGCACCCAACATCAGAGCATCTTCCACCGTGCAAATCCAATCATGGCTTTTTACTTTCCTTCTCCTTCCAACTAGTTCTTCCCCTGGCCCTCCTGTTGCTGTCGCGGAATGCTCCTCAGATCCTCGATATGCGCGTTCAAAAAGTACCCGCGCAGCTGATCCGGCGTCATGTCCCGGGCACCAGAGATCCAGCCCTTGCAGCTCCGGGTGCCGCACTTGCACTCGAACGGCTGGTCCATGATCCACTCGGTGCTGGGGTAGAAGAAGGTCAAATGGTCGCCCGGCTGGATCCCTACGGGTTGGCCGTGCTCATCCCGCCGCGCCGCAACCCTCACCTCGATCACCGGCTTGTCCTCCTCGGCGTCCGCGACCACGTGGAACTCCAGGCTAGGTTCGCAGCTGTGGTTGACGTACAGGAAGTCGCAGTTCAGCTCGATATGTTGCGTCTCCGACACTTGCACCGACGACCACCGCTTCGCCGGCGCAAATGTCAGCGGCGGGCTAGTCAAGCGCGCCACCAGAGCCCCGGCCGGCAACGTGGTCGTGGAGATAGAATATGATGCAAAAGAGCCGGGTTGACGCACCACACGGATCACCGAGGGGTGGGTGGGAGATTGTGTCTCGGGCATGGTGAAGGTCACGATCAATATCGAGACTGAGATTGAGATGGATATCAGAGCGAGGTCGAAGTGGATATCAAGATAATATCAAGGTCTGAGTTGAAGTCTCTTTCCTGGTCGAGACTTTTGCCGGTGGATGGATGGATACGCTTGGTCTATCCAGGAGATTCCTCGGGAACTGACTTGACCGGTCGTCTTTCGCCGTGCAAGCTTCTGCCCCTGGCTGTGAAATAAACCACTTCGTTGACACGGGTGTGTGCCGTAGAAATGACCTGCGTTGAACCGTCCAGTGCCTTTCGTCCCGGGTTTGGTTTCTCTCGACGAGCTAACTCCACGCAGTACTATGACTTGAGACGACCAACAGTTCTCCGTGCTCTGCTCTTGCCCTTCATATACTGGGGCGAGACGGACTAGAGGTTTGAACTGTACGAGCGACGTGTGATTGTAATCTGAGGTACGGAGCGAACCTTCTGAAGCCCAGGCGAGAAGGAAGGCTGCAGCTTATACATTGCCGCGGCTCCTTCAATCGATCGGCTAAAGGGATGTGGATACTGTGATGCGTGCTTTTCTTCAAAGACCTGCAATGATTCAAAAAGACTCAAGGTTCGGCTTTGTGGGCTGTGAGGTCTTGGGGCGGTAGGCTTTTCCAAGACCTCCCAAGACCTTGCGAAATGCGGCGGACTCGAACGGAGACCAGTGGCTGGTCCGAGTTTTCGCGGCGTCTGCTCTCACTACCACGACCACGTCTCCAGCCGCTTTTCCGAGGATTCAGCGGCGGCTTGTGGCTGCGGTTTGAGGCTGGAGCTCGAGCCTACTTTTAGCGATGCCGTCAACTCAGCCTGATACAGGCGTAAAGGTAAAACATGGAGGACTCGGGCTGACGGTCAGCTGGCCACGAGCGAGCGTGGGCTTACTCGTAGGAGGCCCAGCCCCATGGTTGAGACCAAGCAGGTACGTAACAGGCTCAGGGGCTTAGGGCCTTAGGCACCCCACAGTTCGGGTGGTCGGATTCTGTGGGTATAAGCCTGTTGGACTGGAGTCGGGCGGGCGGCAAGTCAGCCCCATCAGTTCTGTCGAGCTGGCCGAGCGTTCAACGACTGGACCGAGGCTCAACGGCCTTTCAACCGCCGATCCAGGTTCCATGTGCACAATCTTCCTAGGACTGCTCTCTCGTGTCCTTGGTTAGCAGTCCTCACCTCTTTTGCTGTCGTCCCTGCTATACTACTGTACTGACATGATGGTGGTGAGAACGAAGGTGCTCTTTATATTTCAGGTCATGGATAAACGTCTTGTCGCACCGCAGAATACTCCTTGAGCAGGTAGTCTTGCTGAGGTATATTTTCGCCAGATAGGGAAAGCAATGAAGACCATCGACAACTATTTCGACAGTGTCAAGGAAATCCCCAGGCAGCCCTCGTGCTGTATCAGTTGCTGTCCCGGCCTCGTGGGCCACCAAGGGACTCTTGTAGATATAGACGGACCGCTTGTATGCCAGCCTCGTCAAAAGGTTATCCATTCTTGGTCACAAATATACTCCGTAAGCCCCTAGAAATCCTCCCTGAAATACCTCACGCCAAAAATTAATGCTGAACAAGGTGGTTGGTTTTGCCAGAGGCAACCAAGGCCACCTAGCTTTTGTCGGGCGATAAAATCTCCAAAACATAGAGCGGATAATCTGTTCATGGCATATGCTTGAGGTGTGCTTGTGTGGCGGGTTGATCTGGGATTGTGTTGCTGGTCATTCTGTCTTCAGGGGCTGACGTGCTACATGTACCTCTGTAGGTCCCGGCCAAACAGGTTCTAGAGGTTCACATCAGACGCTGGTCAGGCCTTGTTGATGGTGGAATGTGAACTGGGTGCTGCTATGCAAGGACTGTGGTGACTTCGCTGTGCATACTCGCCGGGCAGACTCCTTGGCCCCGACCCTACCCCACCCCTGACCTCGAGCGGCTCCCTTGTGTGGACAAGACTGACGATATCTGCAGTCAGCCAGGCAACAAGGCAACAGTGATAAGAATGCCTCTTTGGCTTATAGGCCATTGCATCGATCAGCGAGCCAGTCCAGCCCCGTTTCTGGACCACCTATATCTCGCGAGGACAAAGGTCAACTGTTTCTCGGTGTCGACTGGATTGTTCCTTCTGCCCTTGGCCAGAGCAATGGCAGATCTCATGACATTGCGAAACTGTCGCTGATAGTCGGTGGGCAGAGTTACAAAGCAGGCTTCCGTAGCTCGAATGACAGCCTCGCAAGCCGCGAGTATCGCGGTGCCCGAATCCCCTTGGAGACGGTATGCCACCAGAAGGAGTAAAAGGCTGCCGTGCAGGAGCTGGATGCCGAAAAAGTAGGGCATGAAACTGACATCGGGATCATGCTCCAAGATTTGTGTCACACATTCAGAAGCGGCCATTGTATGCGACATGGAGTCTTTGAATCCCAACGATGACGTCCAGAAGTCCGCGTCTTCGAAAAGACAGACTGGATCCCATTTACTGCCGACCAGGATCCTGAGAACACAAACGACATGGGTGGCATACCCGGAGACAGTCTGGGAAATATGGGTTGCTTCCGAATCTTCCACGGTGAGTGCCGGAGATGTCATCCAAGGCGACCCTTTGTCTGGCCCAGGGTCAGTGCCAGATCTCGTAGTAAGGTGGTTCAAGGTTGCTTGGTACTGGTCAAGTTCCCGCAAGATCCGGTGTTCTTGAGAAGTCCACATCGAGGAGGCGGCCGATGCCAATACCGGATTGTTTTTGGCGCGATTATAGTCCAGCAAGTGTCCGGTAATCGTCATGAGCGGTAAGAAGAATTCGAAGAGGCCCTCGCCCGAGCAGACACTCGGCGGACCGTGAAGGCGTCCGTTGCCTGACGGCAACAATATGCATCTCGGGCCATCGGTTCGGGTACCGTGACTGTGAAGCGGGGATCCAGACTGCCATGTGATGTCGTCGAGAGGAAGCAATAGGTTGGCACACTCAGCTTCCAGCAATGCCAAAGGCCGGTTATAACAAAGGGCCAGATGTCGATCCATCAGAAACAGCAGCCACCACGTTCGGCGCCGTTCCTCTCGATGCACCTCGCTCACAACGTCCCCAGTTGCTTCGTGACCCAATGAACATGTGCAGTTCACGTCGGGATAGCCATCTCCTGTATCCGGCGGCAGAATGAAAGACTCGACCTCCTCATTGAGCTTCAGGTCTCGTGCAAGGCTGAATGTGACACTCCACCTAAGACAGAATTAGTCATACGGAACAACCGTTGATGCTCAACGGGCAGGGTGACTCAATACCATCGAATACTAGCAGCTTTCTTTTCACTTCCGGAGATCACGGAAGAAACGTGGATCAATGCAATGACATAGTCCATCCCCCAGGTGACGGGAAAGATATCTGTCTGTTGTTGTGCATCCAGGGCTCGTTTTAGATCCTCATTTGTCCAGCCCGGATCTGAGCATAAAGCGGATGGAAGTCCCAAGTCCTCGCGGCTTAATAGTGGTTCATATCGGGAAGGGTTGAGTAGCCGGTAAGTTAGTAGACTCAAGTACTTGCACACGCGATCCCTTTCCTCAGGCCCGCTAAACAAACCAAGGGCTTTATCGCTCAATGCGGCAACAAAGAGCATACTGGCGAGCAGACCTGGATGCGTTTTGCGCGGCTGCAGGGCATCGAGGACATCGCAGCGTCGTAGGATGAAGTTGTGGATATGATGGCAGGTGGGATGCATGCGGCTAGAGAAAGCGCTGGAGAAGTACGTGTCGAGCAGATCGCACGCAAGGCTAGGCCCCAGATCCCTGTCCATGAATGGTGACAGGTAATGCAAAACAGCATACCGGCAATTCCCGAGCGGTTGGCTGCTTGGAGTTGGTGCTTCGCGAGAGTCGGCAATCGAGGGTAACTTGTAACTGTATGGATCTAAGATGTGGAGGGTGGGAGACACATATGTCGATTGGATGGCAGAAATGTTCTTGCCGTCATTGAAGTGCGCCACCGGATTGTCAAGAGTTGAAGATAGACTGAGATGGAGCATCGTAGCCGTACTGTCGGGGGACGTGACAGCTAGACTGACTCCATTTGGTGGACTGTTGGGCGCGTCGAGGGCGAGAGTTATCTCTTCCATTGTACTGACCAACGGTGTAACCGTTGGTGTTGGCTCGTCGTCTAGAGATGGGGTCGGAGACTGCACCTGTGATCCAGGAGGCTTTTCGGCCTGTTGTGGTGGGGGAGTCGAGGACGAGCTTGTTGTCCATGTAGTTGAGTGCTTCGACTGCTTCTGATCATGATCATAGTTGCACTCTTGCTTGAGCTGCTCGCATCTAGCGCACGGCAGGCTTCCGGTGCAGCGAATCTTGGCGCGTCTGCACCGATGACAGGCCCGGAACTTGTCGTGGATGATGCGATGGAACGGTCGTTGCTCCAGATGGTCGGCGTGAGTCTTTAAATGCCGGCTCAAACTGTCGTTTCGTGCAAAGGCTCGGCCGCAGCTGGGACACGGGGCAGAGGCCGGCGTGCGTCGACGGCCAGTCTTCTTCGTCCCCATCTTACCTCAGAGATTTATTCGCCGGTGGGCAAGTAAAGTGGCATCCCAAGCCCACCACGGCCTGCAGGTGCCTGGCAAGCATGCGTCCGAGTTCCCGGCAGTAGCGTGGCAACTGAGTCGATGCTATGCTTCATATCCTTCCTGCGACCCTCAACCTCATGCGGACGAGGAAAACAGCTGGAGATCGAGTCGGTGCTGGGCCACTGGACGTGGAGGAAGAAGAGGGGATGACGGCAGCGGTGGTCGCAGCAGCAGCGTAAAGGTGCGGTGGTGGTGGTGGTGGTGGTGGTGGTCGCCGCGAGGGCAGAGGTGTGGTTAGAAGTAAGCTGGAAGTACGGAGTAAGCAGAATGAAGCGCGTGGAGCTCCAACCCCGCGCACCTGATGGAACGAAAGCTTGCATTACAGTACAGAGTACGAAGTACAGACAGATGCTCCGCAAATTGTATAATTTTATAAACACCTTACGGATATCAATCTTGCCTCCGTTACTCTCGCCTGCTCCTGCACATACTTAATTAATTCAACTTTTCTGGGTTCATGCTGCTACTATAGACTAGACCTATGAAATCCTAACACCTCTCTCGATGAATGACACGATTCATGATTCATGCGTAGATGTGTCCTGCCGTCTCTGATTGTCTCATAGGTGCCGTGTGGTCATGTTCTCTGGTTCGTCATAAATTCCACCCTGGCCATGTGAACGACTTTGTTACACACTTGTCCACCACATTCTACCCGTTTGCAGATCTTCTTCTCCCTTGTTCCTTGCTGCTGCTGTTCGCCCACAGACACTTCCATTCACGCGGTTTTGACTGCCTCCTCAAACTGCTGGCCGAGCTGCTGGATGGCTTTCTCGTTGTCTTCGGCGATTTCGACATGAGTGCCTTGCTGGGCTGAGACTGACTTTTGGCGAATATCTTCCACTGTATATTGCTTCTCCCGAGCAACATCCACCAGCCGGTCCAGTCTCGACTGGCCAGGCTTGGTGTGCCATGGCTTTGGTCCAGTGGGCGAGAACATTTCCTCAATTTCCTCCAATGACTTGTTGCAAGTCTCAGGGTAGGTAAAATAGAACTGCACCGCAGCGAGCACACACATGCAGCCGAAGGTGATGAACATGCCATATTTGATGTTTTGGAATCCCGGAGGGATATAGAGTCCAAGTGCGAAATTGAACAGCCAGTTGCCCAGGGCGGAAATACCCATGCCTGTGGCACGCGTCTCCAAACTCCAGACTTCAGCAGCGTAGACCCAAGCAACCGGGGCCAATGTCAAGGCGTAGACAATAATCAAGAGATAACAGAAGGCAATCACCGTATTGGCCTTGGCTCCTTCCACACGGATCACAACATTGGGATTGCCGCCCACGCCTCCCGGAACATTCTGGCCTGCGGACAAGATGCCACCCACTACAAAGTGGCACGCACCCATCGCCAATGCCCCGTAGATTAGGAGAGGTCGTCGACCGACTCTATCGATGTAGAAAAACATGATGGTGGTGAAAATGATGAAAAGAGCATACTGGACGCCCGAGGCCACCAAATTGATATTTCCAGTCAATCCTGCCATCATGAAAATATAGACAACGTACTGGACGCAAAGTTAGCATTTCAACGCTTGAATCTGGCGTGTAATACGTAACGTAAGTGATGCAATTTGCGCCCGAGTTCTGCTGCCACATTTGAACGGTAAAGCCGGCGAGGGTTCGCTTCCACATGCCGTTGACGACGAACTTGCGCCAGCCTTTGGCAGCAGCTCGTTCGGCGGCCAGGGTTTCCGTGATCTCCTCCCATTCTGCGACAACAAGGGGATCGTTGACATTGCCGTTGGCTTGGATATTGGCGAGTGTCCGGATGGCTTCATCGACCCGGTCGACCTTGGCCAACCATCGAGGTGAACGGGGAAGGAACGGCAGCCCGCACATGAGGAAGACACAGGGCACAAATTGAATGCCCCAGGCAGTCCGGAAGGAGGCCGAGCCAGGAATGAAACTGCATCCATAGCCGATGAAGTACATGATCAAAATGCCCCATTCTAAAAATCACATCAGTCACGTACCACTCCCACAAGGTTCGATCTCACCAATGGCTAGTTGCTGGATGACGATGATGGCACCGCGCTTCTCTTTGCGAGAGATCTCAGCAAGATATACGGGCACCTGAGAACTGGTGATGCCAACACAGACACCGTTCAAGACACGGCCGGCGATCAGCGAACCGATACCGCTCGTTCCCGCCTGAACGGCAGTCCCGACCAGCCACCAGAGAGCGGCGAACATGACCGAGTCTCGCCGACCGATTTTGTTCGACACTGGACCGGCAATGATGGAGCCCACCACCGATCCGGCGGCCAAGGCTGAACCGATAGCTCCCTGCGTGACACCTGCAGGCTTGTTGAAGTAGTCATTGTATTGCTTCGTCCCAATGATGGCGCTCATAGACGATATATCGAACCCGAAGAGCATTCCCCCCACTGTGGCAATGAAGGCCACGAAGTAGGTGTTATAGATCTTGGGGAGTTTGATAGCCATGATGCCTCAATAGACCGTCACTTGACTTAGGAAGTGTGTAAAGGGACTGGACTGAGAGGCAGAGGTGATGTCGCAGTGCAAGCACGAGCAGGATGGACCCAAGGGTTTTATATCCCCTTCAACCTCCTCCACATGTATGGAGAAATGCCCCCGGAGATTGTGGAGGTCGGGGATGTTTGTTAAACAACTTACAGGGAAAAGGGAATGATTGACACCAATCACCGCTCCGTCATGGTGTGGTGAACTGCGGTGGCACTCGTATCGATGTCTGAGATGGCATGATGTATTCCTTTCGTGGATACATTCTTTCGAGTGAGGTTACAGTCGGAGTGGGTGGCCAAACATCCAAAGCCATATGACGGATGTCGTAAAATGATTAGGGCTGAGACATTGGGTTGCTTGATTCTGAGGTTATTTCGTCCCCGAGAGAGTGCGAGGGAGTTGGTGGTGACCACCGGCGAGATGCCTCAACTGGCTAGAGTCCGTGTGTGGTTGCAGGCGTCGTGTGGTGAAAACAGGAAAGATCATCATCTGCTTCTTTGTGGGATGTGATAAGATCAACAGCCGGTAGTGGCAGGTGTGTATCCGTACCCCTGGCCACCGTCGGTCTCCACCGCCGCTTCAAAGCTCTGGCAGCTACCTGTATACCCCGCGTGAACGGTCCGCAAAGCTTGTCGTCGTCAGCAGCACGACCCGGTCCGCATCCGGCAATTGTAGAATACTGATCATGTTCGAAGCTCTCCACGAGGCCGGGCATTAGCCGTTGAGACGGTCTAGAAGCTAGTCATCCCCCGACCTGCTGGACTAAACATATATTTTGATAGGTCGGTCTCTCGGTATTGGAAGGCGGTCGACCTCCGAAGGTCACACCATTCAGGACGATACAATACAAATCTTTTCTTGCGCTCTTGATCGCTCGTGTCGAGTCTAGCGACATCCTCAAGCCTTGTGAAGATTTTGCACCGTTCTTGTTGGGACGAGGGTCTGTGAGCGCGCGTTCGATCAACAAGGGAAACATAGGTGCGGGCATTGGCTCTATTCGAGGATGTGTCAGGAGTGAGGTTATTGCTGAAACTAGTCAGGTGGTGTGTTGATCATGGCGATGGTGTTGCTGATGATGATGAGTAGGCGGCACCTAGGACTGGGTCGCAGGCGATGCTTAAACAAGGCATTCTTCTGCGGCTGGACCACATGATATTCTAGTCCACGTGATATTGCTTACTGGGGTCCTTCAGCGTTCGACTGTCATCTCCTCGACCCAGTCATTAAGTACGTTGTATTGTGCCTGAAGTTGTTCTGGCATCATGAGTGTTCGCCCAGAAAGACATCAACAATCCCTGCTCAACGAGCGGCGCAGGACATAGTTGTGCTCCGCTGTATATCCAGTTCGGAGAAGCATGTAGTCCCCTGCGCTGCATCCAACTCGTCGAAATATCAAGCCACGAGCCAACGGGCTCAGCCATACTATCGATGTCCTTGTCACGCACTCGATATTTGCTCGCCTTAAGGATTCTGTTCCCCACCGGCTTTCCTATCATGTTCTGTCTGTATGCTCTATGAGTGCCGCTTTCGATCTTCTTCAGGCGAGTACTTTCGCACAAAGGTTCCCTTGATCGGATCCCCTTCGCACGAATGAGCCACCCACTCGCCCGTTTTGTACCTCTTGGGGGCTCTACGAACACCCCGGCCACCGCCACCGACGATGAGATTTCCTGGTCGGTAATCCGGGCACATCTGCATACGTTTGATGACGGAGTTGTGAATCTGCGCATCAGCGGGAATATCGCGAGTCTCGCCCATGGGAAGGGGCCTGAGCGTAAGGCAGGCAAGAAATTAGCACACAAGTTCGTCACCGGGGTTGCAACCTGCAAGGATTCTTACCACCTAATTGCCCTCCACTTGCCCTGGTGCAGGTCCATCCTCCGGAAAGGCAAATATTCCATCATCTTCCAGAAGGCAACGTTGGCCCAGGTCAAACCATGGCCGATCTCGAGGCAATCGTGCACCACACCGTTCGTGTGACAGTCTTCTAGATGGCGGAGAAATTCCTCGAAGGACGCCTTATCTTCCAGACGCTCGCCATAGTCATCGAGTTTGTCAGGAAGACAGGAACGGTCGGCCATTTTGCTGCATTGATCACAAAGGGGGTCAGAAATGGTGAAAAACATTCAGCCGGTAGAGCTGGAAATTTCGCCGATACTATCAGAGTGGTAGTCGAACAAACCGAAGTTAGGGGTAGGGTTGGGGCCAGGGTCAAATGTCACCGAATTCGACGACGCAATTGAAGCAGCAAGGGCTAGTGTGATCAAATACTCGAGCAAGAGACACGCAGGGGCTGACTACTACTCACCCAGGGTCAAATCTCAAACCTGCCCTTTCTGCTTCGTGGACCATCCAGACTAGCGGCACATGACTGAGCATCTTTTCGTGCTCATGTATCTTTTTCCAGCCACCACCAACGTCCCCATGGCCGCCGCTGAACCAGACCTCCTGGATGTCCTGGGCTTTTCTGGCTTCTGACCATCGGCGGCGCAAGCGTCTGGTGCGGGCACCGTCATGCTGTCGATGGGATTTTCTGGTCGTGGACTGTAGGTTCTCGGTGCTAGGGGTCTGAACGGGCTCTGCCAAGTTATCTGAAGAGGCCCGTGGTCTGGCATGACTCGGCAGAACTGAGAGACGGCTGTGGTGGTCACCCGTGACCTCTATCCTGGGACCACCACTATTGATGGCATCTGATCCTGTGTTTTCCGCGAGCACTGGCTTACGCTCACTGGCGCCATCGTTGGCCTCCTCCAGCTTCTCGTTCATCTGTTTCAAGTCCGAGTCGTACCGATGAATCTCATGGTTCGTGATGTCCCCTCGTTGTGGTTGCTGAGAGCCACTGATCAGGTCCTGACGAAACTTGGCTCGCCGCTCGTCGATTGACACTGCATGACGAATCACTTTAGCAGAAGAGTGTGCTGTGTAAGGGAACTTGGAACGCGCCATCCAGGCCGACTCGAACCGTGGTACCGAATTGACGGTATCAAAAAGTCCCATGAATCGAATCCGACGCACTGGTCGGCTGCTGCTAGGGAGGTCAAATCTGATTGCCACGACCAAACACTCGCAGTGGCCACTTACAACGTTTGTCTAAACCCACGCATGAACTCATACTGCTGCTCCTCATCCTTGATCGCCTTTTCGGAGCCGTCGTTCTTCCTACAGGCCCACTTGGCGTACGTCTTCCACGCAAACCTGATCAACTCCTCGTTTCCAGCACTGAGGAGGCCGATATGATCAAGCATCTCAGCGAGAAAGCGAGCGGTGTACGCCCCGCGACTGAATCCGAAGAAATACAAGTCATCCTCAGAGCTATAGTACCTCATCAGGAACTTGTAGCCCCCCATGACATGATCTGCGAAGGACGAGCCGACGGCCGAGTCTTTGGCCTTGAGGTACGCAGACCGCATCCGACCGAACATGGATGTTGTTTGAATCTGACCAAATGTCGATCAATTCGAGCACATTCCGACGATGTCCCTGCTCTTATTTCCAGCTTTACTTACCGAGTGGGACGTCACGTATGTCCCAATACCTGGTTGGTAGAATGTGTACATCCCGGGATCTGTACGATCCAGCATGCGATAAAGCTTGAGGATGTTACTGTCAGCGTCGGTGCCGCTGAACTTGTTCCCTGTGCCCTGTTATAGCAACTGTCAACGGCCCAGGTTCTCCAAAGAGCAGCTATATGGCAGGAACTCCACAAACATCGAAACAGAGAACAAAGACATTCTTCTGTGGTATCTGGCTTCGTTCTGTGTCGGCCATTCTGGAACGGTAAGCTCGCAAACTGCGAAGACGGTTCGTTCAAAGACCCAAGTTACAAGAAAGAATGTGACTCGGTCCGAAGGGAAAGCGTGTGGGTTGAAAGGTGTTTAGATCCTCTTCAACAGGAACACAGCTTCTTGCCAGCAACTTCTCTTCGTCCGATCACAAGGTTGGATAGTCCGCTGGGCATGTGCGGGTCTGATCTACCCCAGTCCGTCTTCCAATCACTCGTATACAGAGTACACAGACCTACCTGCCAGGGTATCTCAGGCGTTGCTTGCCGGGACGTCCCTCATGCAGGTGTGGGCTATCACCTATGCATGATTCGATGCCTAGCAGCCTCTTTGTCGCCGTCAACACTCTTCGTCTTGACCGCCACAGTCGCGGCTTGGTCCCGGTCTTGGGCACCAGTGAGCGGCCTAACCTCAGTCAGTCCATTTTGAAAGAGCGGTATGAATGAAATCTTATTGCACCATACTTAATTCGACACAACCAGCCAGGAGCATCCGAAAGCGGCCTGTGGATCAGAACTAACTCCGAAGTGGAGGCGGGGCAGTTGATCGTTGCAGGCCGGTCTGGTCGCTACCGTATAGGCAATGAGATGGCGCAGAATATGGTCTGTGGTTGGAGATTGACGGAGTACAACTGCATGACCCTCCAGCCAACTGTCGTGATGCCCACGGTTTCACAAACTTCTCCCAATGCAGTTTGCGTTGGGCAAGCTCAGTCTGGCCTCCCGCCTCGTCAATCGACGGCTGCAGAGTTGAAACAGCTGGGATATTCTGGCCGTGCCGTGTCGGCCCTACATTGAGACTATCGCCTGTCACTGCCGAATCCGCGGGGCCAGGGGGAGGGGAAGCGAAGCCTTAGCCTAAGGATTAGCTGGAATCTCATCCCCTGCCGGGTCGTTAGGTCGGCGATCGGCGATTCTCTAGATCTCCCTCGAAACACCCCCAGGAAGAACCCACGAACGAGAGAACGATGCACCAAGCGCTCACTCACGTCCCAATCTGGTGGCTGGGGTTGCTTAACCGGTCCGGTCCGATTTCACGGCAGACTGGGGTTCGGGCAAGACTTGACAGCAAGACGCCTGCTTGTGATTCGCCTCCGCAACACCCATTGTCGTACGTACACAGTACATCCATGTCGCCCCGTCATGGCACAGTCAGACCTCCACTCAGCTTCGATCTTCGACATCACCTCAACCAACAACTATACGCCACCAATGTCCGTGTTCACGTAAAAGTGAAACGGTTCTACCCTTGTGACACCTGTCCTCCCTGCAGAGTGCCGGTTACCCTGAACAAAGATTGCGAACGCAAGCAGCTCAGGAGTTTATCAAACGTTATTGGATCATATACTCCTCTCCTGCCTAGTTTTTCCAGGACCAAGATGACTATCACTTACCGCTGATTGCACAGGTCTCCTCCGTCGACTTTTGATCGACAGCAAGTCCCACTGTGCACAGCAGATATCCACGAAGAAGGATGTCCACTCCACAGCCATGGGTTGGGCCATGTTCATGCGTACTACGGATACAGCATCAACAAACACTGTTATGTCGGGCAGGAAAGTTTTGAGGCTGAGGTAGGTTGAGGCTGACCAAACTTTGCCGCAACTCACTAGTAGGATCATCTACCCTAAGGTCCCGATGACACTTTCCAATCACAGTCATGCAGCTATTCCCATAACCTTCCCTATGTCAACCTAAACCGCCTCTTTCAGCTCAAGCTTCATCGGCCATTGAGGACGCGGTGTGCAAAGCTAACCCCCCCGCTCCGGCTGCTTTTTGTCTTCACTCCTCTCTCGTCTTTGCTCCCATCCTTCCATTGCCCTCCTGGTTTTGATTGATATTTCTACCGACTGGACGACTGGAGACTTGGACAAAATGCCTTTACTTCGAAGATTGTCATCCAAATTCAAGAGCCACAAGACCGCGAAACCGGACAGAAACGGGGTCGACGGAGCTCTGACGGCTGTCCATGAGAAAGCTTCCCCGATTGTGAACGGCGATCACACCAGCGATCCTCAGACAGCGGGGAGCTCACTCGGTCAAAGTCTCGAGAAGACGAAGCATGTCCAGCCATTGTCTTCCTACAGCCCGGCGAGCGCTGAGCCGCCACCAGAACCGGCCGTCAACGGAGACAACGCTCCAGCGACACGGAAAGATGTCGAGAAGATCTTCCACGAATTTGCGCAGTTGATCCACGCTTCTCGACGTCCACTCCCGTCTCAGTCAGGTGATGGACAGTATCTGGACAAGGAGGAGCCCACCGGGTTCCTGTCCGATTTGCCTCATCTGCGACTCAAGGATGTCAAAGCGGCAACGCACATTGTCGAGGACGCGTTGAGTGGTAAGCCAGTGGATGATCGCAAGATGCATATGGAGGAGGTCATGCAACTTGTTGCTGCGCTTCCTGACGGTTCGGCCAACCGAGTCGAGTTGACCAGCAAGCTTTTGGACGTCTTGTGGAATTCGTTGCAGCATCCTCCGATGTCGTACCTGGGCGATGAGTTCCGCTATCGTTCTGCAGACGGGTCGAACAACTCCTATATCTTTCCCAAGCTCGGGGCTGCAAACACGCCATATGCTCGATCGGTGAATCCCAAAACCGTCCAGCCCGGGGCCCTTCCCGACCCTGGCCTCCTGTTCGATTCACTCCTGGCAAGGGAGGAATTCAAGCCCCATCCGAACCAAGTGTCGAGCATTTTCTTCAACTGGGCATCTTTGATCATCCACGGTATGTCAACTCTCAGCCGCTAGAGTGGGATCAAAATCGCCGTTGAACAAACCGCTATCTATGCGGCACCCACCCTGATCATAACTTGGTGACTGACCACTGTTTTAGATCTCTTCCAAACGGATCATCAAGACTACAGCATCAGCAAAACGTCGAGCTATCTGGATCTTTCCATTCTTTACGGAGATACCCAAGAAGACCAAAATATGATGCGGACCTTCGAGAACGGCAGGATCAAGCCCGATTGCTTTGCCGAAGAGCGCCTGCTGGCCTTCCCGCCGGCCTGCGGCGTGATGCTGATCTTGCTGAACCGGTTCCACAACTATGTGGTCGATCAGTTGGCGCTGATCAACGAGAATGGCCGATTCAACAAGCCGTCTGACCGGCTTTCTGGTGATGCCGCCAAGGCTGCGTGGAAGAAGTACGACAACGATCTTTTCCAGACCGGCAGGCTGATTACGTGCGGCCTGTACATCAACATCACCTTGCACGACTACCTCCGCACCATTGTCAACCTCAATCGTACCAACAGCACTTGGACTCTCGATCCACGATTGGACAAACCCAAGACCTTTGGCAACGACGGCACTCCCCGCGGGGTTGGCAACCAAGTCAGCGCCGAGTTCAGCTTGTCTTACCGATGGCACTCATGCATCGGTCAAACGGACGAGGCATGGACCGAAGCTGTCTACAAGGAGCTCTTCGGGAAGCCGCCCGACGAGGTCTCACTGCGGGAGTTGATGGTCGGACTGGGCAAGTATGACCACGACCTTCCAAAGGATCCTCAGGAGCGGCCGTTCGCTCACCTCAAACGGAACGCCGACGGGCGGTTTGACGACGGAGAACTGGCCACCATCATGCGGGGCGGCATCGAGCAGGTTGCCGGAGCCTTTGGGGCGCGGAACATTCCCAAGTCGATGCGAGCCATTACCATCCTGGGCATCAACCAGTCCCGGTCCTGGAATCTGTGCACGCTGAACGAGTACCGGAAGTTCTTTGGCCTGAGACCCTACGACACGTTTGAGGAGGTCAACCGCGACCCCTATGTGGCAGACCAGCTGAAGAACCTGTACGAGCATCCTGACTATATCGAGCTCTATCCCGGTCTGGCGGTTGAGGAGTACAAAGAACCCATGGTTCCGGGAGTGGGCATCTGTCCGAACCACACCATATCGCGGGTGGTCTTGTCCGATGCGGTCGCTCTCGTTCGTGGTGACCGGTTCTACACGCTCGACTATAGCCCGAAGAACCTGACCAACTGGGGCTACAACGAGGTGGGCTTTGACCTGAGCATCAACCAAGGATGCGTCTTCTATAAGCTCCTCCTTCGAGGCTTGCCGAGCCATTTCAAGCCGAACAGCATCTACGCCCACTGTAAGTATCTATCGTAGACATGTCTTGCGGTCGTCAGGATTGGGGTTGCTTGCTGACGATATATCTGTGCAGACCCCATGACGATTCCATCGGAAAACGCAAAGATCATGAAGGATCTCGGTCGCTACCACGACTACGACTGGAGCACTCCGGCCTACATCCCCAGCCGGGTGGATCTGACTTCGTACCAGAGCGCCAAATATCTCCTGGAGCGGCCCAAAGACTTCACCGTCATGTGGAACGACGGACTAGGCTTTGTCATGGGCACGGGCGGCGAGAAATTCTGCCTGGGCGGCGACACACCGTTGCATCGCAAACAGCGCGAAACCATGCAGCAACTGATCTATCGCGACCGATGGCACGAGCATGTCAAACACTTCTACGAAGCCATCACCCTGCGTTTGTTGCATGAGAAGAGCTGCAAGATCGCCGGCATCAACCAGGTCGACTTGACTCGGGACGTGGGCAACCTGGCTCACGTACACTTTGCGTCCAACATGTTTGCCCTGCCGCTCAAAAGCGCCGAGAACCCCAAGGGCATCTTCTCCGAGCAGGAACTGTGGATGGCCATGAGTGTCATCTTCACCGCCATCTTCTTCGACTTCGAGCCGACCAAGTCGTTCGGACTCCGCACGGTGGCGAGGAAATTGGCCACCATGCTCGGCACGTTGATCGAAGCCAACGTGAAGTCGGTGACGGCGACTTCGCTCGTGGCCAAGTTGGTGGACGGCTTCCGGGAGAACGACAACGCCTTGGCCGACTATGGGGTGCACATGATCCGCCGCCTCAGCGAGACCGGCATGAGCACGTCCGACATTGTGTTCAGTCAGATCCTGCCAACCGCATGTGCCATGGTCCCGAACCAGTCGCAGGTCTTCACCCAGATCATGGATTACTACCTCAGCCCGGAGGGGCTCAAGCACTGGCCGGAGATCCAGCGTCTGTCGCGCATTGACAGCCGAGAATCCGACGACAAGCTGCTGCGTTACGTCAACGAGGCGATCCGTCTCAACGGCACGTTTGGGAGTTATCGTCGCAGCGAGGTGCACCATGTCTTTGCCCATGAGGAGGGACAACCGGTCTCGGTCAAGCCGGGGGATAAGGTGTTTTGCAGTTTCGTCAGTGCGGCTCGAGATCCGAAAATCTTTCCCGATCCAGACGAAGTGCGTCTCGACCGACCGCTGGATGCGTATATTCACTATGGCATTGGGGAGCATACCTGCCTGGGCAAGGAAGCCAGCATGGTGGCGTTGACGGCCATGTTGAGGACGGTGGGGAAGCTCGAAAACCTGAGAAGGGCGCCGGGTGCTCAGGGGGAATTGAAGAAGGTAAGTCCAGCATTGACAAAAGTGCAGACAAAAATGCAGACAAAAATGCACTGACATTCCTCGACATTTTCATGAGTTCTGACATCTTTTCTTTCTTATGCTAGGTCCCTCGTCCAGGAGGATTCTACGTGTACATGCGCGAGGACCAAGGCTCGTACTTTGTCTTCCCATGTACGTTTAAAGTGCACTATGACGGGACGCTTCCTCCCCTGCCACAGGTCAAAGCGGAGCATTGATCGGACGACACTGTCAGCTTGCACGAGTTTGATTTTGCGAGGCTTGGGTAGGAGAAGAAATACGGAGGGCAATGCCAATGAAAGGGAGGGGGAGGGCAATGCCAATGATTTGGAAAGGAAGGGGGAGGGGGGAGGGGGAGGGAGGGATGCCAATGAAAGGGAGAGGGAGCAGGCATTGTGGAGGACTCCTAGTCACAGTCAAAGTCACTCTTTACACGTAGCAATTGGAAATCACCTTCTGGACTTTGCCGTCATCGGGATGGGCTGCTCCATGGTACCTGTGCACACGGCCGTCATGGAATGGGCTGCCTCCACGGTACCTACCTATACACACGACCGTCATCTGTCGTAAAGCTTAATAGTTTTAATATCATAATCTTGTTATAGATTGAAATGTTCCATGTTCTCTATTAAAGGGGTATAGGGGGTCCAGGCTATATACTCCCCAGTATATGCCTAAACCAGTCTTCTAGTTAAACGATAAGGCTGGGAATACGCCCAAGTTTGACATATCGGGATAGACTGCCTCTAAGGGACCTGTGCACACGGCCGTCATAGAATAGGCTGCCTCCACGGTACGGTACCCATGTATATAACCGTCATCTGTCGTAAAGCTTGATAGTTTTAATATTATGATCTTGAGATACCTACCTATATATATGACCCTCATCTGTCGTAAAGCTTGATCTAGGTAGTTTTAATATCATGATTCTGATCTTGTCAAACGTTGAATTCAATGTTCCTTATTGTCTATCAAAGGGTCAGGGTCGCAGGGAGATCGCAGGGAGATCGCAGCGCTATATAGTGTAGTATAGTGTATAGTGTAGGTTGCCTAAACCAGCCTTTTGGTTAAAGAACAAGGGGCAAGGCTGGGAGCTGGGAGCTGGGAATGTGCCGACTGTAAATTCGGGACTAAGTTTGGTTGGGAACCGTATAACCAAACTCGCTGTTGTTTGCGACATGACATGAAATCGGCGATAATGATGAATGTGGCTTATTTCTGGGCAGTGATGGGAAGGGTTGTGTTGTGTTTGTGTTCGTGTTGGTGTTGGTGTTTATGTTCTTTGTGTTCATGTTTGTGTTCGTGGTGTTCTTCTCATTGAAGAAACCTTCGGAATGGCTCGACCATAGAATAGGTAGATAACTGCCGTAGTACAGAAAGGAGTACCTACATGTGTAAATAGACAAGGCTCTGGCCTTAGGAGAAGGAGAAGGAGAACAATTCAAATACGTACCTACGTACCTACCGTAGGCAGTACTATCAAACTTGCCTAGGCACCGACTTATGTAGGCATTCCCAGCCTTGTGCTTGTTCTTTGACCAGAAGGCTGGACTAGGCGTGCTATCTATATATACTATAGTATACGTTGCGTCCCCCCTGCGACGCGACCCTTTGATAGAGAATGAGAATATGGAACATTGAAACCTTTCATTTGATAAATGCCCACTATATTTATATTTACTGTATGCTGTATTTGACAAATGTCCGCTATATTTACTATATGCTGTATTGTGATCCGATGTACTGTACAGTCATGTCTAGGAAGGAGCAGATACTGTATACATGTATGATATATGATATATGGATATATTGTATTTTGGATATTGTCCGTGCTTATATCAGTGCTCACTTTCCCTCATAGCAGAGCCAGATCCGATGGCCTTTCCCTCATTTCCCTTATTTCCGCCTTTCCTGCCTTTCCATGCTTGTTGTAATTAGATATGTATAATATTTTTGGGGGTTGGTTTTATTTTGTTTAGGTTGGTTGGATTTGGTTGGGTCGGGTTTGGTTTGTTTGGACAGGATTCTTCCCCTCGGTTCAAAGTGAAGAACGCATAAGATCCCTCATCAGATCAGCGACGTCAAAGCGAAGAACACATATTCAAATCCCTCAACAAATCGGCCCGCTCTTCAAAGAGAACACACACAAGACCCCTCAATAGATCCGCCCGCTCCTCAAAGCGAACAACACATTAAGCCCTCAAATCGAAGAACACACATTCAAATCCCTCAACAAATCAGCCCGCTCTTCAAAGCGAACACACACAAGATCCCTCAATAGATCCGCCCGCTCCTCAAAGCGAACAACACATTAAGCCCTCAAATCGAAGAACACACATTCAAATCCCTCAACAAATCCCCCGCAACGACATCAATCCCTCCCGTACGTTTATCCTCGATGCCGAAACTGAGAAACAGCACGTCGTCCAAATAGCCATGGTAGCGCTGACTATGGGCCTTCCAGCTGATCGCAGTGAGATAGAACATCTCGGACTGGTTCCAGGCGTCGAGGCCGTCGAACTCGGGCCCGTCCGGCCGCTGCGCCTCGCCGGGCTTGGCGCGGCCGTGGATCCAGACGGGCTTGGCCGAGACGGCGTGGACCTCGAACGGCGCGGACCGCTTGAACAGCAGCGCGTACGGCTCGTACACGCTGTGGTACTGGTAGAAGCTCTTGTGCTGGAACAGCGTCAGGATGTACGTGTTGGCCTCGGTCGGCTTGCATGTCAGATCGGCGCGGGCGCACATGGTGATCGAGAGCGAGTTCGTCGCTTGGTGGATCGATTCGAGTTGCTCGGCTACGGGGGGCATTAGGCCCGTCAGGCATTGCTGGTCGGATAGTGCTGCGAGGGGGGCGAGGTCGGGGCCAACTGATCCTGCTCCTGCTCCTGGTTTGGCTTCGTTTTCGTTCCCATTCCCATTTCCATTCCCATTTTTGTTTTCGTTCTCGTTCCCGTTCACATCACCGTTCCCGCCACCCCCCAGTTTGGCAAATGCCCGCTTCGGCGCCACGTCGTAGTGCACGTACGCGTCGCCCACATTGTCCCAGAAGATGAACCAATTCTTCTCCACCGGTCCGTAGGGGCCAGGCCGCTGCAATTCGGCGGCGAGTCGGAAGTCGTGTTTGACAGCGACGTTGTTGTTGGTGTTGCTGTCACTGTGGCTGTCGGCCGGCCACTCGACCAGCATGCGGAAATCCTGGATCCACTGACCAAAGCAGGTGAAGGCCGAGTTGGACCCGTACACCGTGTAGGGCGAGCTGGGCCCGTAGAAGACGCGCGCGTCGTGCGGGCCGACGTTGAGGGCAAAGTAGGCCAGGTTGTCGACGCACTTGTCGCCCGTGGTGGCTGCGATGGGCAGGATCTTGGGCGGCCGCACGCACGCCAGTTTGTTGGGAGTCACAAATACCGCGTCGCATACCAGCTCGGTGAACCAGACGGATGGGTCGGACGATTCATCCTCGTCATGGTCGGCGCTGGTACTTTGGCCATTACTCTTACCCTTACCCTTGCCCTTGCCCTTACTTTTATTCTTGCTGCCGCCGCTTCGGCCCTGCTGAGCCACAATGATCCACGTCTCGGCCAGCACCGGGTGTGGCAGGATGCTAGGGTTGATGGCTTCTTCGTCGCCGAACTCGATGGTGAAGTATTTGCCGTTGGGCGTCGAGGCTGAGAAGACCTCGATGTGCGTCTCGGACATGTCGGCCCCTCCCCCGGCCCCCGCATCGCCCTCGCCCTCGCCGTCATGGCTGTCGAACATGTCGTGCAGTCCCAGTCCGCTCAGAGACAGCTTGTCTTGCAGCGGCCACCGGGACCGTGAGCCGTCCGACGACCCGTCATAGCCGTTCTTCGTCCAGCCCATGCCGTGGAACGGGAAGCTGGCTGGGCCTCGGCCGTAAAGGAGGAATATCACCAGCACCACGAAGAGGGCCGGGCCGACGACAAATGCGAGGCGTCGGATCCCCTTGATCAACATTGGGAATGAATGTAGCTGATGGACGAGACAGAAGAGAAGAGTAGAGTGGCGGAGCAGTAGGAAGAACACACTGGCTGCATGCATGCAGTGGTGGTTGGGAGACTGGGTCGGATATATACGTTACGTATACGAGTACCGCCGTAGGTGCTCCGTAGGTGCCCCTAAGCCCTGTACATAGCTAGGTACATAACATAGCTAACCTACTGTTCGGAGGACGGAGGACGAGGACAAGGGTTATGAGCTCTGGGCGGCACGCTCGCCTGCCGAGGTCTCACATCCTGCGTGACCGGCCGCATATACCCTTGCTACCCCGGACGTACTACTTCCTACTTCGTACCCTTGCGATTTATCCTGTTGGGGTCCTAAGGAGCCCCTTCGCCCTACCATTGTTGGCCTTCGCTCATGCAGTCGTCGCCATCCCCATCCCATCCATACTGCTTATGTACTCCCTCGCCTGTAAATCTGTCCAGGTCAATGGACCACAGGCCGACATATTCCATCATCATCATATGTACACAGTACTACATACGTTACCACGTTTATCGTCACTTATACCCTGCGAGGAATATATCGCTTTCGGCCTCGATCATAAAGGAGCGAAAGAGCCAAAGAGCCTAGCCAGCCCTGCCTCCTCAGAGTCAGATGCTTTTCAGGTCGGTCATATACCCCGTCGTCACCCATGAATGCAGTCCACCCTGTCATCTGTGGTGGCCTCACAGCTTGGAAGCCGGTGCCAGGGTTTTTCTATACAGCCACTGCGAGAAGTCCACCGTGGGTTCGTCAATAAGTTTGGTGACTAGCTCTGCCAACCATAGCGTGACCGGGAGCAGGATCAGATGAGGCAGCAGAAAGCTCAGCTCCAATCCAAACGGTCCGATCTTCGGAATGGGAAGCAGGTTCATCCAGCCCGGGATGGTCATGATGTGAGACTCTCTCGACCAGCCGGCGGCGGCATAGACGCGATCCCCGAGCGACCACAGGATCGGGCCGTGCACGAGGTAAAATGCGAACGAGACTCGGCCCAGATATTGGTTGAACCGAGTCTCAAAGAAGGCTTTGAGCCACGAGATGTGCGGGATCGATACCACCACAAAGTTGGCCGCGCAGAAGAGATAGAACCATTTATAGTCGTACACGGCTTGTGGCTTGAGGAAGGAAAGGTAGTACCAGCCCGGCGACTCCCTCAGGACGTTGATGTCCGAGCTGTACGATGGAACGCCACCGAGGTAGAGGCTGAGGATGAAGAGAGCGTAGAAGATGGGAGTCTTGACCTGGGACAGGTGGGAGAACACATGGGGTAGGTTGTCGTCCGCGGCTAGGAGGTCCAGGTCGGAAAGCAGCATGCCCGAGACAAAAAGTGAACAGAACCAGCCGTCGACAATGTACATGAAGTAGAAGATGAGGCAGATCTGACACCACAGGCGAGCATTCCGCGTACAGCGGGACAAGGCCATGAGCGTGGTGTAGATGACGATCGAGCCCCGGAACTCGACCGGGATCGACCAGGCGTGGAAGCTGTAGCTGAACCATGGATCGCCGCCGGTCCGGAACACGAAGCTGAAGTTCTTGAACTCGGCGTACCAGTTCCACAGGTCTTCGCGGTACGTGGATCGAGGCTGCGGATCGGCGCGATATCCAAACGCGTGCCACGAGGTCATGTATAGAAAAGTCGTACAGATGACAGGAATGTGCAGCCGCAGCCAGCGTCGGAAGAGCGCCGAGGCCAAATTCTCTCCCAGCCTCATGTGATCGCCGGCCTGGATCATGCTGAGTGGCTTGGCCGAGAGCACGTAGCCGGACAGGACGAAGAAGACCGTGACCGCGAAATGGCCACCCGAGAAGAACATGCGGAGCACAGGCAGGCAGGCAAAGTAATACTGCTTGTCATAGCCGTACGCGTTCTCCAGGATCCGATCTGGCTTCACCGCGTCATGAGCCCAGAGCTGATGATGGCCCCAGTAGACCATGAAGGCAGCAAACCCTCTCACCCCGTCGAGATAGGCTGTCCGCCTGGGTTTGGGGCTCTCGAGTCCTGACTTGGTCGCGAACGACGGTTTCACAAAGTCGAGGATGCGTCTCTTCACTCGAGCCAGCGGTCGCTCGCTCTCGGCTCTGGCGGGCTCCCAGTAGGCTTTCTCCAACAGGCTCTCATTGGGGGTAGACATAGCGAGCGTCTGGTTGATATATCTGTACCACCGTTGTTGTTGTTGTTCTTGTTGTCCTCCGTAGTGAGGAGGCTTCTGGCCGAAAAGTGTCGTTAGCGAACGTGATCCCGATGGGATGATACAAGCTTGGATGGGGGAGGATTCAACTCCAGAATGCTGCAGAGATCGAGCAGATACACCAGAGAGGCTGGGGCAGGAAACAAGCTCACAAGTCAGACTTCCCAACCAAGCGCGGATGCTCTGTGTCCCGAAATCCGGGGGGGGGGGGTTCACATGCAACCACCCTGGAGAGGAGGAGCTGTTTTTCCGAGGCAATTGGCGGGGATGCTGTTTGATAAGAAGCAGAAGCTGTCGGAGACGCCCAACCACACGGAGGATCAGGATCACATGCAAAGACCAGGGATCCAGGTCGAACATCCAAGTCAGGCCCACGGCATATGCCAGATACTGTGCTAGCACAGTAGCAGGAGTACGGCACGGCGAATGATGAGCATCGCAGTCTCTCCACCAAGGTCCTGTATTTTTTCTACATCCCGCACCATGCTCAGCCTCCGCCCCGCGTCGATCCCCTCTTGAAGGAACATAAGCAATAGTCAGACTGCAGTCAAACGGCACCAGTAGGGTCCTGGGTCTTGGAGCGATTTAGTGTACCTGGGGGAGGGAGGAGGGTGGAAGAGAGGCCGCCTCCCAGAAAAGGCAAGTCTCTAGCCGCATGGGGTTAGTACGGGCGGCGCTAGGCCGGAAGGGGGAACCTCCTCCGCTCAGGCACCTGGCGGTCATGTTAGTAACTTGAAGCTGCCCCGATACTGCCGGTCAAGGTCGACCGACACTGCATCGTGCCACTCCCCCAGCTCTCCCAGAGCTGTTGTATCCGGTGTCCCTCGTTGGTTGTTACCTGCATTGACGTCAGACAAGCATTCAGCAAGCTTTCCGCTAAGCCAGCCTTGTCTGGTACGTACTTCTCCATGTCCCGCCGGCCACACTACCTGCCGCTTTGCAGGGCCGACCGGGGTCGGCAGCTCAATGCCCATAGTCGGGCGCTGCAGATTGCTGAAGCTGATCAGGATGTTAAAGAGTCGGGAGCTGCCAGACACCCGAAGGATCTCGTCCGTGTGCGCCCTTTCCACTCGTTTGGTCTGAACTGTTGTGCTGCCACTGCTGCTGCCGCTGATGCAGCTGCTGCTTCTGCGTTCAGAAATTCTCAAAAGAAGAATGAAGATTATGCCTGCTCCAACGCCCACGTTTGGGAATTGTCTTCCCAAGCAAATCCGAAGAGTTTTACCGGCCTGTCTGGTGCTGGTGCTCCTGGCACTCTTTTTCTCGAGCACCACCTCTTTTGGCAGTCTCAGCGCCGAGATCTCGTACCACTCGACGTTGGACACTGGCGAGTTTCCGAGAAAGATCTGGCAGACCTGGAAGGTCGATCCGTTGGTCTTTGAAGAGAGAGACTTGACCACCGCCCGAACCTGGACCTCGAAGAACCCAACCCACCGGTACGAGGTCCTGACGGACCAGAACGACCTCTACTATGTCGAAACCCACTTTGGACCTAATGGCTTCAACCGGCCCGACATTGTCTACACATACAAGTCGTTGGCAGCCAAGATCATCAAGGCCGATCTTCTGAGGTATCTCGTCATGTACGTCGAAGGGGGCGTCTACACCGACATTGACGTCGAAGCGCTCAAGCCCATCGACCGCTTCATCCCCAGCCGATACAAGGAGAAAGACATCGACATGGTCATCGGGGTCGAGGTCGACCAACCCGAGTACAAAAACCACAGTATCCTGGGCACCAAATGCCAATCGTTTTGCCAGTGGACTTTTATGGCCAAACCCCGACTTCCGGTCATGATGAGGCTCATCGACACTATTCTGAAATGGCTGTATGAGGTGGCCAAGAAACAAGGCAAGTCCATCTCGGAGATTGAGCTGGACTTCGACGAGGTCATCAGTGGCACCGGCCCCTCGGCCTTCACCAGCGCCATCCTGGCTGAAATGGCGGCCAGGTCGGGGGAGGAGGTGCAGTGGGACTGCTTCCACAACCTGGGCGAGTCGAAGCTGGTGAGCGGCATTCTCGTCCTCACCGTCGAAGCCTTTGCGGCGGGTCAAGGACATTCTGACTCGGGCAACCACAATGCGAAGACGGCGCTAGTGAAGCACCATTATCATGCTTCAGGATGGCCGACCGCCCATCCGCGGTACAACCATCCCGTGTATGGGGAGGTGGAGCGATGCAACTGGGAGGCAGAGTGCGTTGCAGCGTGGGACGCGAACAAGGCTGCGTTCGAAGCCCTGTCGCCGGAGGAACAAGAGCTGCAAATTGCCTTGAGACAGGCTGCAGAGGGTACAATCGCGCCTCCACAAGAGGCCCAAATCATGCTACCGTAATGCCGTAACGAAGGGTGAACCATTGTTAATGGAGCTCTAGACCTTGCCGATCCATCATGTCTTGAATTCTTCGGAACCGTCGGCCAGTGAGGTGGACTGATAGCTTGAGAGATTTTATTGCAGGCAGGCGTTTGGACGATCGTTCATCCATGTCATCTAGGCCATCCATGCTCAGGAAGGCCGAGAGACTGTTCGGGGGGCCAGCAAGCCGCTTCATTCGATCATCTGCGAAGTACAGCGGGCATCCCGGTCAGAACGGCAGGCAAGAGGGCGCACTACTGCCAGCTGGAGCAGGGGCGAGGGTTCCTAAGGTGGGTGGGATGGTTTGTTCGGCCATTGATTCTCTGCTCCATTTGACCTCTGGGGCATATGTCATCGGGTCGTGTTGTGGACTAACTGGGGCGTTTGCGGGCGAGTCAATGTCCGATGGGGATGGAGCATCGCATCGCATTGCATCGCCATCGCAGCTGTTGAATGCCACCTCTCGTGGGTCATGATGGTAGGCGGGTGGAGGATGGACGGTGGAGGGTGGGTGAGAAGAGGTAGGGATGTTGATGCTGGACAGAAGAGTTAGCATCCGCTGAAGTAACAAGAAACGAACGAGATGTCGTGTCGACTCACAGTAGCAGGACTGTACGCTGTCCGTACTACTTACCTAGTACTCCTCCTAGCTCTGCTCGAAACATGATTGACTGCATCCTGCAAGGTGGGTAGCGACGGTGTGGTTGGTGCAGGCAGACTTTGGTCCCAGAGTCCAGTACTAGCACTGTAGATGCCTGCAATGTACGGAAACTGTACGGAGTATCTGAACACACATATTATCCGTACTACAGTATCAGTATCCATGTCCTGGATCCTTAGCCTACCACCACAGCCAATTGACCAATTAGTACTGCAGTGTATACCGGGTTGTGTAAGGAGGTTGACCGCCTGCGCCCGTGTCTGCGCCTGCGCCTGCGGGCAGCCTGGCTCCGGTCCGCGCCGGATCTTCTCGGGCTCAGAGGCATGCTGTAGTGTGTACATACAGTATCCGTGCTGTACATTTCCAGACCCATCGTCTCTCTACACAATTCGGGCCAGAAAGGCAATAAGTGAAGTCGATCTAGCTACGACATCTGTGGTTGGTGGTTGGCTGAGGTACAGATCACAGGCACCTAACAGGTATACAGCAGCAAACGGATACTACTCTGCTCGACTGAGGTGGGCGCTAGGAGAAGCCAACCAAGCCAACCAAACACCGTTCCTCTCCATCTCCATGCTGGCTGTGGCCTTTTGGCTTCTGGCTTTTGACGCAATACAGATTACAGAAGTTGGACCTCGGATGATTCGAGTCCAAGCCCGGCCGAGGCACCTGGAAGAATGAGACTCCCGGCTCCAAAGGCCTTAAGGCCCCCGGATCGTCGCCTGGGCTGTGGAGGGCAGAGCCGCTTTAGCGCCTTGGCCCCCGGTCTGGGTGCACCTATACTCTTTGGAGTACGGAGTGTAGGCTGTGGCATCCGCCCCGGATCACAAGCCGCATTGGGCTAGCCACAGCCTAAGGAGCCTAAGGACCCCAGACTTGCGTTGGAGCTCAGGCTTAGGGGCCCAAGGCTTGTTTGTACCCCAACCCCTCCCCCGATCACCGCTCTTCCTTTCTACTGTACGGATACTCCGTACACACACAATCTCCCACCAGCTACTGTTGCATCCAGCTACCTTCTCGTCTGTCCCTCAGATCCACCGATGACCGCTGGTACACACTGCTAATTTGAGATTTTTATTACCAGTAAATATCACCCTTGACATGTGACGCCGCATCTTCCTCGGTTCTGCCCCATTTCGGCCTCCCAGATCGTTCCTGTCGGCCAGCATGTGAAAAAGAAGGAATGGCCTCCGCGCGGTGGCGTTTGCTTCGACATTTACAGTTGCATCTGGCCTCGTGCTCTGAACTTTTGATCCACCTCTACTGTCACCGTCGTTGCCGCCACTGGGGGACGGCGCTCAGGTAGGTCAGGTCTGGTCTGGAGAAATTTTCAAAGAGAGCAATCGCTAGCGATGGATCGAACACCAGACAGCAAACGATGGATGGCCAACGGTTAGTCGTTGATGGTCGATGACAGAGAAACGTTTGTCAAAGTATACCCCATATCCTCATCGTCTCCCATCTGTGTTCTGTGTTCTGCGTTCTGTTTTGGTGCCGTCCGCCTCCGCTCGTTCTTGCGCCCTCCAGACTCTAGACGCCAGACTTCAGTCGGTCACGCTCGTTGACTTGATCTGCGACTTTCTCTTCTCCTTGATTGATCTGCGTTGCGACGCTCGCCAGGACCAGCACCGGCACGACAGCTCAACATGGCTACAGAAGGTGGAAAGGAGACCTATGTGGAAGACGAAGGGGCTGCCGGGCCCAACGGAGCGGGCGCAGTCAAAGCCAAACCACCATTCAAACAACGGGCGAAGCGCCACTGCCTGCGCTTCTGGTGGCTCTGGTTCATCATCTTCGCCATCGTCGTCCTGGTCATTGTGCTCCCTATGTACGTCCAACTTTTCCGGCTCATGTCGACTCGTTCACTGACCTGTGACAAACAGCGTGTACGTGGCCTACCCCAATAAGGCGCAGAAGCAGATCAACAAGGCCCAGCTCGTGCCTCAGTCAATGTCCCTCTTGGACCCAGCCCCGGACTCGTTCGATCTGCAGCTCGACGACATGTTCCAGTCCAAGTCTAGCATGACAGCCAGGCTGGATGCCTTCACAGCTGACCTCCAACTTCCCGGTGCCCACGTGCCATTCGTTCGCATCGACGTACCTGCCATCAAAGCCGCCAACGGCAGCGTAGCGCACGTTCACCAGCGAGTGCAGATTGCCAACACCGACCAATTCGACCAGTACACCAAGACGGTACTCCTGAGCGACGAATACTCCATCTACTTGAAAGGCAAGGGTGGGTTGAAGTACGGCTCTCTGCCAAAGACGACGGTCAAATACAACAAGAAAATCACCATCAAGGGTAAGTTTAGATTTGTGTCCCTGTTGTGTGTGTCCCTGTTGTGTGTGTGCCTGTCGTGTGTGTCCCTGTCGTGTGTGTCCCTGTCGTGTGTGTCCCTGTTGTGTGTCCCTGTTGTGTGTCCCTGTTGTGTGTCCCTGTTGTGTGTCCCTGTTGTGTGTCCCTGTTGTGTGTCCCTGTTGTG